ACTGAGTGAATATTTGCTTTCTTTACTTAATTAAGGACAATCGTTATTATGACCATAAAATACACTTGATAGTCATTTCAAAATACTGAATATCAAATGAAAATCAGGTGACTCAAAATTTTCTATCAAATCAAGGCTTAATTTTTGACTTAAATATCTTCAAGACGAGATGCTTTTTGGAAATGAAGATGAAAATATAGTGGATTTGAAATTGAAAAATAATTTTCTGATCTATCCAACGCTATTTTAACACTTTTGGGTAAGTTAGGCCTCGCAAAAATAGGTAGACACAGTGCTTTGTCCAGTTGAAGAGTAAAATAACTTTGCACAACGTATTGGGCGGCACAGTCATTGTCGCTGTTCTCGATTAATGGTCTATAATCTATATTCTATACCAGTACCTATTTTCCCCATACATATTTGCATATATAGGTATTGTCACGGAATCTCGAATTGCTTTAATAACATATGACGTCTTGGCTACAAAACAAGCGTCTTCCCGGTTCATACTACGTTTCCTGTATGAGATGCATGCATATTGTAAGGCATATAGGTGTGAGTCACCTACCGTCGTTGTAATATCATTCTAATTGCGGTACTTAAGATGGCACAGATGGAGACAGTTAGTCTATTATTGTAACCGAAGATAGACTTAGTCATGAAGTTGGCTTACTAAAGTTGGGGGAGAACAGATACCAATAGTATTTCGATTTTGGTGAATATTCACTGAATGTTCTAATTTTAAATTATGTTTCTTAAATGGGATAAATTCGAAAATTTCATCAAATTTGTTATAATGTAAACATCAGAATATAGATCAGCAAGAGCGTGACAAATGGGGTCGGATATTTCGAATCGAAAAACTTCGGATTTTTACAAAAATATAGTCCCTTCAGTCATTCGTGGTTGCTTTTACAGAGCATTTTTCGAACTATCGTCTCATTTAAAAATATATTTTAGGAAGGCATTTGAAATATTCGATTGGAGCAATGTTTTTTCTTGTCACCATCGACACACAAGTTATACAACTTTGGAAAGAATAGGGAATTTTGTAGTCGACGAAGGTTGGAGAATTTATAATACTCTAGTGTTGGCTTCAACAATAATCGACTAGCGACCGATGTCTACCGACCGATACTTGTCCTAATCACATAAACGGATTTATAATTTTGGATCAACTTTGGACACATCATGTTCATTTCGGAAACATTTTACAAGATAATAATACCCAATTACATGTACCTGAAGGTCACGCATCGGTACCGGTACGTAGGGTCTGAACTGCAGCTAAGCAAAGAGTTTGCTGAAAAATCGGCGCACAACCTGACGTAGACGGATAACCACGACAAAATAAAGTGTTCGCATATTTCCTAAAAACTGTTCCCATAATGACAAACAAAACAGCAAATTTTGGGGTGAAAAATCGGGTTCTATGGGTATTAAAACAAATTTGAGAAAACAGCAGTTAAGCCTTCTAACGGCTTCAGTCATCTTGAAATATTAAATTTTGTCCATTAGTTGCAAAGGAAAGCGAATTTTTATCAACAACATTAACCACCGCAACAGCAGCATTAAGAATTTGGCAAAATGATGTCTCAATTTCGTGTCCAATAAGCAGTGCGGAAATTGACAGCGCCACTGTTCTCTGAATAACGAATCTGAAACTGACTCTTTAATACAGGGGTTCTCAAACTTTTGGTGTTGCGGAGCCCTTGAAAAGGTTAACTATTATTCACGGAGCCCCAAAATAAATGTTAAAATTGTTACTTTCGGAATAATATTCCTCAGCAAGTTAAAAGTACTTTACTCAATTTAAATGCTGAACCTTTTTTGAAAGGGTTAATACAAGTCATAAAAAAATCTAAATTTCAAACATAAATTATATATACTAAAGCTGTAAATTTGACACTTGACAAACATGGTCGAATCTTTTCCCTTTTGACTTGTTTGGAAGACTTGAAAGGCCGCTAATAATGTGCGCGATTGCATTTTGTTACAATCGCCGATTTTTCCTCAGCATGGCGTGTTTTTGAACCTTTAAACATCTTCACGCCGGAGTTTATTCTCCCTGATTCAAATTTCCCTCTGCATATACATGTATTGTTACACAATGACGACGTTAATGGCTTTTGTGTTTTCGTGGGGAATTATGAGTTCAATGTGAAAAACATGTTACCATATTATAGTCATCGGCGACGAAAGCTAAAAATAATAATTAATAAAGAGATAAATCTGCAACTCAAATTCTTGATTAAAAGCGGCATTCTGGAAATATTAAAACTAAAACTTAAAATGGAAGATCACACGTTTGGTTCAGCAGACTCACCTAGGATTGAAAAACGCTTTTATAGACATTGCAAATCACAAAATTTGGTTGTTATTGTTAGGTTTTCATTGTAGTTAACTGCGAATCGAAACACAAGTACAATTGTGCGCCGCGATGTAGGCCTACCTTTTTTTCCCATTTTGAAACTACCGACGGAGCCGCACGCAATCATTGCTGCGCGCCGATCCGCGATGTACCTTTTTTCATTCTGAAGACTACCGACGGAGCCGAATGCAATAAAATAAATTTCAATTGTTCGTATTTTGCCCAGACATTGTGTTTTTTTAAAGGGCGATATCTTGCTTAAAAATAATCTAAGTGCGAAAGAACAAATCAAGTTTGACAAATCCCAATATCGCAAAAATACGACTCCAATTTATTGATAGTTGGCAGTTTATCACATATTTTATGTTATTTCAGAATAATATTCTTTCATTTTAGTAATCCTAATAGTTAATTCTCGAATCAAACGTGAGTAACGATGAGCACAATTACATTATAACGACGAGACACGTTAAATGCTCGCATTTGGTCATGGATTTGAATATTTCACACAACAGAAATCTCGGTATACGTTTTTTTTTAATCGCGAAGAATGTTGCGCGGTAATTTCCGATTCCAATTTTGAACCACCTCCCTCTCAAGAATCCTGGCTGCGCTCCTGCTTATAAATAATGTCATTTTTTAATTCAGCCTCTTTGCCATATTTCGAGGCCATATTGTTGTCAGATTTTATCAAAGCTGTTATTGCTTCTTTAAACAGTTACAAAATTAGTCAGTATTTTGAAAAGTAATCGAATAGCTCGCGGAGCCCCTTGGTTCCTCTCGCGGAGCCCTGAGGCTCCGTACGGAGCACTTTAAGAACCTATGCTATAATACAAAACAACGGCTCATGTTCAAACGCAACTGAAATTATCGTTTCGTCGAATCATTTTCCTCACCAACGGAAGAGGGGTAATGTAAAAATCAAGGTGAATTCAGTGGTGTTAACAGATAGCATACACTGCTAGTAGGATCATTCGGTTTACGTTTACCACACAACGAATATTCTCAGTTTGGCATCTTTTACGAAAGAATGAATGTAACTAGTTAGATTTAAGTCATAATTTTAAAATAGAATTCGAGAGAGAAAAGTTACAAATTCAAGATGGAAATTTCAGTTACTTCTTGACAAGCCAAATAGTTGTTCGAGGGTGCAGTAAGCAATGAGCAATAGCTAGTTGTCTAAACTTATAGTTATTGAATTGCCTATAAAGTGTAACTTACTCGAACGTCACAAACAAAATTCGAGTAGGTTTCAAAGAGTTAACCAATTTTAATTTAATACTTTTAATGATATCTTCCAAAAAGGTCGCGCCACAGTTTTCTGTGTTTATTTAGTGGGTGGACCGACAGGATGAAGTTATATAGCTTTACACTGTTTGTGAATATTGATAAAAATACGTAACTATTACCTTGTCTCGAATAGTTAATCTGAGGACAAGCAGACGCTAGAGTGGTTAGCTTGCTCAATGTCTTGCATCATCTCGGAGACAATAATTGGCCTTTGTCGAAAAAACACAATTTTATTGTATATCGCTAGCGTAAACAATATTCTACATTCAACTACATTGACCCGAGAAAGATTTTTTTGTTTATCAATCGAATAAATATTTAATGCAGGTGGGTTTTACGTTATTGTCAAATGCGTGGTTTCTTAGATAAAGAATTGACTTCTTGAGGTGAGCGTAGAACGAATAGTCGCTTTATATTTTGTAGACCAAGAATTGTATCGTCTGTTTACTTTGTGTAAATTCAGAAAAAAATGGGGGACGCTTTCACTCGACATAAGCTATTTTTAATGCAGCATGCAGAAAAATAATAACCAAAATAGAGAAGCAATGAATGATGTTGTAGCATAGAAAAAAATCTCTATTTTATGGGCAAATACTGTTGTTCCAACCGTATTATCGACTATTTACACTCTCTTTTCAATTCTAACCAAACCTGCCAATCATTTGAGATTCTGGTAAAGATTTTTCACAGATAGTTTTCAGACGCAGGATGTCTTAATAAATTATCTCTTTCTTTACCATACTTGGTAGGTTTGCATTCCCCTCAAATCATGGTTGTGCTTGTTAAATCTATCCTAACTTGGCATAAAATGTTTTATATAATATTAATGGCCAACATATTGCCTTCAAGTTCATCTCTATTTATAACCTATATATACTATAGAAGGATCAGCTAACTACATTAAAACAGAATCACACAATTTTTTTTTGCATTGGTGCAAATGTGATCCCGTTTCAACATATGAATTCTACCCTTCTTGATTTCCATTTTTTTTTATCGATTTCTTGGAATGGGCCATGCCACGCTGCTTTTATACATCCGCTTCTGTTTAGACTCAGACCGTCAGGCTAGACCATTGTGATCTAAATTATTTTAGTCATTCAAGGTCTTAGTTGGTTCCACCAGTAACTTGTGCTCTGTCATGAAGGGCTTATGTATTTCGCTGATACGGAATTTAACACTTATGAGTCAATTTCGCTTTTGCAGCTCGCTCATGGATGAGTAATGAATTACCATGAAAACGATTTTGCCATGCCATGATATCAACCCAGATCTCAAAATATGATATTTTTCTTCACTTAGTCTACAAATTCTGATTTCAAATACTTATTACTTTGATGACATAGTCATAATCTAACAGAAATACAAAATTCGAAGTACATAGTTTAAATCATTTCATGTTACTCCAACCTAAAACGACAATAAAGCATTGAGTCAACAATACACTGTTTGCACGCAGTCAAGGAAGTTCTTCTCGTTACGACAAAAAGTTTCAAAGATGAGTAACAATATCGAAACCGAGTTTTCAAACTCTCACATACTAACACGGTCTGGTGGCCGACGGCTGCGCAACAGAAACTGGAACAAGGTTTGCTGTGCTTTACTGTTTCCTTGAAAAATTTTAGTACGTATTTGATCGTTATTACCGACATTGCCGTTTTATTGTTTAATGCTGTTTCGGAAAGTACTAACGGAAGAGAAGCATGTTTTCCAGACTAAAGGTAAGAAAATTTATGAGACGTGTTCAGCACTTGTTGTACGAGTAATAAATAGGCGAAGTATAGGGAAAATATTATGATGGTTGCAAACGAATGTGTTAGTTAGTGTAAACTGGTCGCAGATCTTTACCAACTCTGTTTGCATGTGACTCCTGTAGAGCATATTGATACAGCCATTTTCTTGGAAATATCCGACAGTTTTTATTGAGAATCACGCGCAACTCGAGTGGCAAAATTCATCGTATATATGTATTGAAGGAATATTCCACAAAAATCAATTTTACATCAATAAATTTATGATAGCTACAGTTACCACATCGCGTCAACGGTGACATCTGAACTCGCATCAATTATGAATGTAAACCGTTATTTAGGCATTTGCTATAATGAGTGAAACCGACATCGCTGTGTTGCTAGAATATATATTTCTCTCAGTTAGCCCATAGTCGGAACATGTTTGATTTGTGCATATGGTATGGTTAATGCTGAACAAGAATAGGATTTCAATATATCCTCGGGAGACGATAAAGCTATAAAGCGACTTGTGCATATGGCGACCCAACCGACTTCTTTATGGTCAGCGGCCACTGGTATTGCTTGTTGATTTATTTTTTAGCAACAAAGGGATATACATTTTTTTTTCGAATTGGTCGCACGACATCATCTGTTGATAACCACCAACTCATGGGTTTAGATTTATGACAAATTACGCGTTTTATTTGATACTTTGCAAGAAGTTCATCGTTCTAAAATATATATTAGTATTCATTTACAAGCTTGCTGCAAACGCTCTTATAGGCCATTTGTTGAACTTCCTTTAGTGAATTTCATAGAGTGAATGTATGAAGCATGTACATACCTTAAGTTATCGTCATGGTGAACATGATACATTTCACATTATACAATACAAGGTTTCCAATTCAGCAATTTTATTGAAGTATATAAGACCAACGATGAATCGCTATGTACAGGCGTGATTTATCCAAGTTATATACTCGACTGCGTATAAAATTAGACTTTTTGTTTTTAGCATACAGCTGGTACTTCATTATTCTGTATATGTTTTGTGACGGTAAATTGATTTTGCTATCATGCTACCTATTCATATGCTTAGTTTGAATAAAGTGCATTTCCTTGTGCCGGATTTGACGCATTAGCGCATCTATTGTTTTAATAAGATGTACGTCCATCAAATTAACAAGCATCGTACCCTAATATGACATCATACATAAAAATATCACTATTTTTACTACTTGTAACTTTGCGCTTGCAACGAATCTCGTTAGCCTAATTCTGAAAGAAATATAATTCGTGTAGATTTTTGTCTTTTGTATCAAAATTCAAATGTCAGCAGAACATGATGTTACAGGTGACAAGCCTACCTTTCAAAAGAGCAGGCCCATTGCAGATAGGAATAATATTAGCGCATGGGGTTACTATCAGGCTGCAAATGTGTGGAAAAGAGTAAGAATCATATTTTGTCATTTTTTTATTTAAATTATTTAGGGGTAATGGAGTAATTAAATCCTCTATTTCAACAACTTGGCACTCGATTTTATATTTTTACACTAATAAGTATCCGAAACGTTAATTTATATGTTTACAACAAACAGATTTATATGAAGTTGATGTCACATTCTCAACAACAACTTTTCTGCACATAGCACTCTGTATTTTTGCTTGCACTTCCACTTGCTTTGATCAAATACTTTGATAAAACAGCCCAACTACTCTGTTGATTCGTATTGTATTCTGATAATTTGAAATCAGTGTTAGATTTATCGTGCTTGCTTGACTGTTAAATACCTCTGTATGAGTGCTTAATTCTAGAATTACCAGCCAGAGCATGCTTGAGCGGGAATAATTTAAATTAGAGGCGGATGTCCTATTTTGCATAACGATCGGCGTGGACAGCATAACAATACTACGATGCGATGCAAACATTTTAAATCTGGAATACCCATAGATATATAAAAGGACATTGTTTCCTTAGTTTTTAAGTGCGTTTCACATGAAATACACACAAAAAAAATATAAGGCGTAATTTTCGGAATACCAACCACACATCAAAACGGAAAAAAAACTATCGTGTGGTATATACGCCGACTAACCAGCAATTTATACGTCAAAATGAATAAATGATATTGAATGAATAGCAATATTTTAAGGTATATTTGAGATGTTTCATACGGTTGCCTTAAAGAGGACGTTCAGTTACAACAGTTACTTTGATATACAGATATATAAAGTTCGATAAAATTATTTTTACTTTACTAATTAAAGTTTATTTTATGAATAAACATTTTTTCTAAACCCCTTTTTTATATTTAAGGGATCCAATAAAAGAGCTGGAGTCAACTCAGCGATTGCTGAATCCAGAGCTTTGTTAAACGACGAAGACTTGAAACTTCATGTTTACAAGAAGACGTTGCAAGCCTATTTATATCCAATCACAAACACCACTCCACATAAGTTCATTGTAAGTTTTCTTTCTTCATATTTAGTGACTTTGTTTGGAAATTTTCAGCTACATGTGTGGCTTTAATGACTTAGATACCATCCTCTAGATCCGACTTCCTTTTAACTCGAATGATAAAATTTGCATAGATTTCTATGATAAGCATACCAGTTACCAGGCGATAAAATACTCGATAAAAGCAAAAATGGATCAAAATAAATTAATTGTTAGAAAAGTAAGAAATCCCGTAATATCTTGAGATTACGGCCTTATGATTTGTGCCTTTCATTATTCACACCAGCGACGAATTTATATTTTGAAGTAGATTATAAACAAAGGAAATCTGACGCTACAATAACACTCAACGTTATAAACGGAATCTTAGCGTACCGACAAGAGCAATGGAAAATCTTGTCTGCTCGTGGTAGCATGACAAATTGCTCAATTATTTGCTGAGTTTTACTTTACTGACAGCAGAGATGCGTCATTGCGTGTTGTGCACAACCTTTTGCATTCCACTACTTATACTTTTTTATCTTCAGCGTTTCATTATCAAAACGCAGTTACAATCATTGTCTAATTTATTATTCCGACAATCAAATTAAAGTAAGCATAGAATAGGGCCTAAAAGAATTAGAATCAAAAAGCAGACTCGATTAAGCTTTGTGAAAAATGCTGACACAATCGATGTTTAAATAGGCAATTATAATTTTAACTATGTGTTTTATGTTATGATGTATGAAAAGCACCTATAGCATAAAAATAAAGTCATGATGTGTTTGAAATCACCGTTGTTACCATTTCAAGCCATGGGAGTTCATATTAAGTAACCAGCATGTGAGCATTACATCAGGCGAATGCGACAAATATCTGATAATGTAAGCGTATTATTGATTTATCACATTGATTAAGTTTCAGACGCTTTGTGACCTCGCATTAGTTTGCAAAGAATTTGACATGTTTGGCATCTATATTGCTTTATAAAGGTGGGTGATGGGAGGGTTAGGATCTTAGTTTGCTTAAGTCAATGCTATGTAGAATTGATACTGATCGTTTGTTCCTGAAAGTTTAATATTTAACGTTAATTCAATTTTGCAAGAATTTGGTCGGGTTCAATCGTCGACCTGTTGTATTTTTGATTTTAGAACTGAGCTTGTGATCTATCTGCCAAATTGTTTGCAAGGAAATCAAGCATAACATGTTTGATAATATTTTCTTGGACCTACCATCCAATCGCTTTCTCATTAATGGTGAATAGTTTAGCATTCTTGCTACATATTTCAATATAAACTTCTATCTATCACCAACCAAGAGATGCATTTTAATACCAAACATTAGTTTATTTGTTCTATATTAATTACCTCGAGGCAAAGATGTCCACTCACTTGGGTACGGGAATAAATGTCATCGCGGAGAGAAGCAGTTTTAAGCAAACATTTAAAAAGAAATCTTATAGTCGTGGCGCACAAATCTACGCCGAAGATACACACCATCAAATAATAAAAACGACCACAACACGTCAAGAATAAAGATAAATTAGGTTATCGTAAGTGCATAGCCTTATCTGAGTCTGATCTCCAAAATACAGGCATCAAAACAGAAAGACCCAGCGTGTATCACGCATTAAATTGACTTCATCTTGTATTGGAGCCTATTTTATACTGGGGGCATTTCCTTTGCTTTATTGCTCTATTATCATCGCACTTTATATTTTACGTATATTTATATATTTCTCAATGTGTAGGTATGGACCGCGAAGAAACCTGCGCATTGCTATGAATGTGAAGGGTTGTTATGGGGTTTAGCGAGACAAGGACTACGTTGCATCGATTGTGGAGTAAAATGTCATGAAAGATGTCAAGATTTACTCAACGCTGATTGCCTGCAAAGTAAGCCAATAAAATTAGTAGTCAATGTCTAAAGAAGCCTAACCTTGGTTAGACGAAACGTTACAGAAATATATTTGTGTTAGTGTGCAGCAAGACTCTTGAATCACTTAGGATTGTTATCTTTACTCTTGCTACAGCATCCTTGCAATATACGCATACGGATCCACCGGCACAAAAGAATAGAAGAAGGATAAGTAGTTAGTCTCGCAGAAACCAAATAATCAAACTATATCTAGATAGCAACTTGTAGCATTGATTTGTAATAATTTAAACTCCTAAAAATCGAAGCAACCATGTATTATTTATTATATGAACAACTTATCTATACGTGATAAGTCATTAGTGCATGTGAGAATATACAAATTATTAATGTACCGAGTACAGCACATTAAGATGAGGCAACTGAACAAAACGAACCATATGGCTCACTATTTTCTAAGCAGTAGCGAGTTTCGCATACAGGAGCTAAAACTAGTTGACCATGGACCGCCATATTTTCAAAGAAGCAATCAGTAACGCTTTATTCGAGCTTATCTTGGGATGGTACGTGAATAAACCGAATAGTATCATTATGTAAAATACCGTAAGGGTACAATTTTAAATTGCAAAACACCAAATTCTTTTATCTCCAGAAGTCAGTAGTCTACTTGCAATTTAATAAGATCCAATCCACCAACATCCTTCCTTGTGTGAACAGATTTGGTCGTGACTAATATGATCGTCGTCTAATAAACTGGTGCTCCACGTTTGGTTATTTAAAATTACGTTTTGTATTGTTTTACCTTGACTAAGCGTATTAGCCAAATCTCATTTGAATTTCTCATTTAGAGGCCGCTGTGAAAGTTCACAACATGGCTCATCGGATAAGACACAGAACATAATTGAAGCAATTCGAAGCAGAATGGAGGAACGTGAGAAAGAAAAAGAAACTACTTTCAATATGATAAGGTAATATTCAATAAAAGTTTCTGGAATATAATTCCAGAAATGTAAATCATCGGACCGTCTGTTACATATTTTTCAAATTATACAACGTACCGTGTACCGTGTAACCTTGTTTAAAGGCAGCAGTTTTTTTTTTTTTTTTCGAAACAACGTTTCTGCTAAATTTTCTGCCATGAGGAATTTCGACCACTCACGTTGTGCCTTTGGTCGCTAACTTGAATGCCAACAATCCTTACCACGGAATCTACAGTAATACGTAATTTTAAGTAAGTACTTGGCAGCAACATAACGATATATAAAAACAATAGATTGACTCGCTATATTCAGCCTATATATAGCCGCAAAGCCAATGTTATAATAATGAATAAACAAGATAGCAGTGCTCAAATATATGGACGAGAAGGGGAAATGACTAATTTGGCCACCTCGGCAAAATTCCAGTCAAATGCTGAAAGAATTGTACCGAATGTCGTATGAAGGTGTGCATGTAATTTATGGAACCAGCAAATTGAGGGTGAAATATCGGGTTCCATAGGACTCAGGGGGAAAAGTAATAACTTCCTAGCAACCTCTGTCATCTTCAATTACTGAAACTTTAAAATCGAATGAACATCAAAAATTTATCTAAAGAGTTTGTACATTTCGTGCCAAAAAATGACTTTTTCTTAACATAAATTTCTAACGATGAATAAAATTATATTACAACAACATAAATTCATATTTCAGGGATTTGTTTAATATTCCTGCGGAACGACATGTGAAGCACATGAAAGCTAGTAAGCAGAGTGTGTTGGATGGAACATGCAAATGGTCCGCTAAATTATCTGTTACCATTGTGGAAGCTAAGGGATTACAGGTAAACGTATAATGTTTACCAATGATGCTTAATTGAAAACACGGCATGGTATAACATTGAACGTAAATAAATTTCCCGTACTGTTGTGCGGTAGCAAGAAAGGGGTATTAATAAATTTTCAAATACCGCCGAGAATATCTTTGTGGAATAAATAATTTAAAGACTTAAGTGGCTCCGTATAATATATTCTGGAGAGAAAATTGATTATAATACAGCATATATTTATGTAAATGGAGCGTAATGTTAATACACTGTTTTTCCGTCGCCGCATTTCACTTTATCATGAATGCTATCGAATAGGGTATCAGTTATTAAGGCTATTATATCACTCTCGTCAATCGGTCATGACTAACAAGCACACGCGACTGGCACACATATATGTATTTACTTTCTAAAATCACCATAACCAAAAGCTACATCGGCTTGGAATTATACCTGTGACAAACACACGATTATAACCACTAGCCCTATTACACGTCAAGGTCATATAAAATATTATTTGTTAATTATTTGTGCAATCGCTACGTTAGCCAACTGTCAGTAATTTAATATAGTAATTATAATCATCAATTTTACAGGCGAAAGATAAAACTGGTGCGAGCGATCCTTATGTGACAGTCGAAGTAGGAAAGACAAAGAAAAGAACAAAAACAATTTTCAACACTCTCGATCCAGTGTGGAACGCAACTTATGACTTGTATGTGGTTAGGAAGTAAAAATTGACCCGCAAATACGGTCTGACAGTTTATTACATCTCCGACTCTTACTTACAGTGAATGCCATGACTCATCCGATCGGCTAAAGATACAAGTATGGGACGAAGATGATGATATAAAAGCTGTTGTTAAGCAAAAATTACTACGAGAATCTGACGATTTCCTTGGGCACACTCTTATAGTTATTCACACTTTGTCAGGAGACATGGATGCTTGGTATAATTTAGGTAAACGTACACGTTTATTTATTTTAACATTCTCACACATGAGATTATAAGACACGATCTTCCACACTATCTTCATGTTTCAATTTCTGAAGAACAATTGGCGGCGGCCTATATAGTGACTACGTTCCCAGTGCAGGTTGATGATTTCAGGTTCTCAATATGGATAGTAAGTGGACAACCCAAGCTTAATCGCTGATTACCCAGCAGTGAGTGATTGTGCAGAGCATTCTCTAGCGTAAAAAGAGTATAAGGAATTTCTACCGTAATGTATCTTATTGTATATGTAAGGCCGGACCAGAAATAATTCTCATTTTTTGAAATCCAAAGAAGATCTCATCTTCAAATGACACTGTGTCAATGTCATCTACATTCGAGTAGTAGTATAAGAACACCACAATACCACAGAATTATGGATGTTCGTCATTGCAGGCATTCTATCTCTTGAAATTGAGTTATATTGTTAGCTAACGCCCATAGGCAAAAATAATTCCAAATTAATTTTAAAATGGGCAAATCTCAATGTGATTTTCGTGGTGTGAATGTAAAGTTAGAAGTTTAAAATCTCTGCAAATATCCTATTTGCTTATTTATGTTGCATGGTCCAAGAATGTAACTCGCAGTTATCATTCGGTTCATACTTGATCCACATTCACGAGAAAAAAATTCCGCTGTTATTTTTCTATTTTGAAGCGTGCAAAATCGGTAATTCCACTTTTTGTGTAGTGATACAGACGTAATACATCTATGAGTCACGGATACTCCGGATAAACAAGTTGCAACAGTAGCAGGACGGACAGATTCAGTAAATTTAACTTAATAAAGGATGTTGTTCAAGTTGAATCATTTGATTACCAGCAGTTCTTTTGTCGAAAATCACACATATAATACATTTTATTTTACAGAGAAAAGAACGGACAGATCGGCCGTCTCAGGGACAATTCATGTTAAAATCAATGTTGAAATCAAAGGCGAAGAAAAATGTGCTCCTTATCGTCGACAATATACTTGTCTTCACGAGGTCATTTTTTCACTCATGTTTAATCATTCAATACATATAAGATCAGTCATATCATTACGTAACGGAAACCCATCGGCTGCTATGTCATGCATTTTCCTATGAAGTTCTTATTTTGTCAAGTTTCCATAACTCATTTTGTTCATGAACTCATAGTTCATTTTGTATTTAGTTTTGTTTATATGGTCAAAAATTCCTGCATATGATAAAGTCGCTTCTACTAAAATGAACATTGAATAGAATGACCTTTTCGGAGGCAAAACGCATATTCTTGAGAAAATAGCACGTATGTTGCATAGGACATTATAAACGTTATACCGGGTAAAACCAGTCATGCAGCAACGCGCAAGAATGGGGACGTTCTACACTATTTTCCGCGTGAGAACAATGTTTCTATTCTTGCTGCACAAACAATTGAGTACGATGCGGATGAACAAATAGCCGGTTTCCATGTGAATTATACATTGCGATATAAGAAATGAAAAGCAATGCTACATTGGGAGTTGTGATAACATAGGCTCTTTCCCACGCCTCTTTTTCGAACGCTTCGATCGTGATAAAAATATCTTGGTTCACGATTGTTTTCCGTAAACAACTAAAATGCAGTCATGGATGTAAAATATATTACACATTCTTGAGAAATTCAATGCATTTTTCCATAACAGAACATTTTCCACCACATAATGAAATCGAATGACAACAAGCTGCAGTTACCAGACCAGAGGGGAGTTGAGGAAGGATGGAAATTATACTTCAGAGAAGATGCTCAAGATGTTATCAGCGAATTTGCACTCAGATATGGCATCGAACCAATGTATCAAGCGATGACGTAAGTTTAATACCAGCTTCTTTTATCAATGGAATATTTCAGTTGTCAAGTTGATCTTCGATTTTTCACCAATTGCATATTTTTCGTATCTACTTTCCAGTATAATGATAATATCTCCACGCTTGAAAAGTGGTTCACAATAAACTATTTAATATCAATGCCCCTCTTTTTTAGAATGTCATTGTTATAACATTAGAAAGTAAACTGACCACAAAAATTACTAAGTATAACCAATGTTATGGCGTTTTAGATGTATTTTAAATTCTGGCTTCACATTTTCAGTCACTTTTCCTGTTTATCATCTGCATATCAGAGTGTCGGTGCACGAGCAGTAATGGCACATTTACTTGCTAATATAACAAAGTATTTTCACGTTCTTAAACAAGAAAAGAATCAGAAAAATCAGTTTGAAGCGTCAAATTTCGGAGTAAGTTTTAATTAATAATGCTTCATTTCCAATATAAATGAAGTTCGAATCACATCATTGCGATCCAATCTTTGCTAGTCCCACACACCAACGGTCTGTCCGTCTTATTCTTATGAACTAACTCTATCTCTAAAAGGTATATCATCCTTTACACACCAATGTAAAATTTTCTGTTTTCCTTTGTTCATAATCTTGCTCAGTAGAATTAAATCTGACGCAAAGAATGTTATTTGTAGTTTGTATCTTGATTAGTCGCATTTCTCTAATAAAAAAATTGTTTAATAGGATATTATCCCTATTTTTTTTTAGAAAGAGAAATTTCTAAAACTTTTGGACAACTTACTCAACTCTCTCCGTATTGACATGTCAATGTACAGGGTAAGATATTTTAGCAAGCTGTTTTGAGTTTTACAATTTAGAATAGCCAAGCAGCCATTTGAAACTGCCCAAATGTGATCGATCAACAATAAATAACTGAGGATGTTGGCCTATGCTTTTGAGACATTATTTTTCAGTCTGAATTTTGGTATGGTACAGTTGTAAATACTTTGTTATATAAAACGTTGTTTAAAATTTGAATCATATTTTTGGAAGTAATCAGACATTTAAAAAGCAGTGAATTTTAGGAATATGTATAACGAAAGTGCCATTCTGCTGAATACTGTAATGATGAGATGATGGAACTACACATATGAAATTTGAATATTTATGTAGAAAACGAAATTGTAGGAGATTGACAAACCAAATTTTATTTTTCTAGATTCTGTAAGCAAGTCAGTGTGTGACTGTGGTATGAAAGTGTAGGGCACTTTTAACATTTTAAGTCTTTCACGCCAGACAATCCAAAACCAACTTTAAATATGTCTATAGTACTCTCTTGGTGGACTTTACAAAAATCAAGTAGTGAAGGAAAATGCGAGGGTTGCTTAAAATAACTTTGATTCGAAAATCAATGCCATAATCGCGGCATTTTATCTTAAGTGTTTGTTTTCCATTTCTATATACATGGCAGTTTATTAGATAATGTTTCCCAGTCTCGTCACACAACTAAAACTCATTGTCTTTTTATCAGAAAAATTTCCCTTCAACTGGTTTAGAGAATTTAGCCGAGTTGAAAGCGTGCATCAACCTTATCAATGCAATCATAGAATTCCGAGTAAAGGTTTGTTTAAATACTTATTTATATACAGGTTACTTATACGCGTGAGATTTCCTTGAAATGATAAGAAATGGATGTCAAGTGCCAACATCCACCACGCGCTGAATGATTTTTCGAATTTATCACGAAGTCATCGGCTCTATCTAATATTTAAAATGTCATGTGATACAATGAGAATATTTTTCAAGAATATACATATTTTTTTTAGTAATCAAGGTAAAAGTATATTTTGTTGGAAACGTACAAATCCCACTCACCACAATCCTATATTCGTATATTGTACTCAATAGTCCAGCTGTCTACCTCTACATTACCGGCACTGTCACGTATTGAAGTTCAAAATATTAGTGTTACTTAAATTTTAATTTAAGTTTTCACTTTCTGTAGGTTTTAAATATGAAGGCAGAAAGCGATTCAATAATAGGCGAATGTTGCAGACAATGTATGCAAAAAAGCTATGAATACATGTTCGAAAACTGCAATGATATGTATGCAGACTATCTAGAATCCACGGTAAGTTTACACTGTTTCTACTTTTTCACTACAATATTCTGTTCGTATGTTACAAATAATTCTGTTTAACTGCAACGCCGTAAAAAGGTAATAACTATTGATATATCATATATATATATAAATCATGTAACTTTAGCTGCGAATCTAAACGGGCGACCAAACTTTACCTTGTAACGGTATTCACGTTACACGTTGCCAGTTTCTGATTATTCTAACAACCTTTTTTGGATTTGTATTTTTCCGACGCTAAAGAAGGGAGTTTGATTTAGTTAGAGCATTCGAATTAAATAGTATGTTTATGTCTTTCCCCCTGGAATCGTTGTTTTCTTCTACATTGAGTTGAACTACTTCTGATTTCTTTCCATCCAGAGTGAAGCTCCGCCTGAAAATGATGACAAACCGGATTGCGGCAAAATCGATTCTCTTGAATATTGGATGAGATTAAGCACACTTTTAACACAAATTTTTGATGAAGATAAAACATCATACGCACCAATATTTCAACAGTATGTTTATTGGTTGTGTCTTAACTACGTCTGTGGTCATTGATGCAATAGTGCCCTGTTGAATCGTTTAAAATTTGATAGCGCTTAAAATAGGCGATCGATGTATGAATTAGTAAAATATACTTATATTATTGTTCAGTATGCACAATGGTATCACAGTTCGCCAAATACTAAAGAGATTGCGATAATTTGGGGTTGAAATAACGAATATTACATCAAATGTTTACAGAAACTCGAATGTTCAACTTTTTGATATATCGGTTCAAACATTATGGAGTCTCTTTAGTGAAGATCTAGAGAAAGCCCTCTCTCTTCACTCAGCTCATACAGAATGTCAATCCAAAGAATTCATGAATTTACAATTTAAAATCAAATGGATTTATAACGAATACGTGTCGAAGACTTTGACCGACGGCGCAGGTCCGCCGAGATTTTTCAGGTAACAATTGGGTATAAATTACGTTTTAGTGATTTTTCTATTACAAAACTCCACTCGTTAAAACTTTTAAACTGACTCCTAGTTAGTATAGGAAAAAAGGAAATTTTTTTGGCACCAAGAAAATGATCATCCAATGCTCAAAATTACTATATTACGGTCCGCAATGCAAAACCATAAACATAAAAACCGTAATTCGATATCTCATACTAGTAGTAATATGAAACAACATAGAATTCACACACAAAACATAGTTTTTTAAATAAAGTGAATTGTACATTGACTCCATGATAAATAGCTTATTCAGTAATAAATATTATATAGGTATAGAAGTTTAAGACATCGTTATTACCCGTGTTACCGTAAATTTACGAATATACCTAATTGGAGAGAAAATTATTGGAAGTTGTTTCCAACCCGCGAAGCGAATATGATGAGCGGGGTATCCCACTAATTACTATATTGAGTGTATGTATAATTTGATTCTTTGCAACCGATCTCTTTTGACTTAGCCATTAATTATTTCCTCGGTTTTGATTCAAATATGGGTAAGTCATTGTATTCTTAAATTTAGCCTGTTCGAGCCGTTCACGACTACATGGCTGAAAGACAACGAATCGGATTCGATTAGCATAATGCAGGCTGCTTTTGTACGTGATAAGAAACATGGGGTAAGTCTTTATGTTGAACGAAAGCAAAATTAAACTGAAATTGGGCTAATCACTTGCAATTCTCAACTTGTTTTGAAGGCCAACTGTATACCACTACTTGAGTTCAGAGGACTTAATAGCCAAGGCCAATTATGAGTCGTGACATGTGACAACCATACCCGAAGTATGCCACTGTCACTTACAAAACAAAATATCAAGCCTGCACTTTGTGATGATTTTTAACTTGTTTCTAATTTTTTGTGTTTAGTTCAAAAAAACTTCGGAGCACTCTTTATTCTCCAGTTCGATAGTCGACGTTTTCTCGCAAGTCAATCAGAGTTACGGTATATTGACTAAATTGGATTGTAGTGATGTCGACGTAAGAAATGGATATCTCAAGAAGTTCAGCATGGTAGTAAAATTATATTGAATGTTTGTACTTGTGTTTAAAAATAGGTTCGAAAACCAAGTTTGGACACCTCAAGCATACAACGGTTGATGGAGTTGATGTTTTGGAGAATATGAAGCTTATAGCTCATTGATGTACGAAACAAAGTGCTTTCCATAATTTGAGACTATGTTACCATTCTGTAGAACACAAAGCTCAAATATGCTACTGATTTTCGTACAAATTGTAGTGTGGTGAAATGTTTGCAATCTTTTCGGGCATCGCGGCTCAGGTCACCAGAACGCCACACATTTTTAAAATTATTTTCTCTTCTTCGCCTATACGCCATGCGAACGAATTTATTTTTACATTTCCGACCTGTATTTCCCAATTTTGTCGCATATGTCACCGATTACACGTCTTCATATTTTCAGAACATTGAAACGGTTTTGATAGCATATTCAAAACTGATACAAAGTACATTTCCTGAACATTGCAAAGATATTGAGATTGCTTGTATATTGATGAACAATATTCAGCAGGGCCGAATTTTACTGGAAAAACTTTATCAAACGATGGGAGGAGAATCGGTGAGTTTCAATTTATTTATAAATGAATAGGAGAAATAGACTTTCATACATTCAAAATCTGTCAAATTATTGATTTTGTTCAAAAATATGGTAGGATAGCTTTAAATTTCTTAGAATTGCAACAAGGCATTTCAGCAATATTTTATGTTTCGTCCTATTGTAATTTGTTCATCATAACTTACAGTACACATTTGCTGAATCTCCTAAATTAGACGGATATGGTTTAGTATGCCTCTCGTTTCTGAATTCATTCAGTTTTATATGAAATGATTGCTGCTTAAGAGCTTTCATTGAAAAAAGGGTGAGGGTTGGTAGGGAAATCGAGAAAATGATGAGATCTAACTGCGCTTAGTGATAACCTCGGCTTATGATGTTTACTCTAAATAATGAGTATTCGAATGTATGTCGTGTGTATATGAGATAAATTTTTGTTTAAAATGTCGTTATACTGCAAAAAATATGAAAATAGTTGTCAATATATCAAATTTTGTAAATATTCCACAGCTTCCAGAAGAAGTTTGTCAGATATTGACTGAAATTCAAAACAAATTGAATTCAATACTTGACAGACTTGCTGAAGAATTTGCATCTACAAACAAAGAAAAATTGCACGAAGCTTGCAGTAGTCTAGGACAACTGTTGAGAGCGGTTTGTATCTACAGAGTCTTCGAAATTTTTCTACTACTCGATAAAACAAGCATTTGATCATTATACTGTATATTCAAAGCAGACTATTGACTTAGTGATCAACATTGCCAATACCCCTATTCAACTCAATGAAAGTTCAAAATTGTGTAAATCAATAAATTTTCTACTTACAGTGTGATCATTGTATTGACTCAACCCCCCCCCCCCCCAAAAAAAAACAGAAGCCATAAATTCAACTTATTCTATAAAAATAAGGACATTGTATGCAACACTGGAACTTCTGTTTGTGTATGATTTTGCTCCGAAAAATTAGTAATCCAGAACATTTTGCAGACATTTCTGTTTTTTTTGGGGGGTTCACCGTGCCTTACCGAAACTACAGTCGCCATTCTGTTGCCAGTAAAGAACGCGAGCACGGGCACAATTTGTGGTTTATTCATATAGAGTACTGTATATTATATATTTTTGAGTGTATAAGGCGATCAACATTCTATTATTTAGATCAAAGGAAGCGGGATGGTTGCTCCAACAGCAAGTACAAAACCCACCAGAGAATCTGATGCAGTTATTAAGCCATTAATGGATGTTCTTGACACATGGTAAATACTTTTCATATGCTAACTCAATATAGTATTGTCATATATTCTCCATGCTAAACAGAAAAATCCTGATTAATATGTCACTGAAAAAAAAGAGACAAATAATTACATAATGATCGAGAGCCCTGATACTAAAAAACGTGTACCTTCGAACAGCACTATGCTTGAAGTTATTGAGGTTTTTACAGTTACATATACATGTTTCAATTTTTCAAAATTTTTTTAAACGCGTAACTAAACGAGGTAGTTCAGATATGACATCGAATAGACTTTATTTGCATGCATTAGTAAGGCAATGGTTCAAATTATGTGGTCTCATCAGACATATAAACGTTCCGTCAGTTATGCTCCGAAAATACTAGTTTTATATTGACTATATTTATTTGCTCCTGGTGTACTCACATACTAATAAAAATTTTTTGGGTGATTACAGTTTATGCGTATTTGGTAAATCATCCGAGAAAACAGTATTAAAAAGAGTTTTGAAAGAACTTTGGAAACTTGTTATAACAACAATGGAAGTTGTTGTTGTTTTGCCAGGAATCGCAAAAGACGAAGAGGTGGGTGTGATGTTTTTTTTATACGTTGTTACAAATTTAGTTCACTATAGAAATAGGAGAATTATAACAAAATAATTTTTAAACAACCATTTGGACCATGAAAAAACACTTTTCAAAATTCTTTATACAGTAGTATAAGTCATTTAAACATTATATTTATTAATTAACATCAACATTTAAGATACCACGTCTCATATGGATACTGCTTTACTGGATTGCTTCTTTTGGAATATGCGTTTTTGATATTTATTCTCTTCCTCCTTGTATTGGTATAAGGTTAACCATTCAAAATAGGGGATTCTGAACGAAGTCTTTTGAAGCTTCAAGTAAAAAAATCGGCACTACCGAAATATGTGCACCAAGATGGCGCAGAACCTGAACACTAACCTGGTACACATACTATGTTCAGGTTGTGCGCCATCTGGGTGCACATACCTCTGGAGGTCCAAAATTTTTTCTAGCTACTACATTATTGAGTTTTACCATTACAGGAGTGTCAATCTGATCCCGAGCAAGATAATAAATTTCTTTCCGCACTTAAGGTATATTCATGTCATGACATGTGTGGAATTAATGATGGCCGTGTTTGCACTTCATACTTTCATGATATTGTATTGAGCTAAAAACCAAGATTTGCCGAATGAATCGTCCCATCCATTTTGATTTTGCCAAAGCAGACTTTTGAAGGGCGATGCATGTGCTCATTCAAATTCATCTGATATTTATACATCTCGAAATCATCGACGATCAAACATTGAAGTTCATTACACAAATTATATTTTCATCTCACGAATAATGCCATTCCATCGATTCACTAACTATCATCTCACAAACAAATTCACAATACATGTTTCATTCACCAATGCCCATTTTGTACGACGTTAAGTATATCCATATCTAGTTATAGAATTGCATGATACATTTCATGAGTGTTTTGTGTGGTGTGGTATTCAATCAACATTTTGGTATGGACACCATTCATTATAGTTAGTCATTTATAACAATACTAATTTCAGTATTGTAAAAAGCATGATATACATATTGTCATTGCATGTTGTGTGGAATATTTGAATAAAATATTATTGGACTGAAGGCGAGGCAACTAGTTGGAGACAAAATAATAAGTCCTAACACACCGCATTTGTCGTTGCATAGTTGGTGCATGAGAATATCTCGGGATTGCTCATTTTGCTGATTGATCAATGTCGAGAACATAAAGTTTAACACATTACGTTCAAACGCTATCTTCAAATGGATATAAGCAAATGGTTTATCAATTAGTACTATAGTAATCGGGTTAAGTTTAGCCCCATACTTTGGTTTAGAATGCAATGCATGGCTTTCAGAGTGCTGAAGTGACCCAACTATATGAATAAAATCAACCATATTGCAGCTAGTACTCAATGTACTAGCATTCGGTATTGTTTCTTTAATATTTTAATCATAATTTATACAATTCTGATTTTGTTTATTATTTCAGGATGCTGGACGAGAAGATGCATCCAAAAGCTTGACACCAAAACATTGCACAGTATTGGAGACGGCTTTATATCAAATAAAGGTAATTATATACTCAAAACAGGGATCCGCTTGAGACGTTAATATAAACTCACAAATTTCCGTCTTTGGTGTTCACTATTGAATTTATCTTTATGGAATTTAACTTTTCGTACGATACCATTGTTACAAACTCTGTGTTACATTAAGCTTTTAGCGAAATAACCCGAATAGGAATCCACTAAAGTGCATATAAGCATTTGCTGTGATTTTATATTCAGGACTACTTCCACGCTTCTGGAAATGGACTCAAACGAGGATATTTAGACAAAAGTTCAGAACTAAAGAAATTGTCGTATGCTCTTTCACTATATACTCAAACTACGGACGCGCTCATTAAATTGTTTGTACAAAGTCAAAAAGAACAAGGTATTTAAATAACAAGTTATAAAGTAACACTTAAGTACATTTCAATACTATTTCAACTGGAATTTCCAGTTATACTGAAACCGTACAAACGCTTTTTTCCAAAAAAACTTTCCAATTTGTTTTATATGCAATGCTTTCTCGTACTTTTCATTCTGGTTTGGCTTTGCCTACCCAATTTATCGAACGTCGACAATGACAAATCGGAGAGCAGTAAAAGTTGATGTCACAACATGAATTTCATACGCTTTCATGTAAAAATATTTAACTATGTATTTCTTTGAAATTAGATTCAGTGGACGAGAGTTCTTTGATGGGTGAAGTAAATGTTCAAGTTGATCTGTTCACTCACCCTGGAACGGGTGAACATAAAGTCACTGTGAAAGGTATGGGGCATTAAATGTTCTTAAAAAAAAATTTGAATCAAAACGCGCAAAATGTATGTCTACATTTCAATTTAAGTATGAATTTTTCACTAGACTCAAAGTGAAATGAACGAAGATCAAAAATCATATTGATAAAGCGACTTTTCAATAATCGAGGGTTCATAAGGAAGGCAATGTCCTATTTTTGCTTGGGATTCTTATCAACTACCAAGGCTTCGTAATCGAAAATAATATTAAACAGAAAAAAAATCATTTTTATGACTTCATATTTGTTTTACCAATTCCAATCACCACTGCGCTGGATAATTTACACTCTGTGTGAAATAAAGACAATCTTAAATGGATTATGAACGAACTGTTGCAAACTAATTATTTTTTGTGCATTCAGTTATCGCTGGAGAAGGACTAAAATGGAAAGTATCTTCTATGTTTCGACCTTTCATTGAAGTTAATATGATTGGACCATATTTGGGCGATAAAAGAAGACAGTTTGCAACGAAGTGCAGAAGCAACACAGCAAGTCCGAAATATAATGAAACATTCACATTGTGAGAGAAAGTGTTATATTGACAACTTATTAATATGTTCTGATATTTATGCCAGCTAGATTGTGTATAGAAATTGATGATTAAAAAGCAACCAAAATGGTCGTTATTTTTGTTCTGTTAATTGGTACCGTTTCATAAGTGTATTTTTCTTTTACTATGCCGTTTTCCAATATGGAGCGTTGATTGTCGTTTAAATATTATGGTATAAAATTTGATTTGAGGTAATTAAAAATATTGTCCATATAAGTATTATACAAATGTATATGAAGCCTTTGCTTGATCCGAAAATATTTTTGATTGATTAGTCAACTCAGCAATGAAGCCACATTGGATATTTACGAAGTTCAGCTTATTGCCAAAGATTATTGTTTTGCAAGAGAAGATAAAATAATCGGAATAGCAATTCTACAACTGCGTGAAATAGTGAAACAGGTATTAAGTCAGTTTTTGTAACAAAATCAATCTATTGTGTTTGGACAACGAATAATGAAGAATTTAGTCCTAAAAACTGTACATCTTTTTATGACGTAATTGTATCCGAATTCGGATTGCCAGTAATGACAATGTTATCATTGCTTTCACATGTATTGTACTTTACTTTCGATTTAATGTATTTTTCAAACATTAGAGATATTTTTGCTTTGCCTTTGCTTAGTTACCAATCATTGACTAGTTGTTTCTATTTTCAGGGCTCATGTGCGTGCTGGTGTCCTCTTGTAAACAGCATGCATTTCAACCAAACTGGTAAAACAGTTCTCAGGATTCTTTCACAAAGACTTGGAGACAATATTGCTCGGGAATTTGTTCACATCAAAGCTTCAATACGATCTCCGGAACCAGTATAATAAATAAGGACAATAAGAAGTATAACATATAATCGCTAAAAGCTTGGAATACAGAAGTGAATCCGAATTTCGTTGACTTGTGCATCAGAAGCCTAGTCTACGCTGAGGAATACCAGTGAAATATCAATGCAATGCCTGTTGTACCTGCCACTGTTCTGACAATAAGATATTTACATTTGATTTCATGCTGTAAATTGCGATTTTGTTCGAGCACTGTAAGGTCTCAGGCTCCAACTAGCTTAGAACGAGATAGTCCTACAACTAAACCCCAAAACGATAGGACTCTGGAGTAGGCGGAACGTTAAAATATTCACATCAAACGAATAGATTTGATTAATTGTAAATATGTATAACTATTTGTGAGACTCAGATTATGATTTACAATAACACATATGTCCAAAAACGTTTGCTTGCTTAGTTTGTGCATACCTGGCACGCGAAGCATAGCCTAAAAAACTAAATTGTCGTCATATACTAATCTATATACTGGTAAGTGCCTTTTGTTCAGTATTCAATCAGTTATAATCAAGCATTCCTTGTTGACGACATGTCTTCTCTCTCAATGTATCCTATTATCCGTGATGCAATTATATAAAAACACTGATACCAAGACTTCTGAAATGAACCATTTAGGATAGGTTTGCCTATGATCATAATTTCATAGTCTCATTGCAATAATGATGTTACTCTCAATGCCCAATTCCGTACTATGTATAGTTTTTATAGTAACATAACTATAGCTTTAAAGTGTGATTATATTTACTTTTGTGTGTAAATATGTAATACATAATAAACATTGCTTTTTGAATATATGATGGTTTTGGAAAATATATCGGCGCCATATATGCCAAACAAATATATTTGCTCTTTCGCATTTATACATCATTTGTTTTTCTCTTAAATAATCCAGAAAAACTTAACACTGCAGGATACTATAATATCTGCGTTTCTCCGATTATATCTTATTGACTGAGGAAGAGAACTTCTGAAAGATTTATGATTACGAGATGTAGAATATTGAAATTTTAGGAGTGTTGAAGGTGACGTGTGATATTATAGTAGGCTAAAAACATTTCTGAAATTTAAAAAATAATAACCATCGATATTTCAGCTTCACACGCTTTCAAACATATAGCAATATTCAAAAACCGAATTAATGTTCGTTTTAAATCTATCACGAGAATTTGTCGGAGTTAGGAATTCAGGAATAGGAGCGATAAATATTGTATTTATACCCTAAGGGTCCACCAAGGATCCCCTAATCTGATATTAAACAAGGTAATTGAATTATACTAATGTATTATATTCTTTCATATAAGCATTAACATGGATCAAAAATGAATGTTAGATACACTAATTAAATTTCTAAATTATCGAAAACGTTGCCATTCTCGATTCTGTCGCTCTGAAAAAATAAAAAAAAATAAAATATGAGAATCTATGCTGATGAAATATATTTATTTCAACTGCTGGATCCTACCTTGGATTTTATTAATCAATGAACTGAATTTTTTCCCATTATTTATGATTACGTACTTTCGACAATTTTCAATGGTAATAATATGTAGAATCACTATAGGCATTATCAATCGTAATAGAAATATTTTAGCTATAAAATGCAGTTTGTGAATATGCTTGTGACCACAAAGCAGAGGTGATAGGACATATGCTCGTCCGGCTTTGAGAATTATTAGACACAAAGTGTACATGTGGAACGCTTGTGTGTGCAACCTGCGGCCCGCTGACCGAATGCGGCCCTCAAGAAAAAAATGTGCGCTCGCTGAGAAGTGCCAATTGTGAATAATGTGCGGCCAGCGAAACAAGCTTTTAATTTGATAATTTCAATCCTGAGTCCAATTAATGGTCTATGCTCATGACTTTACAATGCCCAAACAGCTAGCTTGTGCGAAGCGAACAACTCATGTCATGAGATCAAAAACCGAAATTTGTGTTCGAGCAACTACTAGAAAACCTATGTTAAATAAAGGTGTGGCCCGCGGTTTCATCCAGTCATTTTAATCTGGCTTTCCTGTGTCAAAGATCGCAAACCCCTGTTCTGAATTATGTTTGTTTCAACTGAGTCGTGCGAGACTAGATATTTCGACCCAAACGAAATTGATTTAACGTATACAACGTAACATTTGGGCAGAAATGCAGTAGCGCTGGTTAAATAATGGTTGGCTGTTCTTTGTTAACCCTACAATGCGTGAACTTAAACAAAATCAGAAAATGGGTATTCAACAGCATTTACTAATAGATACTCACCGACTTTGCAGATGAATGGAAGAGCAGTGCTTGAGCAATCAGTAAACTCAAAATCGTCCCCATTCATCACGACGCATTTTTTTGTTTGGTTTCAACTCAGTATTTTTCGTTCAATTTCCTGAATTGGTCAAAAATAATACACACGCGACTTATATAATGAACGCCGTAAAGTTTGAACGATTTTATTTGATATTATCGCCGTTTATTATACATATATACACGGTCTTAGTTTATAAATATACTTACAATCATGACAGTTGTTATGGAGGATTTTAGACATGTGTTAAATGCAGTGAGTTTCAAAGTGAGAATACCCCTCCCTTGAGGGGAGGAAGAGATAAAACGGGGGTGATTGCGATTTCTCAAAAAGTCAGAATTATCGCCCCAACTTGTTTTGTTCATGTGCCAACAGAGGATATTCATCTCACTAGCGCTTCCGCTAGGAAGAGGGCATGACTTCGCGAGGTGTATTGATTCTGTTGCGAGTTTTATATATGTCGCAGCCAACTGGCTGATCTGATCAACATCTATTCATAGCAGTATTTACTAACATTGGTTCGATCGAGTTCCCCGAAATTCGATGGCCCTGTTCGATATGTCAAATATATTAATTGAGAACGGTTGCATTTTATAGTGTTGTACGAAATTACCTTCAACTGTTCAAAACGTTGGGGTTTGACGAGAGAATGCAGAATAACGTATTGGTTCAGTATTGTTTTGCAAGGGGTGGATGGTTATGTATAAAGTCTGTATGGGGGCGACGGTACAAAGAAGTTTGAAAACCGCAGTGGGAAAAAATCCTTCATTGAAGATGTTGCATGAAATTGCAATACGATTTCAAATTAGATTTTAAAGTACTTTATTGGTAAAACTTTCATAGATAAAATTTCGATTTGTTGATTAATGTTAAAATAGCGATTTATGTGTGCACAATTTGAGACGTGCGATTTAGCCTTGAAAAAAACTGCAAAGTGTAATACCCGGGAAGTCTTTTTTGCAAAATTCAAAAGTCTTCTCTGTCATCGACGCGAGCAAGTCTCATTCCTTTATATTCACACTCTTTCTTTGCGTTCGTAAATGATGTTCGGCTGCTATATGTGGCAGTATAGTGTCACTGAAATCCAGCATTGCATACATGGCTGGAACTTCTCTGCTTGTCACTTTAAAATGAATAAAACAGGTTTGCAACATACAAATCTTGAATCAATTTTATAGTAATTTTGAATGTTATTTATAAAATTCCAATTTCTGTTATATCACCAAAAACAATCAGTAAATTCTAGTGGTTATTGGTTACTATACTAGAATGTAACTATCGGTATAGAAGTGAATGCGTACGAGCAACAGCATCTCGTGGATACAAAGACTATTATCTAAATTCTAAAGTACACTGAAAATCGTCTATAGTTTTTCTTTGTAGCGCGTATAGCTATTTGCAAACATAAAAAAGTCTCATTGATATTTTAAAAGTTGTTCTATATATACGTAATAAATGTTTATATGATTTCAAAAAGGATTTAGTTGATTTGTTTAATCCAAACTTACTTTAGTATATTAAGCATTGAATTTGGAACGAACAAAATTTAGTAAACTCACAAATCTGACAGACATAAGGTGAACTGTCTCCACAAGCGTTATCATTCCAATAAAATCCTCTTGCTTCCAAGTAATCCTCGTTATCTTTGTTATTAGGTTCGTTTGTGGAGCAGAGCATCTGATATATTTACACTCACAAACGGTTACACTCATTGGGGTTTGCTTTACTAACACTATAACGGACATTTTAGCCACGGAATTTAAAATTAACAAATAGCTTAATAAAATCTGAAATATTGTTTAACCACGAACGTAAGAAAGAATATAAGGTATTGAACACAACTGGCGCACAAATTGAAAGAAATTTATCAAAATACAAAGTTCGTGAGTTTACAAATAGTTCTCAACGTATATACGCATATAGTGTACATACCACATTGTATAACCACCATAAACTTGAGTTGAGTCAATCCACATCCAATTGTTTTCGTTATACATATCAGTCGCACCAATCCAGGCAAATCTGAAATACAATCCTTATTCAATGCGCAGGGTACCCTGGAAGTATGTGAACCAAGATGGCAGACAACGGAACTTGGCTAGTCGCCGAACTTGTAATAGAACTAAAATAAAGGAAATTTGAATAAAATTATGGCCTAACCCTAACCAGGTACACATGTAAGGTTCACATCTTGGTTCACATACTTCAGAACGCCTAAAGGTTGTCCAAAGTTTCTTTCAAAGACCAATCTTTTTTATTGATCGATAGCCTCAGTTTGTATTTTTATTTCGTATTTTTTAATGGTAACTGGAGAGGCTTGTACAAACGTTTTTTCTAACAAAAAATAAAATTTTTAAAACTAATTCCTAAGGATACAAAACGTCTGTGCGTGATATCAGTGCAAACTTTTTCAACAGATTGTTCAACAAGAATAAAACTGCACGTCGATTTTACAAAACAAGAGAGCTATGCTCATTTTTTGATAATTTTTCCCCATGTGAAATGTTCTTAGGTGTGCCTCTTATATCTAGATATATATTGAGGGCCCGACATTATTTACAATACGAGAATATCGGTCGGAGACTCGATCGAAATTTAGGGGATCCCCCAAAACAGAAACTGCGGTTTCGATTCATCCGCTCTTACTTCATAGCGACACCGTGTCCCATCACTAATTAATTAATAACTCGCTAATTATATGACATAATTCATCCAAAATCAATACGCTTTGGGTCCGAGATATGATAAATGCATATGCAAAATTTGGAGCAGATTCAACCTCGCTTTCGTGAGATATCGCGTGCATCTAACAGTCAAACAAACGGTCAAACAAATACCTATCAACTTATTTATCGAGATCAATAAGTAATAATACGCAAATATATGTTATTATATTTGGCCCGTCCGCGAGTACATGTAATTAATTTTACTGCCCGCCAGCGTAGGAAGGTTGGGAACCACTGGACTAGATTCATTGGGACGCGACTTCAACTACTGTTTTTGCATCTTATGGCAGTAGCATTTCCCGGAACTTTCAACACCTAGCAGTGTTGCCGAGTTTATTTCTTGCAACTGCCCAAGCACTGGACTTCTTATTCATGCCAAATTCTTCAAAATTGCTAACAAGTTGACTTTAAAGCCTATTTTTTCATGTAAATCAAAATTAGTATCTCTCTGGTGTATAAGGTTATTTATCTGAGCGAATGTATGTTTCTACTTCCTCTGGAAAATGGCTGTATTATTAGGGATAATCATCTGATTGTGCACAAAGTTTATAAGTAGGCTACTTTTCCACTGTTGGATCCGCACTTTCTGATAAATTTTTCCATGAGCAGGAAAACGAGTAAACCAGTCCACATTTCTGGGTGCAGAAACAGTGAACGAATTAACAATAGAAATATTCATGCTGAAGGCGAGCAAGAGTTGGAGATGACAACATTCTTTGTCGCTTCCTCAAGTTTGTTGCATATATACCCATGCCTGCCTGAGTTTTTTAATTTGTGATTTCGATTAAAAATTTCAATCCTCGATGAAAATTGCTAAAGTACTTCCAACCTTTAAATCTGGGAACATAGACCTATACAGTGGTGGGATTCAGCCGGTTCGCACCGGTTCTATAGAACCGTCTAGCAAAATTTTATGAGATCAGCGAACCGGTTAGCATTACTGGTTACTGTCAATGTTCTGTTTATAACAGAACCGGCTGAAAAATATAACTTTTGTGAAGGAACCGGCTGACAAAAATTTGAATCCCACCACTGGACCTATATCGATACTATCCGCCATCGACGAGATATTTGAACGCCTAAATAACAGGAAGCTTATAAACTTTTCTACTAGAGAATACAATCTTCAACCATTGTAATTTACAAATAAATTAGTCTAGTAATTGTAGAGAAAGGTGAATTTTCCACAACAGCAAAAGAAGCAAAGAAAAGTTGTAACAGCAACAACAACAACATAATACCAAAACGTCTATTTGTGTCCAATAAGAACTAGGAGCACACCAAAAAGCTTTGACCTAAAGCGAAATAACGCCGATGAGTTCACTGTGCTACGTCATCAAAGGACCATTTTGGCTTACTGTCGATTTTTGGGTACTCCCGTATTATATGTACTAGGTTAAGGTTAGGCCATAATTTTATTCTGATTTTCCTTATTTTAGTTCTATTACGAGTTCGGGGACTGTCTGTGTTAGCCAAGTGAATACCCCACTGCCCATAGGTTTCAGTACCTTTACACAACTTGATGTAGAATAGGCGAACAAAATTATTTACCTCCATATTGGTACACGTACTTCTAGAGCGCTGATTTCTGTAGGGTTGACTTTCAACTACTGTATTCGAGTTTCACAAACCAATCCAATATATGTGAGCAGTAAACACCAAAGCCCCCTTAAAATTATATAGAATAAATTTCATAACAAAAGTTTATTCCGCGAAACCAACTTTTAAAGTATGTTTATCCCTATTTTTGTGTGTAAATATGTGATACATAACAAACATTGTTAAATTTCCCATATACTTCGTTTGAACATACTACGCCGTTGAAAAAAATACTGGCGCAAAATATGCCAAACAGTAGTCTCTTTTGTATTTGCCAAACAAATAACTCAGAGGAAATTGACACGTTTAGGAACAAAATGAACGAATTTTATTTGGCAAATGCTTCCAAGATTAGGAAGATTTTAATTTTATACGCAAAACATATTTAAATATATATTCGGGAGCGTTACCGCCAAGGTTTTAAAAACGCTTTTTGAGTGACCTGGCCACTTCTTTAAAAGCTATACTTTCGACACGACTCGTTGAACTCATCGTGAAACAAAATCGTTTACATTTTGAGGCAGTCTTTTGTTTAGGGTTGCTCGATCACTCAAACCAAATTCAGTCAAGTATAGCGAAGTTATTACTAGATACGACAAAAACAGATTTACTTGGCTTCTTACCACGACGTTAAGAAATTGGTTGGCAGCGGGCGAGTAAAGATTCCGGCATCGGGTACTAATTGGAAATCATGATTATAATGACTGATACTGATTAAATTAATTTACTCAGTTGCTTGTGTCAGGCATCAAACTAGATCTCTGGTAATTCAGCTATTTGTTTCATCCAGATGACGTTTAGGACTCAGATTTATGCGCATTTCAGAATAGAATTCTACAAAAAATTATTTTATTACTCAAGTTCGATTCAGCCGCAGCCACGAGGAATTTGCTAATGCCTCGGTTCGGCCAAACGAGACGTCCTGAAAGTTTCGAGATATAATGTATCATAGAAAAGTATAATGGTCTTGTTGGTATTTGCTTGCCTCGGGCGAAAGAGGTGCGGTATCTTGAACGGCGATTTTACTGTGTCAATGAATTACCACCGCGTTCAAAGGCTTGTCGTTGTAGTTCATGGTAAAAACGTTCAAACTGACTGCCGAATTCTTGTTGTCTAGTGATTCAATAAGCTTATATTGCTTTCTGAGTGATTGTAGAGATACAAATATACAAAAAGTCTGTTGAATTTCTAACTTTGGGATGTTGTTTCAACCCAGAACAGTACCTTAGACGCCATTAAGACAATGGAAGATGACCCACAGTCAGCTTCTACTGTCTGACTGTCGGAACACAATTTAAATTAGACTTTTCGTGATCTGTGATTTTCATAAAATGGAATTATCAGATTTTGAACATGCTAGATTAAATTTCACTGTTCTGAGAGGCGTTACGTTTTACCAAAATTCAGACAACATTCTCAGAATATTTGCAAAATTATAGTGAATAAGCAATTTTGTAGTATGAAAGATATGTAAAATAAATGAAATAATCTCAGGAAAGAGGTGTGAATAAGTATAACGTTATGCTCAATATATTTAAATGGAAATATATATAATTGTTTTAGATTAACTGTAGTTTTTCCACAAGGCGCTAATAGATCATTACAGTATTGCAGTTTAATATTTGATGTATCACAAGCTCTGAAATAGTGAAATTTAAGCATTATTGAAAATAATGTGTTTTATTATTATAAGCTATGAAAACCATTAAATTTGAAAAATACATCGCCATTAAATTGTACTGCTTCACGTGTTTCCAAAAATATCAGTATTTAAAGTTTTATTCGTTTTAAGATATAACAATATCAATATGGAATAATTCGATTGGTAAAATTGATGCATCTCTAGTACAAAATACAATTCGTTTCAGCTTTTTTGTAGGTATACAAACTATCTGAACACACAAACATAACTTACTGGCGTTAATTTGTGTTATATTCGTGTTATATGTTCAGTATGGAATTTTTGATAACGTTGCAATTACTATGTCTTTTAATTTGTAATTTTAGTGAATTGAGAATTACATAGATTACTATAATGGGAGAATTAAAAGAATTTCCATTCCTCGTCGGAACTTCTGGTTTACTTGTGATATCATTTATTTTTGCGGTTATTGCTGTAGCAACAGATGGATGGTATGACGTACAGTCACTTCCATTTCTTACAGAATACAACTCAGCAACCAAGACTGAAAAAGAAGACTTGTGTGAGTTGAGTTTAAAATTTGATAAATATTAATATTTACCCGAGCGAAATGTATTTAGACATCACGCAAAGCAATTTTGCTTTCCGTTGTACTCTGTTCAACTAACCACCGCTAGAAGAGTTGCTAGAAACAACCCACATAAGCGGTTGTAACAGGTAATTACTGAGACGTTAGACTTCTTGAAATCATTGTCGTAAGCCAGTGTATCCCAACCTATGAGTTGCGATCCAAAACTCGGTCATCTGAAGATCATTCTGGGTCGTTTGTTTTTCAACAAACAATTAAAAATGGTTAACTTAGCAGATTTTTCTAGTTAATTTTTGTATTAAAGTGTTGCTCAATAGTAATTGTATATGTGGTAGGTATTACAGCATAAAACTTGGCAGCATCCATTTTTCTTAAGTGAAACTAAGCCTCGATATCGAAAATTATTGCAAACAAGCACAGCCTTCTGACTTTGCGGAAAATTAAAAAAGTATTTTTCAATTTTGCGAATATAAAAGCACTACATAACGTTTAGTATGTTAGCATAGACTTCAGTCGCGAGATTTTATAAAAAAAAAATTTAAACTGGGTCGCTTGCAAAAAGCTTTGGGAACCACTGTACGAAGGAACACTTGGAGCGCAAGTCATCAACTTTGTAATGTAAGTAAGCATTCAGGCACACTTCTGCTTTGGTAAAAATGTGAAATTTTGTGTACTTTTCTCTGGTTCAGAAATATTGTGGTATTAAATTTTGTGGTATCTCTTTTGTATTAAATCAATTTTATTTCTTTATCTGACAGTGTGGTTGGTCGGGATTGTGGTCCTCATTCTGCTCGGAATCATCTGTTTGTGTTTCACAGCAGTAATTATTGTAGCTCGATTTTGTGGACACAGTAGAGGACGAGTTAAGCTTGGTGGATTTCTGAGCATTTTTACATGTGAGAGCGTCACCCTATGCGCATCAAGATGGCGCACAACCTGAACTCAGGTTGTGTACCAGTTTAGGACTCAGGTTATGCGACATCTTAGTGCGCATACTTCAGGAGCACCCTTTGTTGCTTCAATTTTTTTCTCTTGCATCAAAGCATATGATTATCCGTGGTTATCGCATGAATAGCAGTATACCATAATCAGTATATATTATCTTAAAACACGTGTATTATTTAAAACACAAGAAATATGTTACAATTGATCACCAATTGATAGTATCACGATCCTAAGTAATATATGACAATAGCTAAACCTCAATCTATAATATCTATATATACCGTTCTATTATCTTTCTCAGTTTATAGTGTGTTTGATGCTGTTATGAGACATTTATCATTAATCAAATATATATACATGTTAATTTATTTTCAGCTGCTGTTTTCATCGTCGCTCTGATAATATTTATGCTTAGCTTTCCGCCAGCAGAAACATCTTACGGGTACTCCTTTGGACTAATGTGGGCTAGCATTCCACTGAGCTTGGCTGGAGGAATTATAATGATGTTACTTCCAGTAAGTCATTTTATTCATTTATGTTACAGTCAACTGGTTAGCCCATGCTTTTCTCGTAAATGCTTACTTTGGTCAATACATTTTTGCTGCTCATTCTTTTTTTACGGATTGTCTATTTCTGATTTTAGATGGATCACAAATAAAAACCTTGAAATTTATTTCAAATATGTGTTTATTATGATTTCACCTAATAAAGCTCCAGCAACAGCCTCTCAAACCCGCAACCCTTTGCCTTTGACAATTCTCAACAGGTTGCCATAGGCGTATTGCATTAATAATCACAAGCAAGAGAGTTTACATTGATTAGTTTTGTCCAATTTGAAATCCTTGATAGCTATGACCTTAACATTTATAATCACAAGCAAGAGAGTGTACATTGATTAGTTTTGTCCAATTTGAAATCCGTGATAGCTATGACCTTAACGGTATCCATTCGTTAACAAAATATTTATTCCAAAATTATTACTTCAAACGATATCTGGTAGCGACTGAGTATATATTTTTCTGTATAATTTAGTTTTTGTTTTCATTTTTGAGTTACATTTTCAATTGTATTTCCAGGATGATGCATTTCTAGACTCGGAGATAGTGACTTACAGTGCTGCGGGGCCGAAGTAATTGAATTGAATAACGTTGTAATCTATTGATCTTTTCATGATTATACACTAACAAATACTACTCTAGATGGTGCTGCTCTCAACTCAACTTAAATAAAATAGAATAAGTGAGGGATAGACTCCCATGTTTTGTTTGTTTTCATAGGATCTGGCATTTCACCAGGCTATGAAACCAATCATTCTTTTTTGTCATCCATTACTTCTGTTTTTTCATACTTCAAAAAAATGTTTTAAATTAATTCAAAAATATGTGCATACTCTTTTTACCTAATAGAGAAATATACTATGACGTTTATACACACTTTATGACTGAAACGCAGTTTTTGTTATATATCACAATATGCCACAAGATAAATAAACAAAATTACTCGTATCTTCGTAAATTCTCCGACAGTGTCCAATAAATTTTACCACGCTCTTAAATGATAATACCATTTGTGTTCATACTCGTAGCCGAGTAATCATAAACCAGTATTTGATTTTTAAATTGTATTACATTTGTACCGCTTCCTGTATTTGTAATTAAAACAATATTTACTTTGCACACTGTTTTTTTAGACTCATGGTATAGGTTGGATAGGACAGAGATACCGATGTCGAAGATATGCGAATTGCTTGACCCAAACTTTATTTACTGTGAATCTTAGTTGGCCACAGAAAGTCAGGCAATCGATTGTGGAATATTGATTTATTTTTTGTTAGTTTAAAAACCAAAGAAATTTGTATTGCGTTGCGGACATAATATGCCTAGGCAGACATATTAATGATGTTTCTAAGTCTATCAGCTCAGATACGTATATGTATATCAGTTCCTAATGGACCTCTACTTCAATTTATCATATAGTGTAGGAAATAACTACTTTATTTCTTTCAATTATACGATATCTGAAATATGCTAGAACTCAAAGCAACAAGACAGCCAGTACTGTAAGTTAAAGAAGGCTGAAAGTGGGTAGCAGCACCGCATCCAGTTGAGTGAGTGTAAAGTTTGTTGGATAGGCAATGTGGTTCGGGTGTGCGTATTCTGGCGCTGCACACACGCCAGGTGTACGTGTAAATACAAAACATTTAAACTATAACCACGTTGCTGTTGAAATGACAGCCCGCTTGTAATCAATTGAAAGGAATATTCATATATATGTTTTATGTAAACTTAGAATCTGAGAATGTTTACTTCCTAACCAAACTTCAATCTAGCTCGTGATGTGATGCTAAAATTCCAATGAAAATGCGTAACTCCAATCGAGTCATGACATTTGAGCTTAGTGCCTACATCAGGGTCGTCCAACCCGTGGCCCGCCGGAAATAAAAAAAAAAATAGTAAATAAAACTTCTATTTTCAAGTGATGTAGTTATTAATATAAAGATTTGATACAAACAATTTGTTCATTTTCCTGAAATGCGCTCTGCTAGCACTTTCAAACGAGCCATGAGTGCAATTTTGAATCGAAACCAGCTAGAAGATATCGATATATAAATAGTCGCTTACACGCTTGGGTCTTTTACTATTCTCTTTAACGTTATCTCACCTGTGAGACAATTTTCTTTCATTTTATCATGTGGTCTGTCGTTCAAATGCAGCACCGACCAAATATTACTTGGCCAAACTTGCTGGGGGCATAAATGATAATTGCCAATGCTGTGTGTTTGGGCGTGGTACATGCATAAAATCCTTGATATTTTGGCAGTGAAGCAAAATATTGATGAGTTGACAACTTTGGATTGCTTTGGCGCTTAAATAACGTACAATTAACAGTCTGATTTAAAGGAGAGGTTTAAAGACTTGCCATTACTCAATTTTACAGAAAAGACGTCTCTAAAGAAAGAATTTCAGAGGATCCACAAAATGGCAGTTTTAATGATCCCATTATTTGTCAGCACTTTCTTGTACAAGCAAGTGACATCACTAATTTCTGACAGTCATATGAAAAATTGGCTTCGCATTGCTACAGCGTCCATTTCAGCGAATATTAAAAACTTGTTAGCGAAAAACAGTGCCAAACTTCACACCAAAATATCTACGCGTAGAAATACTTTTGTTGACTTTACAGTATCTTCGTTTTTTTATTGTTCTTATTATTGAGAAAGTTTGATGCGAGGGTTTTGATGGTTTTTAACTTTTTTGTCATTAACTTTTAGTCAGTGTAGCAAAACTAAAAAAATAATTACCGTAGTGGCCCGCGCAATTATTAGTAAACTAAATAGCGCCCGTCGGCTAAAAAGATTGGCCGACCTTGGGCCTACGTGGTTAACCATGCGCAAACATAAGTCAGGATATATTGATTTCAAGACTTCCGGGAATCGTATGATGGCATGAATTATTCCATGGTAGAGAGTATTAACGTAGTGCGTATAGCCTATTATACTACATGAAATTCTCAAATTCGAATACTACGAGGTTTTAATTTCATTTGTGTATCGTGAAAGAACAGCGTTAAAGCTATTTCTCGTTGAGTGTTTCAGATACTCGGTATTCATGAGGTCAGTTTTCGCGTGAAGTGCGAAATACTATTTTATGAAGAGTATGTCAAATGTTTGTCGCGACTTTTCTAAACGTATTTAAGTGAATTGGAAACCAGGTAACAATTAGTTTCTTGAAGCAGTGTGAGCAGAGCTGATACCGGAATATTGCAGGCAGAGTTTCATTAAAGTAAGTTGAATTTTCATTCTGACATGTCCCTCATATTAATTCTATTTTCTAGCTAATTGTTATGAATATTTACACCCTTTTTTATTCAAACAGTTTTTGATCATCACATTTCTTTCATTATCGAAGTTCTAAGATACAAATTTGAAATTACATATATATATTAAATGTACAGTTTCCAAATACGGTTTTTGTATAAATCATGGAGTAAAAATGTGAAAAAATGATTTAATTATTTTAACTGAGAGTTACGAGACAGTGGGTGTTTTCTTGCCCCTTGACCCCAGGAAAATTCCCCTATACTTCAGCATTGCAAAAATATTTGATGTTTATTTTGAAAGTTCTATCAGCATTGGAACTTACATACTGGCTTACATGTCTGTAGCGATCAGATTCTATTAACTACTATTTGAAAGTACTGCCTATGGTAGTTTTTCGGGCCTAATTTTTGATTACTTGAACTAAACTAAAACTTTTGCTGTGGCATGGCAACTTCTTTGAGTGGCCAAAACTTCACAATTGTTACGTTACAAATCTGGTACACGCTCAAATGAGGTTTGAATTCACGACTATATGCCTATAAAATCATATGTGTATATTTGTTGACCATTCAGGTCACTTGATGAGCTGGAATGATATACATGGAATTGAACAACAAAATTGGTTCTATGGAAAACAACATCACAACTGCCATTTTGATGACCGCGTCGTACACATTTTCTGAATTTGATGAGAAAGTATGTCATAATATTAAATTAAAGGCGTTTCGTCGATTTTCCTTGCCGCATTTGACAATACCTCTTATATTCGGAAATTTGTTCAAAATTGTGTTTTATGAATCGCAACAGGTACCGTGCTCTCAGTGTTGAATTGCAAGGTGACCTTCTGCAGTAATGATACAAAAACCCTTTCAATTGACTTTTGCTCATAGGTGCTGATATTTATGGCATTCATAGACATGATTTTTATCAAAACTAGACCTTTCCACAATCAGTTTTAAGCTGCACAGTTTTAAAAAATAAAACCCTTTTTGTGTAGATTGGAATAGTATCGGATTTTCATGTTTATCCCCGGAGAGGAAAGGACGATGACCTAATCAGGTCTTAGCAGGGTATTTTTTCAGCCACTAGGACATGATGGTGGAGAAAGCCGCAACCGACTAGCGGTTATGTGAACCACCCTTAACCGATGAGCAGTCCAGCAATTCTCTCGCACATATCCCCAACGGATTTCAAACTGCGAACCCACACAGGATAATCAGATGTGGGATGCAAATACTAATGCACTCAACGCCGGGTTCTCATTCAAAATATTTCAGCTTTAATTTATTTGTTTCAAACCAAAGACTAACAAATTTGAAATGTTATTAATGTAAACAGATTACGACTCTCTCTTAAAAAGTGATTTTCAGGTATCAATAATACTACCATGTGTCTCACTCACGCTGGGTTTGATTGGTAATATCTTGGCAATTGCATCACTTTTATATCGAAGATTTCGACCACTTCGTCTTATTGTTTATCAATCTATACGTAGAGCAACCAGCCAACAACCAACAGGTAAAAAAAGCTGATAATTATAGATTATATAGATTTTTATGAGTTTCTAAACTTTTCTGTCCAACCCAAACCTTATTTTAAACTATACAAGTTTTGGATCATATGCAGATGCTCCTTCCAAATCTTCGGTAGGAATATCTGCATATGATCTAGTCTGGGAAGGAGTATCTCGTATCTTATTATCAACCCTAACCCTCCTATAATCTAGCCTAGAATGGGGAATCCTCATATGTGCGCGAATGGGAGTGGATCTTCAGTTGGATACTTGGAAAGAGAAGGATTTTATAGAATCTCATGTTTTTTATACAAAAATATTTCGGTGTGATCATGACCGTGCATAATTTATGTCACATGTATTACTTTCGACTTAAAAATACTAATGGCATAGGATTTATTTCAAAGAATTTCTTCACCATGATAATAAAATGAAGCTATTGAAGCATTGCGTTCAGTTCGACTTCCGGTCTTGAAACCATTAATGCTGTGGTATCACATTTTAAGATTGTTTTTTGATGCAAAATTGTACACGGCAACCAGCACGGTCAGTATCATGCGGTTTATCGTCATTCTTTGTTCTACATAGCAAGTCAAATTACTCGAATAGGCATTTGCGGATGTGTACTCCAAGTACACTCAACCTGATATCAAGATGTTATCATATCAATATGACTTCATTTTCAAAATAATACCTGGATCATAACGTAAACACATATTGAAATCTTAAACTCATCTACATAAAAATATATATTAATACCTGCAATTAAATAAAGTAAACGTGATGACAATTCATGTTTTTAGCTGTGCGGACTGGAAACTTTCACGGTATAAAAGAAGAAGCCAAAAAATTCGGTGTAATACACATTATTGTAATTGTACTCCTATCTGTTGATATAATTGGCATTGTTATAACTTCTACAATAACAATAAATCGTTATGCTACAAACCTGGAAATGCAGGTTTGAAGTTTTTTTAAGCGCATATATATATATATATATAGTTTTTTTGCGGTATTCCGTTATATTATAATTCGGCTTTACGGTTTCGGTTAACCTTAACTAATTTTCATCTGTTTTATGATAGAAATATTTCTAGCATGCAAATCGTTTCGTCCTAATTCGACTTGTTCATTTTTTCAGGAATCTCTGCTTCGTTTGCAAATATTCAATTTCGTATTTATTACACTATTGGTTCTGTCTTTAATAATGTTGATTGCGATAGATCGAATCATAGCACTCAAATTCGCTTTTCGCTACAATGCCGAAGTGGGAAAACGGGCATATCAGGTTTCTAATTTCAATATATATATTTATTTTGCATTATTAATTGGTGGTTCAACATTTAACTAAATAGTTGAAAAACAAATTTCTTTTAGATTTAGACTTTAGCCATTACTAAATTTCCTTCTATGTTTTTTTTTTTTTCTAAAAAATAAGCGGTCAACGTGGCGTATATATTATTGGGTTCTGGTTCGGACTGTTGTTTCAAAAAATATTATAGTTAGCTTGAATAGAATCATTTCAATTTTAAAAATAATCTTTTGGAGCAAAAGTTTTTTTTTCTCATTTTTCACTCCTTTCTAAACACCTTTTTCGTATACAGGTGTTGTATGTCATTGGCATTATATTTCTGTTTGACATCGTTTTTTCACTATTACCTATCACTGGTGTTGTAAACACGTGCGTGTCTCCTTCCTATAGCGTTCCAAGAGGATGTTCACAGCAATCAGAATATTCGGTAAGTACAATTTAAGCCTTTTGACATAAAATTTTGAACCATATTTATTACTGGCTATATGATTGACCTAGCTGTCACAGTTTGGAGACCTTTGTGTCTATTGATATTATCTATTTCGCGTTTCGTTTATGCTAGAGGACTTGAAATATATACAGTAGGCGCCCAAAATCTTTGATTACACGATGACGGAGAACAAGAACATAACATAACCTTAGGACCTGCATCTATAATTATCAAACAAAAAGTAATAACATGTATTTGTCTGTCTGTATGTATGTCTGTCTGTTAGATGCACGCGATATCTCACGAAAGAGAGATTGAATCTGCTCCAGATTTTGCATGTGCATTCATCATATGTTGGACCATAAGCCTATTGGATGAATTATGTCGTATAATTAGCGAGTTAATAATTAATTAGTGATGGGACACAAGGTGTCACTATGGAGTAAGAGCGCTGTTTTGGGGGATCCCCTAACTTTCGATCGATAAGTCTTCAGTCCCTGACCGATATTCTCGTTTAAGTGTTATTCAATTGCATGCTATTGTTTCAGGTATATCTTATATTCTTTGTAATATTGGGGTTAATCCTGGTATCTGTAACACTTGTATGTAATGTGTTATCTCTTATCGAAATTGCAAGAAATTTGAAGAAAAAAATTCGGTATGTATACTTCTCTCATAACACTTTCTTATATTTCTGTTTAAAAGTGATACAGGAACAAATAGTATATACATTATTTTCCGATGATTCGGAATAAATATCAATTGACCACAATGCTTCAAATTTTCATCGAGATTAAAAAATTATCCATTTTATGCCTTTTCCTACAATATCCGGCATGATTTGAAACTTTAATTAAAAGGAAATAAATAAAATTATTTTGTTAATATGATCTCTAATAGGCAATATCATAAACTAGATGTATTCGCTTGATGGCGTTAGATATCGAAATAAATGATAAATAACAATAGAATCGCAATTTGAATGGCCTTGACTTCCATTATTATTCTTCCTTGAATTTTAGAATGGTATCAAATTATTGTGAGCAAGGATGGAGAATGACAGAAGTTCATAAATTTGTACAAATAATATTAGTTACGATTTCATGTTTTTCATGCTGGTTACCTCTACTGGTAAGAAAAACTTATTTATAGAATAAAATGCAAGATGTCAAAACATATACGTTGACATGTGCTACCAGGACACATTTAACAATTAAATATCACATAACAGTCGTGATTCAAAACTGTGAGCAGTTGGGACAAAATATAAGGTACGGATGCCGTGGTCAGACGGATTAATAACTTATGTTTCAATCCGCTGACACTCAGCTGCTTACTGAATTTACTGGAAATGTTAATACAGCAAGAGAGTGAGTGCACATATTTAAACACAAAGTATTCCAGATCTTCGTTACTTTGTTATTTTAATTTTTCATCGCTCTTCCAAATAAATAGAACGAAAAATACGAGTTTACACTGACAAAGAATCTCATAATTAAAAAGTTGATGAGTTTAGGAGAAACGAGATTTTTTTACCACAACAAAAACGTGAACCAGCTATTTTAAATATCTTCGTTTTCAAGATCAGAATTTTAAAGAATCAAGTGAAAGTTGATACAAACTACAGTCAAGACATTATTGCAATTCAGCTGACTAATGTTAACCTTATAGTAAATCCTTGGGTAAGAATCCGTGGAATTTAAATTGCATTTCTGTCTGATGATCCATATATGCCAGTGCATATGGTATGCATGCATTATCTTATTGGAGAAATATAAATGAAAACATCTCTCTTCATAAAGGATTCAGTTGTTTTAAATGTATAGTTTGCGATTAGCACTACATATAAAGAGTTTCATTCTGAATGGTTGTTTCAAAATTATCGTGCACGGTATCATGGTGCACGGCTACTTTGTGCTATGGCAAAGACCTAAAAAAGGAGAAGTGAACAAAATTTGTGCAAGTTCTAAACATTTAGAAATCATAAACACACACCAAAGAGCGGTTACATTTATGTGAGATTCTATTTCGAATGACAACAACTATACAATATCTCTTTAAATACCTTAGTAAAACATTATGTGTTAAACTACGTGAGTCTAAAACCGAATTTTGCTGTCATTTGGTTATATTTTTATCATGCACCCAGACGTGTGTAATCAAGCAATAACGATGCTCGCTATTACTAGTTCATTACTCTTCATTACCATTCATTTCAACTTGGACGAAAAAGAAATCATTTATGACAGCTTATATGAATAAAAATTATTGTTATCATAATTGATGTAAATACTGTATCTTGTAAATGCTTCATTCGTAAAACCAAACTTCGTTTTAAATTGATATCATTTATTGACAGTTATATTGGCTACTACGTGAAAGCAATTTGAAGCGTTTTGTTGACTTCTTAAAATAATTTTGCACTACAGCTGATTTCAAAAAGTGTAAGTTTATTATTTATATATATATTTTTTTTTTATAAAAATATTGAATTCAATTCACTGATGCGCTGAGCCGCTGAGGGTCGAAACTCCCTCTTTTGAAATGTAAAATAGGGCATTTTTCTGTATCATACATAGCACTGGTTCGTCGCTTAAAACGCTTTAAGACTCCCAAGACTCTTGGAACCCGAGTTTTCCGGCCACCGGCCGGACCGTCTAGCTGGTACGATCTAACTTGACAAAAACAAATTTCAGAACCCCTCTGGCTATGCCCCTGCATAAGAACAATAATTAGTGCAACCGTCCGAATGAATTACGAGTGAACGACGCCGAAGGCCATACCAATATCTTAATTTCATCAATCACATATTAATTTTTTTGTTAATGAATGAAAAAGCAGGAGCAAAGTTTCAAGTCGAGAAGAGCATTTTGGAGTTTTCTTTTGAATTAGTTAAATAATTTTTTAAAAAATAATTTTTTATTGCAATTTTTGAAAAGCAGATAACTGTTTGACGCTATGCCATTTAACGGACTGTTTTAAATATAGGCTTACTTCTTTTTTTCAAATAAAAATTTGTGGTCGTGGTTGAATTTAAATCGCATCAAAAGTTCCCAACCACAGCTCTTCAAATCTCTTTCGCTAAATTTGGAAACTCTCTTAAGAGTAGGGTCTTCACGTACTATTTCTAACATTTCATTCAACATGAATACGTTTCTTTTTTCTTTTATTAATATAGGAACAAAGAACAATTTGCCACTTCAAACAAACACAAATACTTTGACATTCAGCACAATCGTACTTTCAAGAAAAATTTTGCACAACTATATACTCAAAATGATCAATGTATTAGCAGGGTTGTCAACTTCAATTGTTTACCTTTACCACAAAATACTTTTATGAATGTCGATTTTTCTCAGTTATATAAAATATTTTTTATTGCAACTAATACATGCTGCAGTATTGGGATGTGCATGTGGATAAATAGAATAGATCATATGAATGATATTTTGAGTTTTGGATAATTTATCGTATATAAGCAATATAATACCTTGTGGATTGTAGCCACAGCAGATGTATCAGACTTCCCATCCCAGCTATAAACGTTTTTGCTTTGGTTTCGCGCTATTTAAATTTCTTTTGTGTGATTTTTGAACATTTTTTTGTGTTTTTTTATGCTAGTCGATTTGTATACCTGGAAAATAAATTAGATTTATTTTATGCTGCTTTTCTGATTTTAATCAATGTTTTAAAACTAGCATGAGTCATGTGAAATATAATTTCAGCAAAGTCTTCAATATTTCATTGTATTATTGTATTCAGATAAAATCCTAACGCTATAGATACATTAGTTTTGATGCATAGTGAGAACTAGAGTAAGTAGAAAAAGCTGGGATATGGGTTTCAAGGTTAACAAGTACACAGAGGTCTTCTGTTAAGAAATTCGTACTCTTGTAAATGTTGTCAACAAGCCATGGCAAAAGTGTAATATGGTCAAATAAGACGTCAAACCGGGGGAGAGAGCATCGAATTTGCTGAAAAGCTCGGCAGATGATCTGTACGGATGCTGCCGTGCAGAACGGAATAAAGAGTGTTCTCCTTCAATTAAAATTAACAGAAAAATTTTGGGGGGAGATATTGGATACCATAGTAAAATTTTAGAAAATAAAACTACGTAATAGCGTTCTAGCGAGTTCTTCCTGTTTTAGGTACTGGAAATCTGAAATCAATTGGCCATTAGCTGTTCAGAAAAACTTAACAACAATTACCTTAACATCAACAAAATGAATTGCAACAAGAAGAAGGTAGCAACCTGATCTGTAGGTCCGCAGTGTACAACAAGAATTTAGAAAAAAATTAACCCTCATGTATACAGTCCATGTCCAATAAGTTAATTACTACAACATTTATCGTCCCTCTAACTCAGTGGTTCTCGATCTGTGGAAGATGATCAAGTGGTGCGCGAGCAACTTTGAATTATTGCAACAATTAACATTTGAGTTGGCCAGAATATGACAACAACGCTTTATCTTCCATACTGATTGTATTCGCTGAACGGCCTTTATGAATGTTTCCCCGGGCATCAATTTCCTTGTTTATTTCCGGAACTAGCAACAATCAGTAAACATTGTCTCGTTTTTGTCGTTTTGCGTGTTATTTGTCAGTTTTCAGTTGCGTTTCAAGAAATTAGTTGTGAATTAAATATCTTAGTTGTCATTATGTCCTCAAAGGAGCATTAATTTAGTTGCTGTAATCAAAAATGAGTCTCGCAAATGCTGCGATAGACTAATCTAAACTAAGCTATCAGTGCCTGTAAGCGGCACATGGTTGATTAAGTTTAATAAAAATGAGGGTTTCAAACACGTAAACCAGCTTACAAGCGCCAACACATCAAAACACTCTCAAAATAGGTAAAAAAAATTTTGGAATAGTAAAGTATAGGAAGAATTTTTCTGGGGCGGGTGTTGGAGAAACGTCTTAAGGGCCAGTCCAGTCCTTAGAGATCGCCCTCGCCTGCTATTGTCCACGAACGAATCGAGATGGGTACGTTTTCGTCCGTCTTGCAAATTAGGTCACTGAGGATGTAGAGCCACATTATAAAATACTCTTATAGCGCGTGTCTTGTGCCAGTGTTCGCCGCGCCAAAAAATGGCTTTTCCAGTGTTACGCGACCAGAGTAAAAAAAAAGTAAAGTGGTATGCGGTCAGTAAAAGGTTGAGAACCACTGTTCTAACTCGTTCGTAGTTTTTTCGAACAAACAATCTACGTTCCTAGGTGTCGCTATTTCACCATAACAAACATTGGATGACGTCTGAGAGAAGCTCAAGTTTCCGACGCGATACCTTGAGCGACATAAATTGAGCGTCGTGGACGAGACCAGTGCAGTTTGGCATTGTTTATTGTTAATGAGGCTTTGATGAGTTGATTGTGTTCAGCTAGAGCTAGACGACAAGATACTTATGGCAATGTATAAATTCAAGGGCCTAGATGCATTAACATTTTGTTTGCGCTTGTTTAGATGATAAAAGTGATATCCTATTTACCAGTTGTTAAGTTTCCAGATGCGTAATAATTATTTTTGACGGTTATTCTGCAATATATTTTATAACATCACACAGTGATGACACTGTATTCTCGTGTGATTGTTTCAAGTATAAATCATACTGAAGAGTGGACGTTTATGTTACGTTTCTTTATAACTTTATGACCCGTAAATCGCATAGCGTTCGATTTACAATATCTACAAATTTTAGATTTTTTATTTTGACGGTTAAGGTTTTTCTCTTTGTGAGGCCTTCTTTCAGAATACCTGTATGTTGTAAAATACTTGGTTAATAACATTCAGACAGCTACGGTTCGGGTATTGACGAATATCTTGAATAAAAACACTGATTGATTGTGACGAATGATGATTATCAACACGATTCCTCAGAGCATTCGATCTTTTAGTGACAACTTTTTGGATGGTAATGCCACTTAGTGCTGGATTTGATGCACGGCTTACAAATAGACGACATGAATATTTCTGAATTTAGTGATACCATTGATAATGGAAGATCCGACGCTCTGTATTCTGGGAACTATTCTAAGGTATAAATATATGTTCAGTAACAAGATAGCATTTTGTAATATTTTTTAAGTGATGTCTAGATTGAAGATAGATAGATATTTAAGCCTCTTATCTAGATTGAACAGGCATAAATTTACGTGCAGAATAGATGTATATACTTCCCGGGATAGCTGTTTGCATTTTTCCGGAATATTAGATTTAACGTCGCTAGGTAAGCTTAGGCCTATTATTTTCAAATCTTCAATGAACCGAAAAATATTCCCGGGTATACTATCGGAAATGAAATGGGGAAATTCTCCGTTGTAGAGGCAAATATTTTTGTGCCAATCTTTTTGTAAGCAGACACATACTTTTCACCATGCACGATCGTATTGCATGTATTAACTTTAGCAACGTTTAAAATGTTGCCCATAGCCCTGGCCCAGAGTGGTGGAAGCGACGGTAAATAGTGAAATACGTTAATATATTATGATTGGAATTGTATGTAATATGTAGGGTAACCAAATCTGGTAACTTTGTTTCACTTGCCAAGTATTTTCCCTTTGGGCTACATAATCACGCATTGCAAAATACTTTGATACTTCCTGTTGATATTTCATTATGCCATGTGTAATGCATCCAATTTCAATATATATGTTAGGTATTTACTTCTATATACGTCTGTATATTAGAAAGATACAGTAGGTTACAGTATACGTAGTTTAGACTTTAGATCGATACTATCATAACTTTTAATGAATATGTCTATTATGAAAAATAGAGTCTGTAAACTTGAATCTTCAGCCTGTTTACGTCTTTGTCGTTTCCTTGCCAATGTCGCACACAATTACTAATTCTTGTAAAATTTTGAATGCTAATTAACAGTTTGTCTATCTGTGATGTAACAGTCGATAAGATACACACACAGTTGCTCGTTTCTACAATCACAAATATAACTGACCAATATGTTCATTGCTTAACAGAAGACGCTAGCAATCCCATGCCTGACATTCGGTTTAGGCGTCATCGGAAATTGTTTGGCGATTGCAGCACTTTTGAGGTACAAATACCGCAAACAGCGACCACCAACCGACACACCGACCACGATTCACAAAACACCTCCGCCTAACTTACGTAAAAATCGAAGTACAGGAAATATATCAACAAGAGATTGTCGAAAATCATGTTCACTTGGAAGCAAATTTGGTGAGTGTATGTGCGGTTGCAATCAATTGTCTTTAACCTTGCGTGGAGTTCTAATAAATAAATAAACTCGCTTTTTCAAGCTTTCATAATAGCATTGTAAATCATTAAAATCATAGCATATCAAAGACATGCATCTATGTTTTGATCTAATTAGGTATGTTAAAATCTATTGAATCATATCAGGTCAGTTGAAAGCTGAGAGCATAGTAGCGAGTATCATAATTACAGTTAGATGGTTTTATTATTAAAAACACTCTTGAATTATTCCGAAAGCTGAAATATCGTACTTCGACTTATCGATTAATGGTGCTCTACATCGTGGCATTGACATCAAATCAAAAATATAACGGTGAAGCTCAATTTGACTCGTACTTCAGAGGCAAACACACACTCATGAGTAAGATGGCTCTTACAAAGTAGATATAAACGAGTTAATATCGCCGAAAGAGTTTTGACCGAGTGACTGGGTAGATTGTGTTCTCGAAAGAAGCGAAGTACCGAATAAATAAAAATCGTATATGTGTATAGTTTACGATACTTAATGTGGCTTCAAGTCTTCATTCCATTTATAAGAGATAAATAAAAGCTGAAAAATGAAGTATGATTGCTAATAGAGAATTCCTCCAACCCTTGCGTATTATTAATGTTAAATTTAATAAGAAAGTTCTAACGCAAAGTCGGAACTCTTAGCAGTACCGCGCAATAAACGCAAAGGAAATCTCGGACTAAAAGCCCAGCCAAGTTTGGCGACACATATATCCCGTTTCTCGTTTCGCACGTAGGAACCGCACCGTTTCGTAATTGAATATATCACAACCCGTCGTCTGATGGAAAAGTGTTGATTGATTTAATTTCGATTGGGAGCTGGAATTTGCCTCGCTCCCATCTGTTTGCATCAGAAAATACACTGCCTCGTTTGTTTAATGTTGTTTGTTGTAATAATATTGGTACTCCATATTGTTTTTCATATTTGGGGCTAAGCTAACTAAATCTTTTAAACGAATTTCTCAACGTAATATGACTGTTTTGTTTTACGGTTCACGTCCTTGAACGCAAATTTTATTAAAAACGGGAAAATCAAAGTGAAACTGTTATTTGAGTGTAGGAGCAAGTAATGAATCTCTTTTCTGTAAGTCTTGGGCTCCATGCACATAAAACAATGTATTCTGCTTGGGTAAACTATTTCGATGACACCCTTAATGCATATAAATGGAGATTTTGAAACAGTGTCAAAAACTAATTGATGAAAAAATAAAATTTGTACAGCCATCTTTCAGAGAATAAACTCGTATATTCTGATAATTTGAGTATTATCGTGACATTTTGCTAAAATTTTCGTTTGAAATGCCTTATGGTTTGAAAGTTGCTATGAAAACAAGACACAATAGACATTACAAAGTTAGCTAGAAGAAAACTTTAAAATTTTTAAGGTTGAAAATTTCCGAGAGTAATATGTCAATTCATACTTACATACGTACTTTCAGTTTGATTGCCAATTATTGCAAAGTAATCGGATGAAGCTTGTGACCGTAATACAAATACCGCTATTTCGTATATCGAAGCCGGAATCGAAGCTTCTGCAAACCCGAAGTCATAAGTCGAAGTTGAATATTTGAGTGAGATAATTGGAATTTGTCTGAATATATCAATAAATCTACAGTCAACAATTCAACAGCATTTTATTTAGTTTGCAAACCGGTATAAGAAAATAAACTTTTCTGTTTTAGATTTTAACATACTGAAACCTATTAAAAGAAGAGGTCGAAGAAACGACTTCGGTGCTTTCCATACTCTTGTTCTTGCACTTATTGTTGTTGATCTTGCCGGGATCTTGGTAACTTCACCTGTGACGATGTATTTATACTCAACAAATCAGGGAATAAAAGTAGGTCTACGGCGTACTTCTCAAACGATTATAAACTTTGTGTTTGAATATACGAATGCACGCAGAAAATTTAGAAATTTAACTAGGGATAAAACTTACATGTTGAGGGGTTACATAAGTGATCTAAAATATTAATTATCCAACAAATCAGACAATATGAGAGACCCTATAGTACGACGCTTAGTATATTTACCACTATTTGGCTGTCTTTTTGTTATTGGCAGTAGGTGCACCTCGTATTTCCTAACAGCTAATTATTGTTCATAACGTTATAGTCTATAGCACAACAGAGATTGGAGATGACAATGTACTAAATATTAAAATATTTTCTGTTTAATTTTTTTGTATATTTTTCTCAACCTGACTACGATGCCTAGATCGAAATGTTTGACTTCTTAGCTGGGCAATCGCATTTAAAAACACTAAAATATCAGGAAATATTGGTATTTTTGTAACTTATTTAGGATTTATTATATTATGTTCAAAAATGGTAAGCTCTGACTGATGAACATTTTTCAATATTATGATGAAATTGAAATCTGAAAATCAGTTTATTTGACCTATTTCAACTACAAATTGTGAAAGGTCATGCCCTGTTTGGTTTTTACATGGTTACTATATTAACAAAACCGCGTGTGGTTTAAAATGTCATTTGTAAAGCTAAAAGAAAATTATGAAAATTACGTCATACATTAGACGTTGTTCATCAAGTTGTGGTATTTTTTTAGTTTAGTTCCATTATAGCTGACCTACATGGAAGAACGTTTAAGATGTTTCTTGACATGATAAATTATTGATAACGTCTTTGACTTTTATTCGGAAAGGCTATTTTGTATTTTGTTAACTGAAGAACTTCGGTGTCCGGTTCATTTCTTGAAAGTGATATCGAATTTCTCGCAAAATTTACAGACGGTTGAAACTGCATACATTACTCTCCAATAAAGTTAGATTCCATTTGGCTGATGTCATGTATAACTGATAATCAACAGTTAGATTGCATCTTGTATTTTGTTTGATCTTTTCTTTTTTGGGAGCGTTTTTGATTTAAAGATATTCGCGAAAACAAAAATACTTGCATAGAACAAATGCAAAAATTGTTTTTATGCAATATGAAAATGAATAGAATTAATAAAATTTCCATTCTTCTTGTAGGAGGCTGGAGGAGAGTCATTATGCAACTACAGTGCCTTTGCGATGATGTTTTTTGGTATCGTGACAATGGCATCACTGACAGGAATGGCAATAGAACGTGTGCTGAGTATACAATACCCGTATTTCTATAAAAGAGCAGTGAAGCCTAAATTGGTAAATAAATCCCTACAATTTTCGAAAAATTTGCTTTGATATGCCTTGTCTGAACTGAAAAGAATTCATAAAATGCACACTGTTATAAAAAGTGTATATTTTTCTTGTCAAGATTGATCGAATTAACCTTGTTTTATAAATGAAATATAGTGTTAATTTTTCATGAACGCTAATTCTTCGAAAACCATGATGCATAAATGAACTTATCCCAGAGGACATCTCTCTTCTTCTGATTTCGAGCAACTCAAATTTAGGAAAAAGCCCACATTCCTGGGAAATACCAGACAAGTCATTTCGCGTTTTCTTTATAAATAGCGTTGGCGCAATAACCTAACCGGTGGTAGACCTTACCATGTTGATATTGCGGATTATGTCCCATGCTCGTTTATCATCACTCGAGCTGTAACTAATTCTCTAAGCACTGCCAAATCGGAAAAATGTTTGTACTTTCAAAATAGCATCATCTTACGTATGTGTTCATGGCTTCTTGTTTTGAGTTTTCAATTTGAAACACTTTAAGAGAAGTACTGCCATAAATGTTTCAAATCTTTCTCTCATTATATCTCAAGTTTGATTACCTTTTCAATTCGTTTTATCAATGTATAGGCTTCTCATGGATTCATACTATACCTTAAAGCTCTTTAATTTCAGTCCCGTCGTTATCCTGATTTGTATATTTAAAATTCTCGATTGATTCTTCTCGGTATCAAAACATTTGCGTTTGAAAAGTGTAGAATTTATTTTGTCCACCTAAGAATAGTGTCGACTTTAATTCTACCCGAAAAAGACCTAATTTTCAGTCCATTAGCCTTCTGTAATGCAATATCATATTTGAAAAACAAAAGTATATATCGCGGGCGAGAATAAGTCATATATTTTAGGATTCAAATCAAGTGAAAAAAACATCAAATTGTTTTACATATGGCAAAAGCACAAATTACGAGCGAAATTACAATTTTAAGTGTTTTGAACTGGTAAAATAATCAAATATTAAATGCTTAACGTCGATCATTAATTGATATTCGAATACGTCTCATGTATGGAGCATACCCGACTTATAAATGTAACGCAGAATATTCGATTTCCTGCTAAATGAATGGCTCAGACTTAAACAAATGTTATGACTAGAAAACAATGGCTGTAATTTGAGACAAACGTTTGTTTGTTTCGCTTGGATTTGAAAACTTGATTGTAGTCTAATAAAGATTTTCAATCGAACCCTATGTAACATTGTTTTCTCTTCATGGTTTGATCCATACTCATGTTTTGGCTTTGCTTCAAATAAATGAATCAAACCCAAATTCACGAGTCAGAGGGTTTGATGAATGGGCCACTGTCACGTCACCACAAAGCGCTTTGAAAAATGATTCATTAACTAAAAAGGAACAGGATTTTTATATTTTCAATAGTATTTCATCCATCAAAAGTAATAAGCTCCACTCGCTTGACACAGACTCAATATTTTTCGATAGAATTCCGAACCTCGCTCGAATACAAAAATGCATCCCGTACACAGTTTTTTCGTGCTCGACTCACAATTTTAAACATCAATCATAATGCTTGCTTTAATCCTTTATTCAGTGGATCTTGTTAAATCTTGTTAAATTTCGAATGTGCTATTCATCGTTCTACCAAATAGAAATAAAAAACTGATTGATGTGAAGTTATCCATACAGTATGATATATGAGTGTGATAAATTTGATAATTCGGTTTGTGTTACTATACGCAAAATATCACATGATCAATGAAATAACGTTGCTAGCATCGATTTCACATTCGAATATAGGTTTGATAGAAGATAGCCATATTAGAATTGTTGAATCATAGCATTGCGCTTGCGATGTTGGCAATTTGAAATATGTAGATTTCATTCCCATTTTCATGGGTGCGTTGGACTAGTGGTTAATCAGAAAATCTTGATGACAACACATTTGAACCCACGTACATTTGAACCCATACATTTGCACCCGTATATCCACGGGTTCAATCTATATGCGGGTGCTAAAATCCATGGGTTAGGGTTAGTATGGATTCAAATTTCCAGAGGTTCAATAGTATGCAGGTGCAGTTGTCGTGGGATGATAAACCGCAGAAATTCGCCCCCTCCTTCAAAATAAAAATAAATAATTATAAAATACCTAGTAGCGGAACGTTTATATTAATAAGCCTTGTTTAAATACCCACTACCCAGCAGCTGATATGCGGAATAATTTCCAATCAATACTTTTGTTATTTCGATTTTTGGAAACGATCGATATTGAATATTTATAAAAGTATATAAGTAACGTTTGTGTACATCATTTATTTGGACCTAACATACTCGTTATCGGGAACTAATTGCATATGTCAAGCATATCATATCAACTGTGGGTCGTCGGTCTGTAATTTGAGCTTAAAGTCTCTCATCAGTTTACTTGCTATTTAGTGTTTGATTAATTTGTAAAATTGCATGCATGCTTTCCGAAGACACAAATATCAAAGGGTAAAAGTTAAATTCAATACCAATCACATATCACATCTAAGATTTCCCTCCATTTCAGTCGTTCGTGAATTGTGAGCACCGTTACATCACACATATTTCTGATATACGCATTAGTGATTTCATATCGCCATGTACGTACATATATGACATTGTATTATTGAGTCAGAAACGCTGATTAGCTCGTCGTAATTCTCAGGAGATTGACTCAAATACCCAAGGTGTGAAATTTGTGGATATCTTTCTGTGTTGGCGTATAGCGATATATATAATGAATTCAACACAATTCTAGTATTAAGTAATGCATTGGGAGAACTCACAAAATTCGGCTTGACTGATGGGAGAAATCGATTCAAATACAATGCTATATTATATGAAGTAATTATTGCTGTTTGAAGGTGTGTGCACATCGAATGTCAAAAAATGTAACAACGTCGAAACGAGATTATCGGTGAGAAACCGAAGACTTATCGATCAAAAGTTAGGGGATCCCAAAAACAGCGCTCTTACTCCATAGTGACATATTGTGTCCCATCACTTATTAATTAATAACTCGCTAATTATACTACATAATTTATCCAAAATCAATAGCCTTTTGGTCCGACATATGATAAATGCACATGCAAAATCTGGAGCAGATTCAATCTCGCTTTCGTGAGATATCGCGTGCATCTAACAGACAGACTCATATTTATTGATGTCATATGGAATATTTGTATTGGTCATAGCTTTCTTGTCATTAATGTAGTAGTCGTTAGTCCTGCCCAGTCGTTAATTAAGTTGCTCGATCACACATCGCATACAAAAAAATTACAAGAATAACAATTTTTCTTGGAAATGTCCATACCTAATACTTTAAAACTATTAGTAAAACATTTATATTTGTAATTCAGGCCAATATAGCAATACTCATAGTCTTACTGTCGTCGGCACTGTTTTCCGCACTTCCTTCTATGGGGTTCGGTGCTGTACGATCAATGTATCCAAATACGTGGTGCTTCGCAGATTGGCAAGCTACTGAACAAAAGGACATGGTTAGTACAATTACTTTCATCCTCTACATAACGAATAAACTACGTGATTATTACCCAGGACATTTTAATAGATATTTCAATGTACAGTTACTAATATTATCGTAATATGACCCTTTGAAATATTTTTGAATGCGGCATCTGCTTTAGTTCGCATTTGAGGAGGACCTTCTAGAACAGTCCCGGATATTTTCTTTCTTGACTAAAACTCTCACTGCTTTTAAACGATAACTCCCTTGCTTTGTGCGACACAACTCATAGCTCATGTAAAATCTTCATTCCACGAAGAGGTCATTTTTAAGATGATCATGCACTTGACAAAACGTGGAAAAGTAATGTACTTGTTGTGTTTCAGGCGTTCAACTACATATATGCAACTATTGGAATAGCGTTAATCCTAACCACAATTCTATGCAATGAGTGTGGTCGTCGGTTTGTTGAAAATGAAAAAAATAAGGTATGGATGTGAATTCATTTTGTTTTATTAAAATTCTTGAGTATTTTTTTATTATCATTTCGAAAAATTATTCATCAATTTATTTCTTTTAAATAGGTTCATTGAATAGTGAACAATGAACTCTATTGATAATGCTTTAGCTTCATGCTCTTAAATTTAGCAATAATTTAAACAATTTCTTGCTTTTATATATATCATCTGGATCTCAACGACAAATACTAATGCCAAGTCAGTAATTCAATTACTTGACACATCATATCACCTGTTTGAGTTAATCTAATTAAATTTGAGTTATGTATATTGTATTGTTGGGTTACAAATATGTAATTTAATACTATTATAAAGAAGCGGAACTTGCTACCTATTTCATGCAATCACTTTTAATGGAGAGCAGTGAGCTCGTCCGTGAGTATTGTTTCCGCTAAATGCATTTTCAGGGTGATTTGTTTTAGGGTATTTGTGTTACTTTACGTTTATCAAAAATACATGATATCGTAACTCGCTACTTATAACATTCTGCGTCATAATTCTCAGGGCACAGAAGAAGTCATGGGGCATGGAAACACAAACGATAATTCAACTTATTGTGATGACGTGTATATATATCATATGTTGGTTACCTCTCATGGTAAATATGCTTGAAAACACAGTACTAAATGTGATTTGTAGTGTATATTTTCTATGGGGTAGTTTAAGATAAACTTCTTAAGTTTTCCAAATATTAGATAAATATTAGAAATTGATAAAGAATGCCTGCTGTTAAACAAAATTGGTATTCTGAATTGACTGTGCTGTAGTTTACAATACAGATTTAGTCAGTATAACAATGTGCTAATAACGCATGCCCATATTTTACTGTATCCCAGATCGGTAATTAAATAGCAAAAATTAAGGAGATTTAAATCATGCCGTGAGAGAGAGAGAGAGAGAGAGACTCCGTTTTGAATCGCGTTTGCCGAATCAAAATATTTTATCAAAATTGACAAATCGAAATTATGAAGCAAATTTTCCATACGCGATCCGTTCATAAACTCGGAATTTTAAATCCGTTTTCCAAGTTTCATTCATCTTTTATAAATGGTCATAAAATTAAAGTGGGTAATTGGTTATCAAATAATTGGGTATCTGAAATTCATTTATCCATGCCATTTGTGTTTTATGTGTTTTTTTATGCTATGACAGGTTTATTCCGCCCCAAGAAATATGTATAAAAATACCCTATTACAAAAAAGACTATAATTGTATTTTTGACTTCAATTATACCATCTTTTGAATTTAATATACAGGCATATGTCGACTCGGCATTTTGCAACGCTGATAAGAGTATTATCCAACCTCGGGGGTATTTTGTAATGGTTTTATTTTGGCTACCCTATATGATAATGGATAATAAATAAATCTGGCGTAAATAAAAACCGCCTACTGCCTATTCCGTAAATCTATATCTAATAAATTTCGCTTTGGTCGACGTTCCATTACAGACTGAATTACAGAATCTCCAATGGGCGTTTTCTCCAAAAGTCTTTTTTAATTTAGTGATTATCTAACGATTTGTAAAAATGAAAGTAACGTTTTTGAATGATTACGTTTGTATATATATTTATATCCAAAACTCACATAACCATCAATAGAAAAAAAAAATTTAGATCACTTGATAAAAAAGTTTTGTTCGCGTATTTAGTATGCAAACCATAAAAATTAATATTGATTCTGTATTCGGCCTTGAACTTTTCGAGAACAAAATAGTATAGACGTTTTTCAGTATGTCTTACTTTTTTGGGCTTTCAATAATACATCAGATTTCGATTTTATCCAAAAATCCATTTGTATTCTAACTATAATGGTGCAATACAGTAACACAGGTGAAGTTTTTTTTCTATGCCCAAAACAGATTATAACTGTGGTTCAATTGTCCCAATTGTCTCCTGTAGAAAAACCCAAAAACTTTTTGACCCAAATGAGTTTTTCTTTTCACGTTTTGTGAGCAATGACCATCCAGACGTAATTATTCTGAATGGGAATTGCCTATTACAATATGTCGAACTGTAAAATAAAGTTATCATACCGCAACATGATAATATCGTGTTGTTTTTTTGATTTAACTAAAAAAGGAATAATGACTATGATGTGCTAATATACTCCCCCGCGGCATGTCAACATCAACACAAATAAATTGATACATTACCAGGTGTTTGTATACCATACCTTAAATTTAGCTGCAGGATTTCCTGAAAATTTTGTTGTACTTTTTTATGAAGCTATAAGTCATTTCATTCATATGGTATTTAGGTAGCTTTCAATCATATAGCTTTGGTTATCAATCAATCGAATGTCACCTCCCGTTTTACTTGTCAACATTCATTATGACAAATTGGTCGTTCCGCATCATGTAGAAAAATCAATCTATTTACACCGTCCGTTTTACTTTGCAACATTAAGTGAGACAAAGCCGCATCATGTGAAAAAATTTATAACTATTTGACAAGCAGACAAATTTCCCCGAATGCGATTGTTGCCTGATCCTTGCTGCCATCACAACTTGTTTGTTAGTCTACACCAGGAATCACCAAACTACGGCCCGCGGGCCAGATCCGGCCCGTGGCGTCGTTTCATCTAGCCCGCAATAACACGGAAAAGTGGCGATTTTTTTCAAGAGATGTTTCCCTGACCATCGACTTCCTTTTTTCGGAACATTGGTCATCAGATTTTCAGTCGAGGTTTCAAACAATACCTAGTTTTCGCGATTTTGTATGCTATTCGTTAGTTTTGTATGCTATTCATTTCGCCTTCTCAGGAGTTGTAGTTAATTGCAGTAATCATAAATTGTCTAGAAATAGCTGTGATAAAATGGCTAAAATTCTCAACGGGTACGCAACGCTTTTTCCAATTGGATGCACTCGTACACTCGTGGCGTGTGATATCGGCGAAACTGTTGCTGTGTACGTTTCTCGTGCCAAAATGAACTTTGAACGTGCATTTTGCGCTAATAGTACAAGTCACGTTAACTTTTGTACTGCTCACATGCGGATATGTCAAAAAATCTTTTATATTTGTTTTGCTATGATGTTCTTGATCTATATTCTGCGATATAGAATTTAATATTCAAGACTTCAGAAATGTAGAATTTATATTGTTGAATAAATTGAATGGATTTCCCAACTTCTTGGAATTTATTGTATTGCATTGACAAAAATGTTTGGTGACTCCTGATCTAGACTACTGCTGATACATAAAGGTTACTTTTACTGTCAACGTAGAAGGTTAATAGTATTTCAACTGTATGAAAATAATAGTAAAATTAAAAAGACTACCAAATTGAATCGAGCGTGAACTCGATGTAAGAATTATTATTGGAAACAAAGTGGACCTACAGATCGTTTTGTTGCTATGCTTTTAACTTGTTATTGTTGATCTTGTTGTTATCTGGACCAATTGCTTTGAATGTTCCAGTGGTTAAAGATTGTTGTTGTCGATAGAACGCTATCACTGTTATTTATTTCACAAATTTCTGTGGGCTTTGTGGTTTCTGTTTTCTGTGTGTGATGACATCATCACAATTAAAAATCGTTCGCGTTCGCAATCTTTTTGGTTGGGTGGTCAGTCGAAGTCGGGTAGACTACGGTACCGAACCGGTAGGATCACTACCTTTACTACTTCGTTTTGGCTTTTGTGACGATATATTTGAGCATTGCTCTCTTGTTTATTATCAAGATTATATGTCCATTCTCATCTGTAACGTCTGCTGGTTGGATAGCACGGGCAAAATAGTAAAAAAGGGGAATTATAGATTAATTATATTTGTTTTGTTAGGTTCGAATTATTGTCAATCAACATTCACGAGAGACAAACGGCGAACATGATAGATTGGCTATCTGGCTTGCAGCTGCGAATCCGATACTGGACCCTTGGGTAAGGTTAATAACAGTTGAAATACATTTGGAACATAATCATTTGATTTGTCGTCTTGTTTGTCGATAATTTGTCGACATTGGCACAATATGGCGTTGTTACTTAGCAGCTGTAGAGCATGATTACAACTCTATTTTCGTTGAGATGGAAGACAAAGTGTTAGAGGACAAACTGCAATTTCTGGAATGTCTAAGGTTCCCGGTTAACCGGAATGTAATTATTGCAATCTGATTATTCTGCAACCTTTGCGTCAAAAGCGAGTTCACATTCCTGCTCGTCCTAAATTCTATACGACTCACGCGACCCTTGTCTATGAGCTCCTCTCTTGAGTTCAATATGAATCAAAACTTGGCACTTGGTTGAATTTTAATACCTGGCATTTGACCAATGAGGAAAAGCTTCTATTTGCTTCAAAACGGATCTAACAACATATTTTTTCTGATGATCATCGTATTTAATTGAAGGAAATCCCATGCCAGCCAACGAATCTTGAAATAATTTGGGGCGACTCCGATTTGCACAAGTTAGCATCATGGCTTAGTTAAACTCAATTAACGCGTCTATCTAACTATGCTGTTCTAGCAAATTGAACTAGTTTGGTCTTCCTTCTCAAAAACGCTATAAAGGATAAGTTCAACCCTATTGCTCTTCTAAAAGGATTCAAAATGTCGAGGGTTTGAAAACCGAACCTTTAGGACGAAGATTTATATACCTCATTCAGATTCATTTGATATAAAAGATTTATTGATATAATTACCGACATAAACTTGGATTTTGTTAAATTTGTTTTATTTATATTTTTGCTCAGGTTTACATTCTGTTGAGAAGAACAGTTGTCAAAAGAATAATAAACTTTGCCAAATCTACCATATGTTACCACAGAAAGAAAGACAACAAATCGACTGACTTGGATATTGTTGTCACACCAGCTAAGGGGAATTTTATGACAGATTCGACTGAAAGTGAATGCTAGTATTTTCAGTTGATTACAGCTTATACCTATATATGCGAAGTATATTATCCCTATGCTGTTTCCTTACGGATGCATTGATCAACGCAGATTCGTCACGGTTCGCAGAAGCGTTATTCCTGTTTATACCATGATGCGCAAAGTTATCGGTTTGTGTTGATAAAATGATAAGACGATACAATAAACAGAAGTTACCTTTCGGAATTGAGTCAAAGAATGAAGCCGGAAAATTACACAAAATAAAAAAGTCTTTGATCGGATATTGTCATGGAAATGATTCTTGTACAAAAAAATCATTTTTGTCTGAGTTATAAAAAAATACTATTTCTCGCCATTTAATATCATTTACCAAGTTTTTATGTACGACGATTTTTTCTCAATATCTTCTCCTCTCAAAATTCCCTTTATTAAACTTTCAATATCTTTATATACGACGTTTTACACGCCCAAGTAACTACTGATAAAGCAGTTATGGATCCACAATGAGTACATAGCGTACCATTGGTACATGTAGCTCTAATTTGATTGCTGTTTAGTGAAGGTTCGCTATGTTTATTTGGATAAAATGTTTTTGCGTCAGCAGGCACTTGATCCCAACTATCTCTAGGCTGATGTTAACTGTTGCTGTCCCCAATTTTCTTTGGGGCTCTCCCCTTTGTTGATCTTTCGTATATCACCCTTACTTACCAAGCAGGATTGATTTGAATATTTGAAAATTTTGAGAATCTATACTGTTATACCTACTTTATTTTATTTTGCAGCCACTATTTCAGCAAAGTTTCTATCGGTGCACCATCGCTCGACACGATCTCACAATGGTGATATTGGGGTAAAAACGATGCAACGAAACAATAATAACCAAACAATAGAAAATATAATGCTTCAATCAATTAGAAGAAAGAGTTGTTAGATTCTCAGAAAAATGTGTATGGTAGCGAAATGAGAAAATTTGAGTGAATGCAACAATATGCGATAGCTGCCCATAACTTACCAGTTCGATGTAACCAAGATTATAAAAGTTCTGATACCAAATTTACCTAAAGTCATCTTCTAGTAACTATATTTTCACACTTGTATATACGCAAGCCAACACTACTTCTTATTTTTCATTGATTATATTTATGTTCACTGTTGTATACTGTGATAACGAATAACTCGCAACAAGTCGTGTACTAACTTTTCTATGTTAAATATACTTTATTTATGTTACTTTCCACATTTTAGCTGTATATATACAGCTATTATGACTGATAAATGATATAGTCAAGTTTGATTGCTATTGTGATTCAGGAAAAAGCCTAACGGTAGGTAGTACTTACCACGGTTTTAGTGCAAGAGAGTTACATATTGAATTTCGAAAAAAAAAAATATAATTTGTTTCTGTTTGCCATAGCTGGGTTATTAGACTACATTAGATATATTAAATTGCCAAATCAAAAATCGAACTCGAGATCTTTAGCTTCTGACACCTATATAGTTGAAGGAATAAGTAATATTCTTGTGGCTACTTTTTACTTTCCTATTCATGTGCTTTTGAATTAACGGTGTTTATTTTTCTTTTTTATGCTATAATTATAAATTTTATATATTGTTCAACATTTAATAGAAAAATTCTTTTTCTGAATAATTTTTACTTGATCAAATCTATGGGAGAATGACGTGTTTACAGAAGTATTTTTTCCCGGACTTCGCTAATCAACATCATAAGAACGTATCTCGCGGTGATTTGAAAGAAGCTGGTTAAAATCAATTCGGATTGTTATACTGCATCAGTAGAAACCCCATAGTGGTGCTGAACATGAATGAGTTTGATTCAGTACGGACAAAAAGACAGCGCAGCCGATCCCATACCGACCCACTAAGCTTCATAGATAATTGTTTGCTCATTTAATTAGCTAAAGCAGAAAAACACAAATACATTCAATATTCAATAAATTTATAATCTTTCAAAATATAATTCAATTTTTATCATTCGGAAAGTAGTTTGAAAGTTGAAGAATTGTAAACACAGTGAAAAGAAATGACAACGATATAGGAAATAATGAATATAAGAAAAATGGCATTTTATGTCACACTAACCGATAGTGAAGAATGATTGAAGAATGGTGAATTTTTTGTTTTATATTATAATTTTCCAAATAATTACCACTATACCCTGTTTATTTAACCAAAATATTAAATTTTAAAATGTCAGGATCCCGTATTATACCAGAATCAAAACAATTTTTTGTGTTTGATTAATATTAAACGATATGATGACTATTATCAATTTTTTTTCATTTCGACAGTGTATAATGCACCGTTTATTCACTTCTTTTATTCTCAGGTGATTATCCGTCCCACATCGATACACATTGAAATAACACGCGTAAAGAGTGTTTTAACAAACAAAACAATGGCGTTGCAAATTAGTTTCACGGGTATTATTTAGGTACAAGCGGTTTGACTATAATATTATTTTCCCTAATTGGAAATTTTTTAATTAAAAAAAGGGTACTACACTTACACAGTTGTTAATCGGCAGTAATATGACAAATATTTCCCATGTGCAAACTTCCTCACAGTTTTCGAAAAAACGGTTCTATAAATCTTCCGTTAGTTGAGCATTATCATATAAACTCTCATAAGAAGGAGATTTTGTTAAATTTTGCAAAGAATTCACTCCATTCTGATAGATATTCACTTGTGACGTAATAGCGTTACCGTTGCAGGAATACATGAATTGATTCAAGACAAACAGCGTTCGTATTCTGAAATAATTAGCAAAAAATATAAGTCAGTGTAAAGAATAATTCCAGTGTTAATTATATTGCCCGTGCAACATCTCCAATTTTCGCAATGTGCCCCAGAATTCCTAAAAGGTCTGGTATAACTTATATATTTTCGAGTCAGCAAATCTTATTCAATATTGCATCTCTGAAAGAAGTTTGTGACCAATTGGGACGGTGATCAATTAATTGCTCGACCATTCAATACTCGAAGCTGATATTTCCAACATATGAATATAACATTTCACTTATCAATAATTTAGTTTTAGAGCATGATTTCGTTAACAATAATTTGCCTTTCATATTTGTAAATTAAAATATTTCAAGAAGCCTCAAATATATGACAAGGAATTGTGTGGTCTTGCCATTCAATACAATCCCGTGTAAATCGATTTTTGACTCATGTTAAAATAGAAAACAATAACTAAAAGTAACTTCGTACGCATTACGATTTCAATACTCCAACATATACTTTTGACAGCAATTAAAAACAATCGTACTGCTTTCTGTGTTTGAGGGAGTGCTATCAATTAGAAACTATGAATCATATGCCTGAATGTGACAAATAAATAAAGTCACACAGCGCAAAAAAGACTATAAATGAATCAAGTTATTCCACATTTCTGAAGCTTACCTTTTCGTCTATCTATTGGTGAAGAATTGCAGTTTTGTGGAGAAGACGGATTTACGATTACTTTCAAATTATTTTCTACTTGTGGAAAACAATTTGATTTAGCAAAATTGACCAACCGTTTCACAACTGATCTTCGAAGTAATATGTAACCTGGAAACGAAAGAATATACGATATTTTCTGTTTGGATTTTCAGGATTCTTCTACAATCTACACGGTGGTCATCCCGAATAATTGAAAAAACTTTTTCTTATATCATCAATTTTATTAACAACTAAATTTCTTTTCGTTAAAGGAAAAAATCGATCGAAGCCTAATATTTGAAAAATACATTGCTATAGGAAGCGCCGATAAAACGATAAATGGATTAACTGGTTAGTATTTACCCACGGATCCAAAATAGGATTTGCAGCTGCAAGCCAGATGGCGATTCTATCTTGTTCTCCGTTTCTTTGCCTTGTGATTTGATTGTCAAGAATTCGAATCTAAAAAGGGCATTCTTCCGTTATCCCATATACATATGAAAGGATATATTAAATGAGTTATTGTGAACTGGAATGTCCTCGTGTTTATCACACTTGAATTCTCAATATTCAAGTATATATAAGTAGAATTAGAATTTTTTAAATTACATCCAAACTGAATAAAAACAATATTAAGTTAAAATTCATAAACAAGAATAATATTTTGAATGTGCAAACATTGATTCTGGGTGAGATATGATCTGCTTTCCCAACCTAATAAACGTTTTCAAAATCATTATTTAGATTTGATTCATATGTAAATTTTATATTTATAAGATTTTTATCATAAGTTTGAATTGAACATCAATTCACAATATGGTTATAATAAAAAAATTATCTTTTGTATTGCCGGATATTACACTATTTGATTTTAGAAATATTTGTGAAAATAACGAGTACTCAAATATCGGAAAATCAATTTAGTCATGGAATATGTGATGTTGTGCAGAATGCCTTCCATGTCTAATGTAAATATTATAAATACATTGTTATTCAGCCATAATTATCAGATAAAAATTATCACAAACATTTAGCAATTTAAGACCAGTAATTTTCATTCCGATAATAATGCTTTTCGATGAGAAATGTCATGATTTCAATGAAGAGATTCACACTTCATTCAGGGTTTCAGTATTAAAAATATTTTGCTGCACCTTACATGATTCATGACCTGTCTTCGATAGTAATTAGAAACTTAGTCAAGGACAGGGATAAGTAAATATACAGATAATTGGAATAGCACGAAGAACCAAATAACCTGATATAATATGAAAAAATAACTATTTGTAGTCTTGATCTAAAACACTTATATCTAAGATTGTCTTGATTTACGATACAATAGTAGGGCTGTAACAGACCCTTAGATAAGTGGTTCCCCACTTTTTGCGACCCAATATTCCGAAAAATGAATTTTGAAAAATCTCGCGATCCAAGGATATGCTCAAATACTAAGTGGAATGTGGTATTTTTATGGCCCCAAAATTGAATGACTAATATAAAACAAAGTAATAAAGCTGTGCTAGTTTGCCCTCAGCGAGATTTTCGTGACGTAGATTTACTTAAAGCAAAACGGAAAAAATGCTGCAGAGTCTTTACACTGTAATACTTCCCACGTATACAATTACTATTGAAATTACTAGAAAATGAAATTAGCAACTTTTAGGTTTTTGTTGAAAAAACAAGCGACCCAAGTTAATTTTCAGGTGACCCAGTTTTGGGTCGCGACCCATGGGTTGAGAAACACCGCCTTAGAGTAACGAGGATAGCGCATACAGATCGATATAAGTTGCCGCATAAAATAATGAAGGGACATGAAGTTCATAGCCAAAATTGTCAGTTGAGAAGATAATCGTGTTTCCGTAATAATATAGACATGTATGCTTTTCATTACACCCTTCCGTACATCGGGCAGTAATTAAACATATTCTTATGTCTCTGTGCAGATGAGATCAATGCGAATACATGCAAACTTTGCATATAAATGAGACGGATATGATTTTTCTACTCGGGACAAAAAGTTAAATTGACAGAAACCTAGAGTTAATTAGACGTGCGCAAATTCCATGGAGAATACTACAGACTGTGTTTAGATGTTGGGTGTCTATTTTGGGGGAAGGGGTTGACTTTGTGACATCTCAAACATAGACGGATTTAACGTGTCAAATGTCATATCAGGCCTCATTGAATTTGTTACGGATCGGTGGGAAATTAAACAAATAAAGTTATTACTCAAAAGTGTTCACCAACCAATTTGTCGCGACCCCAAACTGGGTCGCCTAAAAATCATCTTCGGTCACTTGTTTCGGTCACTGGGTCGCCTGAAAAAAAGGTTGGGAACCACTGCTCTACTTGACATGTAAGTGTATAAAAATGAATGGGTTTATATGTTTGCGACCGCGTATGTCACTGCACATATGCATTTTTATGTAGGCGACACCTTGTTCGAAGCAAGGTCACAAACGTGAGACAATAGTGAAAATAGCAAGGATAGAGAAAACTACGACCCACTGTACGCTTTGTTTTTATCTCATATAAATCGTGAATCAGGTCCAATACCCGGGTCAACATATTCTAAGTAAACTAAAGTAAAGACAAAGCATGGAATTTCAAATCTAAAATATCAAATTGAAAATCGTTAAGAACCAACCCTGTTTCGGTTTTACTAATGACTGTAAAGATTAAAAATATGGTTGTTAAGTATTGATGTCGTTTTTATCCAGTAGTTGGCTCATTTTTTCATGTCTGACATCAGAATAATATTGATTTCGATTTTTGAGATATGTTGCTTATATACTGTTTAGCAACTAAATGGATAAAATGGTCGTGACCCTGGCTACAAATAAAAAATGGAGGTGATGACTCCCTAACTTTCTCTATATTCAATATTGAGCAGAATGATAACGAATGATCCGAATAAATGGATGGCTGTGACGTAATTATTCTTTCCGAAATAAATGTGAAAAAACGGCGTGATGGTAACAATACCTAAACGTAAGAAAATCTATTGATGTCCCACACTTCGTCAATTTTGGATCACAAAATAGTTTACGTCCTTGGGTGAACTCTCGAAGGAGTGTAACGTCGTACGTAAGCGCATTGGTTTATTTGACGCAAATACTGCGTGACGGAAACGTCAACGTACAATGCGTAAGCTGGTCGAACAAAGATTGGAGCAACCAGTGATATTTAAGCCCCGTGTAATTCTCATCTAACAATAACGGAAAAGAGAAATTATCCTACTTTGATGTTATGGAACACTGCTTCTATCGCTTGACAATATACCAAATATACCAAATACCAAACAACAACAAACTATGAACTAATTAAATAATGGTCATTCATTTACCATTAATGGTAGCCAGCATATCAGGTAAATACAAGTCATAACGATAAGCTGGATTATCATTTGTGTTTCCCTTCGAACGGTGGATTTTCGTCTTCCGTGCACGGTTGCCATTCTGCACAAAAAATACATTGTTAATGCATTTCAACTTTCGAATCACTTTACTAAATTTGCATAAAATAAACCACAAGTTGTTGGCAATAATTTACACCTAATGGCGTTCCACATTAATTACCGTTTAACTTTATCTTAACTTTTAGATCTTTCCGATAGTTCACTTGCAAATTTGTAAATAATGCAACAAAAAAGTCACGTTTCCATAATTCTATAATGAATTTTGCACACAACTGTGACAAAACATTACAGCGCTAAAAGCTTCGCGCCCAATTTTTTAATTGAGGGCATGTTAAAATTGCATTCTTGAAGATAACTGAATTTTTTTGTTACTTTTGCCAAGCCACTTAAAGCAGCATTACAAACCAAAAGCAGACATGAAGTGAGAACATTTCTAACTACAAAAAGAGCAAAAAGATCTTAGTCTAATACAGTCGCCACTGTCACGAATAACGAACTATTATTCCAACAACTCCGACCCGGAATCGATTTTCGGAAGTATTCATAATTATGAGTTCGAATTATCAATTCAAGTGAATGAATACAACTCAAAAATGTCCCAATTTATTATGAAATATTTATTTAACATACAGTAAACGATATATCTTACCGTGATTTCATTTTAAATAATCCGACGACTACAATAATATTGCATATTAATGTTGTGAATATCATGATTATTCCGCTTATTGCATATATAAAGTTGAAAGCCTGAAAAACGATTAGAACATATATATATATCTATAGGTAGAAAGTCAATACTGAATATATATCAAATTTGCAATCACGAAACTTATAATTATTAAACAATCGTATTATCGCAGGTTTAAACAGTGACTAGAAATTAAAAAAAAAAACTATTATCATATAAATTGAATGCATCATGATGCCTGGCAGATACGTAACCCAAACCAAGCATTTCAGGCCAGATTTAAATTAGGGCTATATATAAATATAATGGGCAAACATTTTTAAATAATTTTTTCTAATTATCTCGTAATTCTTATAGTTACAGAACATGAAAATAGTTAAAGCTATGTTATTGGCCGGGTTCGGACCATATCTGAACTTGTAGATTGGTATTTCGTACCAAGCTTGATTAAAAAAATAGAGAGCTCATAAAAAACTGCAACAGGCGATCGAATATTCAAATTAAATAACGAGGCGTATCCATCCTGCAATGTAAGATATTAACGTATCAAGAGTGAAAAAATCGCGATATATTAAAAGAAATCTATTTTCACTTTCATTAATTTGTTATGTGTTGCGTTAAGTTCATTTTCTACTAAAAAAAATCGAATAAATAATAAATTATGCAAATGGCTGGCAAGTTTTGCTAATACTATTGTACATTTTAAGATCATTAGTGATAAGAGCAATGTATTTCCCCAAAATGATGATTGAATTTTTGTTTCAACTTTAGCCTAAAAGCTCAAAATTCTTGTCTCAAATACCCAGAATTAAATGATTTACATCGGATTTTTTTCTGTTCTCGGCAGTCGGAGGTATAGTCTGAATAAATAATTAATTGAGGCTTAAAACCGAGATAATATGAGATCTCTTTGTAAATTTAGAAACAATTGTGTCGCAAGCATGATGTACTTGTAGCAGAAGATAAAATACATGGATCATCTGCGCTAAGAATCAGTAAATTTACACTTTTAAAATATCAATCAATTATTGAAAAAAACATTTATTTGAATTTCAATCGTTATTTTGACGCATCATCACTCATTTAACATACATGAATAGGTGACATTTACAAACAAATGTTTTGGTCGCGAGAGATGTTTCGTGTACTTTGTAGATGGGAATTCCTAAAACCGAAAACTTCACATTTGATGATACCTTGACAACAAGGCTGGATGCAGGTTGAGTCGTTTTCTAAAATGAATAACATAAGTGCCGAGTCGTCGATCAAAAACATTTTTAAATATAAATTGACACATATTAGGCGAAAAAAACGATTGTAACGCACAATTATACAAGATAAGCAACAGTGGAATGATTATATTATATAATAATTTCACAGATGAAATGCACCGAACAGTTAAAGCTAGATTTTGTAATCTATCATTACCATAGCTTTTGGTTCTTTAGCTTGCCAGTCTGCAAAACACCAAGTATATGGAAACATTGGGCGAACTGTTCCAAATCCCATAGAAGGTAATGCCGTGAAGATAGTCGATGACACGAGAATGATTAAAATTGCGATATTTGCCTGAATTAAGATAGAACAAAGGTATTATATTTCGACCACCATGGCCACAAATATTGGGTTATTTCAAGTGCAAATAATTTCTCTCTAATTCAGATAAATGATTTTGACCCTGGTGTCAAAAAATCAGAAAAATTTAAAAAATTCTAAATTGAAGTTTATGAAGATTTTCAACAACGAAGAAGAGTAAATTGAATGATAGACGACATTATGGTCGATTACATTTTCACCGTGTAATTTAGTTGATGCATTGTGATTGAGAACTGTTTTTATTCAAATTCTGGCTGAAATGCGACAATAACAGTACAGCACAAGAATCCGAACTCAAATATTATCTAGTTTCTATGTCGTTCATAATACCAATTATTTGATAAAGCGTGAAGTAGATTTTTTTGAAAAAATGAGGTTCTTTTAAAGTTCACGGAGCACTTATATCCCTGCGAGTGTTCATAATAAATCATTTGAAGTGCTGAAATTGATTTAGTATCACGAAACTTTTAAGTAGACGTGTATGTAGTAGAATACTGCGTGTATATGTCATCTTGATTTCTTGAATTAGGTTTGCATTGATAGAATTTTTTGAAAACACCTCATCTTATCATATACAATGAGGCGAACAAAGCAACAAATCGACAAAGATCACTTTAATTAAACATTATATGAAAAAAATTAGATTTGTGGCAAATTTAAGCCTATTATTTTAACATTAGTTCAAGCTGGGTGGTGCTTTTAAAATGAGATTGCGTACAAAATTTTAGCAGCTAATAATTTTTGCTGGCAAAAACTTTCAGCACGTAAAATAGATTGTAAAAGCATATCTGCAATATTTTCTGTAGACCGTACAGCAATAAAAAAATAATATTTTCAATCTGACACCGTTCATTAGGATATAATAAAAGGTTTAGTATTTAGAATAATAATATGATAGAACTGAAAATTCTTAGAAATGAGTTAAAAATAATATCTCAATGATCAGATTATTCACAGATAAAACTTAGTAATGCGTTAATAATATTTTCCCAATAATATAAACTGAGCTTAATATTTCAGACCAGAATACATGACGATTTAACGCGGAATGAGAAGACCAACTCCAGATACCCAAATTTCAACCTTGCGAGCATATTATACCTATCTACGTTTACCCATATAACTACGTTTTCAAAGACCTAAAATTTGAAAGGTTCTTAGCACCTTATTCAAATGCACTTATTTGGTATTATTAATCTGGCTCTGTTTAGATTGATAGCCGTAAAGTTGAAATTAATATAAAAACCACTGGCAAATGTATTAGAATTAGAGTCTTTATCCGTGAAGAACACGTGCATAAAATTACCATAAATTATCCATTGAATTCGAAATTCCCTTCGCCTGTTTTACACAATAGATTTATTGTACATTTGAAAACAATTATGATCGAGACATCGATATGTATACGTTAGGAAACTATTTTTGTAGTTGGATACCGTGGATATTTTATAGTATTACCGACTGAATTGTTTTTACAACGTGATAATTTGATACGAAAAGTTGGGCACAGTATGTTCTAACAGCAACTTTAAAGAATTTTTTTTTGAGGATTTTCTTGAAATCCGTGGTTACGTTTCGAATTACATCAATTTGTTCAGCTGGCAGTACTAAAAATTAATACTAATAGAAATAAAAAATATGTCATGGTTGTCATATTGTAAAAATTAATAATATTGTGTCAGATTCAATATATTTGCCATTAACACCAACATCGAAATTAAACGAGAATATCGGTCAAAGACCGAAGACTTATCGATCGAAAGTTAGGGGATCCCTCAAAACAGCGCTCTTACTCCATAGTGACACCTTGTGTCCCATCACTAATTAATTAATAACTCGCTAATTATACAACATAATTCGCCCAAAATCAATAGCCTACTGGTCCGAGATAAGATGAATGCATATGCGAAATCTGGAGCAGAGTCAATCTCGCTTTCGTGAGATATCGCGTGCATCTAACAGACAAACAGACATACAGACAGACAAATACCTATCAACATACTTACCGATTAAAATCGATAAGTAATAATTATTGTATGCTCCCAATATAAAAAAAAAATTTGCAGGGTAGAAATTTCTAAAAGCAGAAATTAAGTACAAAGTCGTAATGTCAATCTTGAAAGTCGTTGAGACCAGCGATGACAACTTGAAGCACTTTCAAAATTAAAAATTCGTACTTTAAGTTGAACATTGTGACTTTCGTTGAGTGTTTTATTTGTAAAAGTTGTTGAATAGGAATTGATTCAACTACAATTGTCTTCAAATTTTTGTTTTCAACCCAATAATGCTCTCAAACTCAAGAGGTACACTGCAGACGACTGTCTACATTACATCCTCTACAACAAGAGCGACTTTAACAATTCGAAATAATTATTGAATCTTTGTGTTGTGTATTAGAAATTGCTGGAAATTTCATTTTATTGATCTCATAGTAATACTGCCAATGTTATCAGTAATTAGATTGTTTACCCATCTCGCCGTATAATATAAACCTCAACCCTCTTTCACGGATTTATCCAAACAAGTTTTTCAAAACTCAATTGTCACTTGGCCATATGTGGCCAGTACTTATGAAGCTAATGATACGATTCGCAATGCAATTGTAATTAGTTCTTGATCATCTATGATCATACAAAAGTTTTATCAAAGTCTGTATATTGCGATGTTGATTCAAAATTTAATATAAAAAAAATTTGCATACCTAAATTTTTGGATATTGAATTAGCGAATTTTCCGGGTTATCCAAAACAACGTGAAAGAAAGTTCAGGAAAATTTGAAATTTTGAACGATTCTCAGAATTTCGACTATTGTTTTGAGTTTTTAAACGAAGATTTTGTTTCTAAAAACCTTTTAAGTAAGTAAATTAAAACAAAAGATTACACATTCTGCGTGAAGAATAAACACTATTTATTGATTTAGATTATATTAGCGTTCAGGATTACCTCCAAATTTCAAATAATTATACCGATTTCAGGGTTTATTCATTTAAAATTCGTTTTTGTTATATTTAAAAAGACACCCTTGATTCTTTCCCTATCAGATCAAGAGACCATATATACAATTAATCGAAGGAATCACACCGTCAACCACGACCCACATGTTTAGCACAATAAAGATTGTTTTGAAAATACTACTAATATAATTCTTTTTTCACAGTATATCGCTGTCACATTTACCAAAACCGTGAATCAAAAATAATGATAGTTCAAGTACAAGTAGACCTACCGTATTTTTATCATGCCTGATTTATTCACTGGCGATTTCAAAGATCTCTACTTTAATGGACTTGTTGTGTATGGGATAAATATTGCATGTCACGTATAATGGACGACATAAAAATCATGTCTTCTAACCGCTCCACTGAGAAACTAGCAACGTTCCTGTTGTATTGAACCACCACAAAGTACTATGAATCCAATAAGAATTGATTTTATATAATTTTAAAGCGAAAAATCTTGTGTAAAATCCCGAGTGATGCTGAAAATTTCAATAATAATAATATTTTCTACAATTTTTTTGAAGATATTGAATGGTGGATATAAAACCCAGACAGATGATTTAGTTTTAAAGGATACGGAACAGTAAAAGAGGAAAAAAGTGCCAAGGTATATTACAAACCGGTCGATAACGATGTATTCATTCAATTAAATCAGCCTTTGTTAGGTTAAGAATTTCACAATGTCGCTGTCGCCCATCTCTAATGATATTTTACTTTACGTTCTCGACAATAAATGATAAGACTACTTGAGCCAAAGTAACACATTGTGTTAAGTATGTATTCATGCCGATTTACTTTATAAATAATATATTAGTTTCTTAAGCTGGAATATTTGGAATAAATTCTCATGGTATGGTCAAGCTTTTTTTTTGTTAAATTCAAAATGAAAATGACACATAATACAAATTTTCATTGATTAGTTAGGAGTGGGATTAAAAAGACTTTTGCACGTGCTGAAAGAAGAGTGTTTGGCATTTCACCAAAGCACCAAACGCACTTGTTATTATTAGCTTTTTAAAACTGAAAATGTGCCAAGTCTACGATGGTTTTTTTATTGTCTGAAAGGGATTAACAAAATTAGATCTAGGTTATCAAGAATCATTGTTTCAAGCACAAGTCGAAGGTGAATCGTGGGCCATTGACGCGATGCATATATGGATCTTGTTTGACAAAAGTGTTAACTTGGTCTAAACTGAGATCATCGTCGAGTTACGTTGATAGAATTGATTTGTATATACGGAAGGTCCGTCTGTGTCCACAATCAGCGGTTTCGGAACTCTTAAGTAGGCCAATTGGTCATGCTCCGAATAGATTTATCATTCTAATTCGCAAAATTGTTTGAATTTGGTATGTACAAAAATGACCTGAAATAAAAATTATAGCAGCGTGAAATCGTCTTATGTCCATGTTATTCGTTTCGCCTAGAACTTTCTTTTGTACTTTCGACAAGTAAGAAAAAACAAACTCAGATGACTTTTTGAATCATTTATGACCCGTTTTGGTGTATTTGCAATTATATGAGAAAATAGGGTACAAGGCCAATGCTTTGGCTGATGGAATTTCTCAAAACTGCGGACACTCGTATGCGGAAAAACCAAAATTGCTTACTGAATTACATGATAAACAAACATTAAAAACTTACCGTACGTGACGTCACATGTCGATGATAAAAATACGGACATTGTATACTCAACACGCGTTCGATTGCCATCGTTGTCAGTGATGCCATCGTCACGATACCAAAAAACATCATTGCGAATGCACTATAATTGCAAAGAGCGTCTCCCCCTGCCGCCTGGGTGAACAAAATCAATTTACATAAATTTGATTTTTTGAATAAAATAATTTTGCGCCAATTCGTGGCCAATTAAAGACACACATGAGTGTCTTGTACTGACGGTAATGGTAGACTGCTCAGTCAGCTCAGCTCAATTGTTTTGACCAAAATTTTAGATGGGCGGCGAATAACTACTGATGCAAATATTTACTAAAATGTAATTTGTTTTGTTATTCCATGATTCACGTCGAAATTTCATCACTTTTGCATATTCAAATCGATTCAATATTGCATTTTCATGGAATATTACTTTAATGTATTCCGCAATTATTTTATTAGCATGAAATGCATGGCAATTGGTTGCTTTTATTACCTTTTAAGATCTTGTTTTTCAACTGGATTTAATAATATTAAGAAACCGCTGTTGTTTCTCATGCTATAAGTTTTTCAACCTTCATAAACACAAGTTTCACTGATTGAAAGCTGGCGCAAGAATTTTTGATTTGTAATATTTTGAAATAGATTACGTCAAGTTTCTTATCCCAAACGTTTGGTTTTAGTTCTTCTTGTCAAACGTGGATTTAATATGCAGCAAACACGCACTCGCAGTTTGTGTTTGATCATAGGTGTATGATTTTGGTATATTTTCATTTCATTTCGAGAACTAAAAACCAAGTTATTTATTAATGTAACTTCATGCAGTTATTGTACTGTTCGAGTTTTGGATTCCATGGGACATGTTGCTGAAATTACTCTATTGAATTAAATGGTCCTTTTATATGAAAGTTCGACAAAGTTCAAAAATTTTATGCTTAATGTTACCTCTCATATAAATAGGAAGTAAACTACGTTTTTGTTTACCTTGATGGTAGTGTTCGTTGCATACAAATATAGTGTAACTGGAGAAGTGGCTAAATTTCCAGCCAAGTCAACCGCTATAAGAGCAAGTACAAGTGTATGAAACGGTCCAAACTTATTTTTTCTGCGTCGTTTCGTTCCAGGTAAAATATCTGAAAATGTAGGCGAAAAGACATTAAAATATAAAATAATAACGTATTCTGAATGAAAAAACATATAAAAACTCTACTCATAAAATTAACAAATTAATGTGTAGCACGTAATTCTAATGAGCAAATTCTAATCGAAAATAGAAGTGTTTATTAAACATGATAAAATTGCATGGGTTACGAAGAATCCATATTTGCATAGGTATATTTTACAATCTACACAACTATAACTAACAAAAATTAAATAAGTCAATGAAAGGGTTTTACACTGAACTATAATACAAAAATACTTCCAACAGTTAGACACTAAAAAAAATTACACACATAAATTATCTAATTTCGGAGAATATATTTTAATAGACCTATTTTTTATAAACTATTATATACTATGAAGTCTGTTACTCGGAGTTCGGAATCTAATTTCATAAACTATTTAGCCATGGGATTGTGGAAAGTACTATTGTTTTATATTCGGTTTAGTCACTAATACGTTTGTAATTTAACTTTTGTGAGGCTTAGGTTGTCACGACATCCAATTATTCGGAATGATAAGAAAATGAGATGTAATGACGTCAGGATTCAAAAACTGTATGTAAATTATATTTGCACCAAATAACAATGCCATAACCAAGCGGTTTGATTTGTGTAAATCTTGTTTTTGATATAATATGTGGTCCAAACTGTCGAATGACGCATACGCAGACTGTTTATTGCAAACAACAAAGTAAAAAGACATTAAAACGTAACTTAACCCGTGAGTATAATTGAATACATCATACACATCACTATAAGATAAATGCCTTAGATGGCGGCTTGATGTCATTCATACAAATTTCAAATGGCCATTATCTCAACACAAAAAAATTGAAAAACAGATCCCCACTTTTTCTAGTGTTTAGGAAGTTACGTGGCCCTACCAGAAAGATTTACTTTTTTTTTAGCTACGATTGGCTGCAATGTTTGTGCCACTCATCCTGAGGACGGCACATTCTCAAAAAAGACACTCGTTTGAACCATGACTACTTCAACTATGAGTACATTGCGGGTTATTAATTATTGGGAAATTGAAAGTGAAATCGTTCAAAGGGCAAATTATGGTGGTATCTGTGTGAGGTAATTGAGAATATACAGACAGACAAAGGACTTGCCAGGGCTATCATTATTACACATGGATCCAGCCCCCTGTAATGAAATTTATCGACAGAAGCAAGAACAAAGACATACATGTACAAACATTTCTTATATTCATAATGAAAAAAGAAAGGGTTTCAGCTATATATCCGACATGAAAGCAATGCTATTATAACCATTTGTTTGATTAGATCCATTCTGTTTTTAACAAATAACGCACAATTTTACTTCGATATATCACTAAAATTTGCGACCTCGAAATTTTACACATTTGCACAAAGTGGATTCTTGTGGAATACATTTTATACGTCACAAAAATTATCAAGTATTATTATTTCAGGTATTCAACATGAAGTTTCAACAAATTGATGCTGTTAGACTCATGGCTTAACCACTCATTATCGTCATTATACCCTTGATTTATTCGTGTAATTATCCACGTTCAGGTATGAAATATTGCCGAATTGTCACGCTATAGCACGATTCTTATGTGATCCGTATTAGGAAATATACCATTTTAAGATTCCTAGAATTATGTCTTAGGAGAATGTTGCTTCACAACTGTTTATAAATTTTCACGTACAGGTGCCGGTATCGTATATCGAACTTCAAAAAATCGACTAAATCACAATATGCTCATCTTATACAAAGGCCTATTTTAGTTAAACTACAGTTATGAGAAATAAAGCATTTGAATTTACGATAAAATTCACTGAATTACGACAATTTTGCTAGAAGCCTTTACTTATTATATGGTCGCAACACGTGGTATTACTTAGATACCCGCCTTCGAATACGAAATATAAATGTCGATAAAATACCACAATGTGGCGATTACTGTCGACTTGCAAATGTCGATTTTCACAGAGTATGCGGTAATTTATACTTTGCACAAAATGTACTAATCCCGTATTTCCAAAATGTAGGATAGGCATTATTCTTCTTAAAACACGAGTGGACTTCTAAATTTTTAGTTGCTTCCCATGCTCTACTTTGCTCTGCTTTTTTCAAGAGATTGCAATTCACTACCCAAATAAAAGTTATAAATATTAAGTAACAAACAAAGAAAAGTTATAATTGTAAACAATATCCAATCTAAAGATATTACCCTTGATATACATTGTCCAAACGTGACAAAGACAGGATGAAATATACACAAAAATGGGGGCTGCAGAACCAGAAGTATGTGTACCAATATGGAAGTGACTAATTTTATTCGTCTACTTTACATCAAGTTGTGTAAAGGGATTGATTACTATGGAAATGGGGTGTATTCACTTGGCTAACACAGACAGTTCCATAACTCGTAATAGAACTAAAATAGGGAAATCGGAACAAAATTATGACTCAACCCTAACCTGTTACACATACTCCGGGAGTACCCCAAAATGTCACGTTGTGAGCCCAAATATATATATGTTACGGATCAATTGACTTGAAAACTTTCTGTAATAGGTATGTATAGAATACAATTCGCGGTCTATAAGATATGAATGTGCGTTGCTATTTAAAATTTGAACCTGCTATTGGATCAATATTGCAAATATTCCTCATAGTCAGTTTGAATTACTATTCTAAAAATGATAAAATATTACATAAATTTCTATTAAAAATATGACCGCAAAGGTCAATATCTATATTTTTTCAGTTTGGGATTATATTTTTCGGTTCCGTCGCGCAGTAATAAGCCATCTTAAACCTTTGTTCCTGCTTAACCAGTATTGCAATTCCGGTTCTATATACATGTGTTTTATGTGTGAATAATCTTTTTTCTCTTCTCTAAACCCGCCAGGACGCGTTTTAACAGAGAAAATAACATAAAGCACGTGTACAAGCAAAATTAATGCAAGTGTGAAGTTGCGTTCATGTAAGAAAAAAACTACGACAGTATTTGAGTCAGGTTGTGTGTCCTTTCTCAAGTTCGTTAGAAGCATATTTGAATTTTTAAAATCTTTATTGCACTTATTGTTACATTATTTACAACCTTACATGAGCATAGCTTATTATGTCATCGCTGCTATTTATTATATACGCGAATCAGCATTTAGAAGTAGACAGTGATTTATTGCGAGTAATAAATCAACATAACCAAATTCTCAAACTGTTTTGCATGTCAATAATTGTATCGTGGTTTGTGGTTCCAATGACGACTTCACTGCTGTTTATCGGCTCAACAATAAAGCCGCTTTGTGGTTGAACTTGGGGTATACGCAAAAAGAAGTTTCATTGAACAAAGCAAGATAAATAACATAGCATTTTTGTTAAAAAACAAAATACGCACTCAAAGGATCTGTTCTATTTTATACTATTAAAAAATTCGAAAAGTGGTATAATATAAACAGGTGAAATGCCACAGCGTTCTTTTGTTACTCACACTTACTCACGTTTTATAACATTGAAAATATGTCTTCATATCAAACAACAGTTTAATTTCAGCATATCATTTTGTTTGGATAAAGGAATGACTGTGATGACCACTATATGCTGGTATTTACGAAGTATATGAAGTCATTGATTTACAACAAAAATTTTTTAATCTTTCATAGCATATGATCTAAAAATAGATTTTTATATGATATGTATAACAAATTTCGCCTTTAAAATTAGCATTTCAATATCAGTGTTACTAATATAAAATTGTGTGAGAAAATTTGGTAACATTTCAGCCATTTTTACCAATTACATGCTATTGATTTTAGATAGCACACTGGTTTTCTAACGCACAAGAAAACTATAAATATTTAAAAACCAGGCAAAATTACCATTTTTATTACGCATTCCCGTAGAAACTTTTCTTTGTTGATGATTGAAATCAGAAACATCCCTTGATCTATCACCATTTTTCTCACGAAAATTTGGAGAAGGAGTGTAAGCTGAGGAGCAAGTGAGTGGACTGTGAGGACGAGCTCTTCTGTACTTATACCTTACCAGAGAAACGATACCAAGCATGTTCCCCAACACTCCAAGAGCAAACATAAGACAAGGTATAGGCAATGCTTTCTGAAAATGGAAAATGGAAATAGATATATATGATTCAATGAGAAAATGTATTGAGAATTGAGATTAGCTCTCAGAATGTTTTTTTCAACCACGTTTATATAAACGGAGATTAAATATGTTATGCAAACTGCGACCAATTAGATTTCTTAGCCTATAAGTAGAAGTATTGAAGATCATGAAAAAGGTTGTTAGTTGTCAGTATTCTGTTCACATTCCATAGATGGAAAATTTTACGTCAACAAAAGAGATGAGTCTACGCTTGTTGTATTATAAACATAAGCATCACGTCACATTTGGTATTTGAAAAAAAAAATTGAATGCCATTTTACGGCGTAACTCGTGTACTACTTAATTTATATAATTAATTTATATACGAATCATCCAATTTATTTTAAAATGATAGAAGCATGAGTTTTTTAATCCAAAGATTTTTACTCAAACGCTTATAGTTCGAATTGAATTACATTTTACATGTGTTTATTAACATATCACAAAAAATCTTTACAAACTATAACATTCACACTTATATAGTTTAATAGTAAAGGCTGATGAAAAAACGGAGAGGTTGTCCTCAACAAATACCATAACCTAAAATGAATAAACAAGAAACGTCTCGTGCATCAGTATTAAAATTAAAATTATACAATAAATAAATTCGACACTCTTTTCTCACGGAGTCTTTTTACGTAATTTATGCTGGGGCGACGGTCTGGCAAAATGGTATTAAATTCTGCATTTCATTGCTGCAGATAGTTTGTACAGCTGAGTATAATTGCATTTTAATTTGTGGGAGACGGTGCTGGACAATCTTTGTTTAAATTCTGCATCGACCGGTTGCTACATATGTCGATATAGATATAATTATGGAATCATATAATCATATTACAGGATATTCTTGGAGCTTGCAGTTTCAAGAAAGATCAATCTTTTTTCGTGGCGTTTATATAAAAAATATTCGTCAAAGTTCAGTCCTATTTGACACAGATTGTATTTAATAATTGTAGTAACTCAATGCATTAGTCATGGAACCAGCTTTGACAAAGCACAAAATAAGCTTCACAACATTTGTTTGTTTAGCACCCTTTACACCAAGTGTTTATTATATATCTGTTATCGAAATCTGAACACTCGGAATTGTTTCTTACATAACTTGAACGCACAAAATAAACTGTACTTCTGTGACTAAACTAGCAACTTTTAGTGTGTCTTCGATATACTTTTCAATTGGACAGACACATAGTATTTGAAAACTTATATGTATTTGAAAAAGTCGACGAATAAATTCCAAACTATAGCATGGATTACATGTTATCTATTTCCTTGTAACAAACATTGCTGCCTAACAAGATCTTGGTTCCGTTAAATTAAATATTTTGGAATATAATGATTGGGCTCATATTTTCTTAACGCTACTTGTGTTACGTGTCGTTTACTCAAGTTGGAAAGCCTCTTGTTTGTACAAAGATACAGCTTTTATGACACAAAACAGCTACATAATTATCGAACTATTTATGTGGGAAATGAATAATTTTCAACTGGCGTAATAGTTGGTGCATATATAAAATTCTAACTGTTTGACTTTGAAGGTATTAAAATATCTGATTGATATTCTATGTTCGCCACCTTTTCAGATGTATTAAATTGGTTACGTAATATGCAAAACCTGAAGTATTCCAGCCCATAAACACAGATGAACTCTCCACATCATTGGTTAATTGTCTGATCTCATTATTTAATGTGAAGGTATGAAACACTGACATTATCGAGCGTTTAATTAATTATATTTATGATTATACATAATTATATAGTGAAACAATACTGATTGTCGATTTCAAAAAAGGCTATTGGAATTGACCAGGAAGAATTATAATATATACGATCTATCTGACCTTTGAATCTATTACAATGTAGTCCAGTTCTGAAAGAGGAACATATCCTGTATTTCGAGTCGTGACATTTTGTAAATCCATATCCATGAACAGCTTGCGGAAAGCACAGGTAGATCACTAAAAATATACTCTGTCCTTCGCGGGTTTTCGAGTAATTACAGAATTGGAATTGCAAAACGACCTTACAGAGTTCTCAATTTACCCAATTTGACATTTTGCTATAAAAGATTAGAAATTTGATTATATTTTGCAGCTGAGTCTACTTTCTACTAATACGATGTAGCATGCTAAAGAAAAACATGTTTAAGCGTGGACCAATTGTACAACAGCTCACGGTTGACCGGGCGCGACCCGACGGACACCTACATCCCCATCGAGTTATCGACAACCGACTACAATTCGTCGTCACATGTAAGGGATTTATGATAAGATATTAGAGAGAAGTGAGTGAGAGAAAAAAAGGCACGGCCTCATACTGTTGAAGGGATATTTTATGACGATTATATTTATGTCGACTCTCGTTTGGAACGTCATCTTGGTAATTTTCATCTATTTCACCCAAACTACAAAAATATATATACTGCTTATTTAAAGCTTAGCTCCACGTTTCCTAACGATGGGGAATTTCTCATCAGGAATTTTGTGTATCTTGAGGAGGAATTGTGCTTCGTGTTTGCTATAGTATTACCAATGATTTCCAGTTCTTGTGAATAATTACACTATTACTAATATACTTGTTTAGACATAGGTTATAAACTACTTAAACTGTACAAAAATGGGAACATGCGCATAACACCCGTGAATTATCCATTGAATAGTTGACAAATAATATAGTTTTATGCAAAGTGGGGGAGGAATAAGAGTTCCAAAATACGCGAAGGGGTAATTTAAAAAAAAAAGGGGTTTCAAGCCACTGTCTTAGCTCCATAGTTTCAGGATTGGTTGCAATTGTAACGTGATTTATAAAAAGTTTGCGTTGCATATTATTATACAAAGATAAACAAATACATTTTTCATTTTGTTAATGCTCGATTAAATGAGGAAAACATCTTTAATTGCAATGTTGTATTTGCCTGATTGCTCCAGTTATGAAGTAATCGATAAAATTGATAAAAATAGTTCGATTTGAATCTTCATAGTTAAACATTGAAATGCATATAACTATTATATTTATTATGTTATCATTCAACGAAATTGCATATTATTGTAATCTTCCAACAATGTCCACTTGGATAAGAGATTTTTTAGTATAATTTGCTGCTAAAATATGATTTTATATCTCGTTTTGATGAGATAAAAGATTAAGAGAACCCACAATTAGTTTATTTTTTTAGACAGAATATTTGTTATGCCTTAGCAGTATTATATCTTTCGATTATTTCTATAAAAGACGTACTTACAGATGGGGAGAAGTAAATAAAAAGGCGGAATAAGGCAATAACTATATAGATGAAAGTAAAACGCATTTGTTAACTTGCATTTGCAGTTCAAACGAATTTCCCCTCTTAAAGTGTGACTCAATATTAATATTCTGGTGATATTACATGAATGAGGTTTCCCTTGAAACTGGGCCGTTTATAAAGAGTGTTACAAAAGATCAATTTTATTACTAATTAACTCATTATTTTAAAAATGTGCTTAGGAGTTGAAAATATTTGTAAGTTTTAAATTTTTCATTTTTGTACGGGAATGACAAAAGCGCACGTTCACCACTTGATGATAAGATAATTTTTGTTTCGTTACCAGTTACTTCTGTCAATACATCATAATTAAAACTATTAACCAACTATTGTTCTGCATATTCATGACCTGACGACTAAAAACCTTGTAAATAAGATCTTCAATCAACTCGTTCAAAACACGGTAATTGTGATTTGAAAAAAACGTTAAAATAGGCAAAAAAATTCTCATTCTACTATAAAATCAAACAAAACCTATTTTACTTCGATCAAACTTGTAAACAAATTCTTCTTCCTTGTTCCTATCGCTTGAGCGTCGCGATTATATATCTTAAAAACTGCCTTTTGAAGAAAGCTTTTGAAGCGTTTGAAATCCCCTCGAATAATAGTTACTCAATTCTGAAGAATTTCTCAATTTAATCATAACGTTTGTGTATTCTCATTCCCCGAATCAATGCGCGACAACATATTCGACCTCTTAGCTAAGAGTGGGGATTTCTATTAAAAAATCAGCAACTTTGATTGGAGTTTTACAGTTAATAATCTGAAGAGCGATAAAATAGTCCTCACTGATAATGAAGTATGCTGTGAATATAAACATATTATTTGATTTAGATACAGATAACTTGTGCTTAAAAACAATTTCTTGGCACAAGCTTCGTATCAATGCACTGAAGTATAAAATTACTGATTTTTTACACGATCTGTTTCCCTTTGGGAAATGGTTGAAGGAAATGTCAAATTAGGTTATCTTTCAACGCATTAGGGTTTGAGTCACTTCAAGATGTTGTTTCTTTGTTTCACTGAACTGAATCTCACTTTCGATTATTTAAGCCTCCTCGAGTAGCGCTTAAGTTAATTAATTTATTATCATTAAGTTCTCTACTAAATTATATTTACTAAAGAAGTGATTTGAAGCTAAGTTTGATAATCACAATCATTTATATCGTGCAATGAGTACAAATTATTTTTTCGCAAATTTAAGTTCTGACATTGGGTTCTCTAAAGCCTGGCATATCTAGAAATGTTTTGAATTGGCATGCGAAATTCATAAAATTCAAAATTAAAAACGAGCATCATCACCGCGGAAAATTGTTCATAGATTTCTTCATTTTTTTTGTATAAAATTGATTATATATTACATCTGTCCTAGCGCCATTTTTAACTCGACATTTCGTTTTAAAGGAGAATATTCGATGTAAAGTAGTCTTTCTCATAATATATAAACACTATATTTCGAATTGCGTCAGTGTATCTATAATATCGGCATGCAATCTGCCGCAAATGTCTTCTCCATCGATCGCAGTTGACGCACAAGACAGTTCTCTTCAAAAGTGAGGTAAGCTTCTGTAATTCAACACAACACTTAGTTAAACTTACAAATGTGTTGATGATCTTCGTATATACCTCAACGGAATCAAAAACAAGTATCTCGGATTTTACGAACTTGGTTGTTACGACATTTAGGCACTGTGGCATGCCTATAAAATATTAATGAATTAATGAAGACTTCTTTCAGACAGAAACTTCAGGTTGCCTTCAGTAACCAGTTGATTTGATAGCGCTTACTCACAATTTTCAAAATAGGAAAAAAAAGTTAATTTCGTGAATCCACAAAGAGACTAAAAATAAAACTTGGCTTCCACAATATTGGTTGATTGTTGAACCAAAAGTGAATTATTAACTGTGAATGTCGAACATGTTTTTTCCAGACCGTCATCATACGAACAATAAATACTTTGATAACTAAACGGACACTAATAAAATCACGTTGCAGACAAAATGTGTTTACAAGAAACAAGTTACTTGCGCCTTTACAAACCAGAAAACAATAATTTCATTAGTCTCATAGACGTCATTTGCTGGCCATCGTTTTGTTTATTAAACGTTTCGTATTACACTTCCAATTCATAGTGGGTAGCACTAATAAAGGAGAAATCAGTCATGAAACTCAATATCCTTTTGTTCACTGTGTATCCATAGTTCAATGTTTTGAGGTATTGCCCTGCACCATGGTAATAGTGGCAATATTATGTCAGGGAATCGGAGAATTCATCTTCGACAACTGTTTTCCGGGGTTTAGTGTTTCACTAGTCATTGAATTGCTGATTGTCAAAAATTGGGTCAATTCTCATACTGTACAAATCAATTTATATATTAGTTGTGACGCAGCCGGTGATTATTCAACAAATCGTTATCATTGAGTATTGGGTTGGACTTCCAGTCGAGTACTGTAAATGTTTGTTGAGAAAAGATATAAAATATCTGCAAGGGGAAAAAAACGCTGTCACAATCAACATTTTCACAAAGTCAAAATTTTCATAAAAGGCGATTTAATTCAAATCATATTTATATCATTTCAGCGGTTCATTGCATTACTTTGTGGTAATTTGTCTTGTAATTCTAAGTAATTCTAACTTCGTATTGATCAATCTCATATGCGTTACTCCGTATACAAATTAACTAAATGGAAACTGCAAGAGCTATAGAACAGGAAATGACATTTTAGTATGCTTTGGTTTTGCGATTCAATCATTTATATTCTATTCATGCAAGTCCGATATATTATTTGACGTTCGCAAAATCTACATACTAATGAGATATTGAGCATTTGAAAATTGCTTCTCTTTCGCCACCTGGCGATATTATTTTATTGATTGGTTGAAATGCTATGTTGATATTGCTCATATTTTCATGAACAGGTTTTATATTTAAGTCTTGAAAAAATTTATCATGTAGTAAATAGTTGTCTTCGTCTCGTCTCTGCCTTGTTTGAAAAGTAACCATTGTTTGCATTTGCATTAGTATGGAATTTTGATAGTTTTTTGTATAACAATACATCAGAGACTAATAACTGCAAAAACTACGCGAAAATATTTGCAAATCATATAAGTTAAAAATATGATAAAGATTATAATATCTATATAAATATAAAAACTATGAAATCTATAGAGGTGACTCATTTGTGATCATATTTTATTATAATTAAATTCAAGATAAGAAAGATTTTGTGGTAAAATAGGGTTTCATACTTTGCTCAGTGTCGTATTGAAAAATCAAAATACCGCTAATCCACTACACTATAGTAGTAACTATATTAATGAGGTATAACCCAGAAAATGTCTTATTCATCCCAAAATACAAGTGTTCAATACCAGATAAGTAAATTTATTTTATCGCAAGACATTGAGGTAATTGTAGTTCGAGCGATTCGATGTTCTAAGTATGTATTTGCCTGTTGCTTATGGAGTGTTCGACTGGACTTGTTTTCATGATTGTCCGAATGTCAACTGATGAGTCGTGAACTCGCGAATCGGAGTTTAGGTTCCAACTCTGTATTGTATTATCGCCTAAAATACTTTCTACAGTTTCTAAGTAGTACACGAGTTCATCCAACATCATGTTTTTTTTTATAATTCATCGCACACCTACCTATGACATCAGTAAAATATTTCATACATTGCAATGTTGCAGACATTGCGATGCAATCATTCAAATTTGTTTAACCGTGCACTTGGTTTAATGGTATTGAAAATATCTCGACGCATTGAGTCAATTTTCAAAATACTAAGATATTGAGAGAGAACACGACAACAATGTTTGTAATATTTATACACAATGAATAAAATACCGCATACATTTAATTTGAGAACTATTTGAAAATTATTGGCCTATCATATTGGACACTTTATATATGAACAATTGCTCTTGACCGTATTACACTAAAAATACAAATAGCACCGTGGAAATAAATGGCAGGCAAGTTTTTGTATCAAATAATAAAGCTTTGGCAGATCTGATTTCTGGCAATCCTTTATTCAGTTTCCTGAGCCCGAAATCTTTCCTCAGCCACATAGTTACCAATCGCATGATAAAGGATTTTTACAATTGATATTTCATTAAGATAATATTTTGCACAATACAGTGGTAAAAAGTGTATAAGCAGGTGTATCATCGATTAATTGGGACAGGGGTTCTTAACCAGTGGGAAGATGGGAATAATAATTGAAAGTAAGAAGTTTACATTTTTCCTACTACTAAAATGAGCTTATACATAACCAGATATATACATTGAATTGGAAAGTACTAGATCAAATCAAGGTTAAATGTTATTATCGAATAAATTGAAGCTTTTAGAACATCATAAAAAATAGGGAATTCTACTGGAAGAGACGAACAACTCTGAAATTATGATCTCTTGAAAATTATTTTTGCCCCTGCCTATTAAAAATTAGAGATTTGATTGACAAAAATATCTATTCATTTTGCTTGTCAAAGATCAAATTGCAAAATCGAACAAGTTCTCTTGGTCGTTTTGCTCCAAGAGATAGGTTGAAAACAATTGCAACGGATTTTACATGTACTAGAGTGTGGTCGTGATAGCACCTCAACACACACTACTCCTTGTTTTGGTCATCAATATCACTCACAATTACAATATCAGGTCGAGCTGGTGTTGACATATTTTCAGTTTCTTCGTTGCCTTCTTTACTTTCGTTTCTGTCATCTTCTTCTTTTAAAATTTGCTCTGTCATCCATACACCTATATCTAACAGTCCGAGAGCCCGTGTATCCACAGATTGATTTGAATTCAAAGATCCCGAATGTGGTCTTAATCTCGAGAATGATGGGTCCTGTGTTGGAGATTCAGGGTTGCTAATTTGATGTCTAGGAGTATGAAAATCTACAATTGAACTTGCTTCCGATATCATGCCAGGCAGTTCTTCTGAAGATGGACTACTTCTTGGAGATGGCATTAACATATTGTACCAAGTATTCCTTTTACGGCCATGCAGTGTATCGTCTTCGTCGGATGATGACTGCGTAAGAACGTCGGCAAATGATGACTCTATTCCGGCTAAATTGACATCGGCGGCGGGAAATCCATGATTGCTTAACATTGAAGGCGGTGGAGGAGGCAAGTTTGAATATTCAGAACTTTCATTAGGGGATGCATATCCTTCCGAATAATATTTTTTTGTAGATTTTCTGCGCTTTTCAAAACTTACTTTAGGTGGTCCTGACAGTCGTTTCTTTTTTCGGCGTTTTCCTGAAGCGCTGAGCGTCTGAACTATGCGATCAGCTTGCCTAGAATCAAGGCAAGTTGTTCGCCGACGTGGGCGGTAATGCCTACCGTAATGTTTCTCCAGCCATTTGTACTTGTTCTCTCCGCCATCGACGGCTTTAAGCTGAAAACAATGTAAATAAATTTGATATCTATAATGATAATTTAATCAGTGTTCTACGTAAACGGTAAAAATTTTATACCAAGCGAATTTTGAGCATAAAATATTTATATGTTAGTCCACAAAAAAGCATGAAAAGTCCTACGATATTCCGACACCATTTGGCTTTTGATATGCTCACAACTACTCAAACTACTAGCTTGCTACTGAGAAGAAAGTGGCAATAAATGGTTTCTAGGTGTAGAAATCTTTGCTCTATAGAAATGAAACTTCTAAATCATCATTTCAGCAATAATATTATTTCATAATTTAATATGTAGTTTTTTTAAAACGATCGTTAGAAATAAAAATAGAGACACAGGTTGATTTGTTTGTCAAGTCTGATTATTGGCAAAATATCTACTGCTGGGATGCAATAGGCGGCAAAAATTCCACTAAGGTGCATGTATTGGTCTTATGCTATCCACAGTTTGATTTCAACTAACAATTTAAAATGCAAACCACTTAGTTCAAAATACCAACCGAAGGTGTTTACGAAATTTCTTGAAGACGAGTCCAATAAAATATAGTCATTGTCGGAAATAATATACTGAGCGACTAAATCATCGAATTTTGTTTAATTTTGAAAAAAAAAACTTCCTCGACGGGAAGCGATGACAAATTTACTAAAAAGAAGACTTTGATCCCTGATCTAATTCTCACGACAAAAAAATGTACCGTACATCGATTCATAGTGTGGTCAAGGCAAATATATTTTTTATCAGGCTGTTTAAAAAACAATTTGCTCTACTGACGCTGACGCATACTTTTGCATAAAACGCCTAATTTCACAACTATAATGTATTCTTACTTGCATCATTACGTGTGCCCACTCGTCTGGAATTTGGTTTGATTGATTAGGAATTCTTTCCCCAGTTATAATTTCTACCGGTCCACCTTCTCGTTTGAATTCGAACAAGTTACTTTCGGACATAGACAATTTTTTGGATTCGATCCTGTGCAATATTAATTAATAATATTAAAGTAAAATAAAATTCTACATAAATCGATATAAGCGTATATGAAAATTCCACAATTGCTTGTTAGAATAATCACAAATTTTTTTTCCTAGAAACAGTAATTGCTAACTGGTAAACCGATTTATATTTATGTAACGTGAGTGCCAGAAGGTTCTCTGGACCTTGAAGACAATCTTTAATGAATCTTCAAAGGTAAAATAAATATTACTCGAAGGAAATGTAAAAAATCTAACTAGTCTTATAAAGAACTTAGAAATTACTGCATTTTGTAATTACCCTTTAAATTGATAATAACGATTTTCGATTCTCTGGCTTTGAACGCTCATATCGTCGTGGCTTCTTTTTCTTAGTTGTTTTATTCTTCTGCGTCTTTTTTTACTTCTTTTTGATCTTTTCCATTTTGGTTCTTGTAGAAACGACTTTACAGGCACGTTCTGCAGTGATCGAAGTTTTTTGATCTTCGTCGGGTGGGGTGGTTTTGCTTGTGCTGGAGATGATCCAACCCAGTGGATTGGTCTGAAAAAAATTCCTGATTTTGGAGAACTAAGGTTCGTAAGGCTTGCTTTGATTTGATACTCAAAATCTAAATATTGGACCAAGTTTTAAGATTTACTAAAAATCACTATATTGCTTTGTAATGTTCCCAACAATAATTTAAAACAAACATATTGTAGGCATGTTGAATAAACTTCATTATTTGCATCCAAAAACTCTGTAATGCGATTGAAAAAGCAATCAATCAAGTCAAAGATTGAGCGACATTGAGGTTTGCGAGGTTCACTTATTTTCTTAATATATTATGTTAGTTTTAATACGCTTGTATCTTCAGAGCCTATAAAATTCTAAATCCTAACATAAACTCAAGTCGGTTTCTAATTGAGAACAATCGCAAATACAAGAGCATACTGAACAAATCAGTTGATGACACGACAAAACTAAGTGAATTGAATACCGTTTATCATCAATGTATATATATAGCATATGCGAACAGTTCTACAAAACTCAAAACTGAGCATTGTGCCTACTCTGTTTTTTCAAGCGTAATCCCATCTATAATAGATTTTCCTGACCTGCCCATTCTACGTCGTCCCTTAGAACCTGGAATCATCATGGCCTCTTCGTCATCCCAAGGTAGTGACTTGCGAGTTTTCTTTTTTGTCAGCCAATCAAAACTGGGCAATGATGGGCAAGGACATGAACAGTCGAGGGTAGGACAACAGGATATTTTGTCTGCGGTTAAATCATCTTCTGTCGTTGTGGTCGTCGATATAGTCGAAGTAAAGGAGTCTGAGCCGTTTATTTCTTCGTATACGGCTTCCTGTGTACAGAGACATGATTTCAAAATATCATCGTTACATAAATATTTCATTGTCCATATATATACATATATTTCGTATATGTGATTGACTAAATTATCGTCAAACATCCTGGTAAAATAATTACTTGTACACATGATTTCATAAAGCGTGATATCGTAACAAAGAGTCTGTGTGAACAGAGACGGAGTTGTACTGGGAACTTATTTTGTTTGGCTACGATAATCCTATTTCCCAATCCTTAGATGATGTGAAGGGATATGGTTTTAACTGTTTATTAATCACAACTAGAACTCGGATTCAGGGAGTTCAATATTATTTTTAATTATTTAACAAATATTCTGTAATATTATCTGATATATCAGTTTAAGAATCTGTCAAGTGTATGGTATTGTAAAACTTAATTTATTGTAAAGATTCACTTTGGTATTTAGTAAAGCCAAATATAAATAATGGACGGCGCTATACGGATGCAATTACTGCTGTGATGCTCGTCAAACGACTATCAATATTATTTCCAAATAAAGGGATATATCATATATTCCAACAAACCTGGTTATCTTTTTCAGCGGAACTCGACAATTCTGATTCATTACTCTTTGACCCGAGAATCAGAGGTCGTATATGCGTCGAAGAGTATGAAGTTGACCACGACAACCACCGACAAAAGGAACTTCGGGATAAATAGTAACAACATATTCCAATAAGAGTCAACAGTAGGAAAACAGCAAAAACTATTCCAACAACAAGCCCTGAAATACAAAATTAGGTGGTATGAAGTATTTTAGAATTTCCAATCTATAACTTGATCAAGACGATAAAGGTGGTTTGTATAAAGAAACTGCCTAGCTGCTTATACTATAGGACAAGATATGGAATCTACCATGTATCATACAAAAGAAGAGCACCGCAAACGTTGATTTAAATTGAGATTACCACTAATTTTAAGGTTAACAGTAGCATTACACATTCATGTATAGATAGATATAAATAAAGTTTCATGTATACATGAAGACAGTATATTGTCAGATAAAATAGTTTGAGCTACATGGAAGCCGCAACCAGCATCATTTCGAGGCTGTTTTACTGGCGAGAAAATAGAGATATTTTGAATACCTTTATTAAATATAATGCACCTTTGTTAATGATGCTGATTCGCTAAGCTTAATTAAGAGTGTTGCCCACATGCACTTATAAAAGCAACTTAAATTCCACAATAAATATTTTTAGAGAAACTAAATCGACGCAAAAACACGATCTTTTCGATATAAAAATATTTCCGTAAAACACCCACCTGTCTGTTGGATAAAATGGAAGATGGACAAGGTAATTAATGTGCGCCTTTTGCACATACAAAATACAACTAAATTGTGGAATATTTAATTATATGAAGATATCAGCACCAATATATTCAAAACTTACAAATTGTGCTAACTCCGATCTCAGTGTCATATAAACAGCATCCCGATGTATTTTCTTCACAACAGTACCCACCTGTTTTTGAAAATATAAAATAAACCAAAATAATGATGACCAACTATCAAATTTTTTCAAAAAATACGTAATTCATATTGCTGGAAGTAATAATCGAGGAAGAGAAACTGTTTTATTACAAAATTGTGAATACAGAAAACTAAATTCAATAGCAGGCGCCGATCTATCCTGTTGTTAAGTATATTTAGTGGGACCCAGCGTTTGGAGAAGGAGCAACACGGTATTCCATGTTATTTCCTGAACAAATTGGGTATTTGTTATATATCTCTAGATGAATTATAATCTATGATTATTACTTAGCATTTTTTACGATAGGTTTCAATAAAATAGTGGGTCGGCTTATCTAAGCTACCATCAACCAATAATAACTAGGTTAAAAAATACCCAATATTTGTAAATGAAATTGTATGATGTAATCGCCAGTGTCTCTTACCATCACAGTTGAAATTGTATATTGTTCCATCTCGGTAAACTGCGCACAAGTCAGAATCCTAAAATAATAAATAGAATATTTCACGTCGTAATATTCTAATTTTGAAGATAAACAAGACATATACATACCGTGTTGCAGCTAACGCATGAAAATAAAAACAGATTCAAAATGATCAATTTAAGTAACATTCCGAAATAATGATATCTTCCAGTAATACACACGTGTTACCATTTTGAGAAGCACAACATTTAAAATTATATTTGTGAGATAATCTGAAAAATCAACACTGTAAAGTTAATGTTTCCGTGCTTTACTCGGAAGCACTTTAAAATGGCATTTTACATCATACTATATAATATCTATGAATTTTAGGTCTAATAAAACATTTGTTGAAACGATGAAAGAAAAATTGGACATAAAAGTGAAACCAAGCAAAACTATTTTCAAAATCATTATCTACATTGGCGACTAATGCATTGAAAAGTCAATCACTGTTCTTCGGAATGCCATATCGCTCCGACTTCTAACAGTTGAGAATCTTATGCTGCCTATCGTACGCATAAGCTTTGGTTCCATATGGAAATTTGTTAGAACAGCAATATACTAAGAGTTTAAATTTATTTTTTGAATCTACAATTTTGAAGGTTGAATAATCGATAGATATATTCGCTCCACGGAAGTTGTACAAATGCCCACTTAAAATCATCTAAGGTTTGCATAGCTTATTATACACAAGTTTTTCAGGGATTTAGAATTGTTTGTACCATATTAAATGATTGAGCCATAAATCGGATTATGATGTAACAATCAAAGCTTATAAAATTCAATCCTGGATAAATTTCATTTAACGACCATGCATTCGACTTCATTATTAGGAAATATTCAAGGAAGAAACGCAAAAGCATTTCGAAAATTAAGTTAGGCGATTTTAAGACGCTTTCACATACGGAGTCCTAGTGAGTATGATTTTGGTAATTTTTCATTTATTTTTGTTGGACCTATTCCATTACATTAAGTCTTTTGCGTAACACTTTTGCGTAACATATTTTTTTGAATAGCTAACCCAATGTTTATATCAGTCTTTGGCAATGATCAAAAAAAGATTAAATTTATTACAATTTATCCCACTTCCCAATACTACTCGAACATTCACTCATTTTACTTTTTTTTTTTCATTTTTTGAAGATGTACTTTTGCACAATGTGAAATGAAGATTTTTGTGAATTAGAACTTGAATTTTGTTTCAATTTTATCTGCAAATATGAGCTTTATTAAGCGTAGCACCGGAGAGCATTTATTATTCCGAAATCTATAATTGGCATCGCGTAGAAGTTGCGTAGAAGTCTTGTACTGCTCAGGACAACGTTGGAATTTATAGAAAATTTATGTCACAACCGTGGTGTTGCATTGGGCATTAGCCTGAACTTTCTACACAGATTGCTTCAAACAGTACGTTTCTCGAAAATAAGTCCTGTATAAAATTTCTGATTTTATACCCGACAATTTGCACAACGCAAAAAAGCAACCCAATAATTGCGTACTTTTCAACAGCCCAAGATTCTAACATTCAGACAAATAATTGTTTGCTTTCATATGTCAAACAATACCACAAATCGTTGTTAAATGGCAAATTATATTTGCTCAGGCCATGTAGACACAGGTTCGCCATGGGAGACTGTCGGTTTCAATGAACAACGCCTATTTATTAACAAGAGCATTTACATTCGAGATTTATAGTCTCAAGATTTTTAATTTGAAAGAATTAGTCAGATCTACGTATTGTTAAATACACAGGGAATTTGAGTTAGATGATTAATTAGTGTATCATTAGGTTTATTTCCCAATTCAATAGGCAAGGTACAATTTTACAATAGTACAATATCGAGTAAAATGATATAAAAAAATAAAATTGTTATAATGAATTCAGATGGCAGGCCTTATCACAAAACAACACTACCATAAAAATAAATTACAATCAAGTAAAGGTATTGTTGGTATAAAAAAATAAAACAAAATAGCAATATTAATGAAGATATATTAATCAACCATAACTTTAGAAGGTTCTATTTTGCAGTTGCAAACAAAGATGGCAACCTTTAGGCTCTTATTTCAGACGCCGTCACGTAGCTAAATAAACTACATGTCGTTAATAATTGATTACGTGTGGCAATATGTTATAGATAAATATAATTTAATTATCTATAATGATTTTTTAATAAAATAATTGTTTCAAAAATTCAAAATGCAACACAAATTGTAATCACAATGAATAGGTCACCCCAAATTTATAGCAATGTTAGTATTTTTATTTAAAAAATATATTCGCATAAAAGGAATCAAGTTATAGAGCATTATATATTATTTATTTATCAAATGGCAAACATACGTTAAGTGTCTAAAGCAAATTCCATTTTTTCGGTCAAAAAGGGACGAAATTACGAGACAATGCGAATTTTTATTTGGTTACAATGGCAACTCAATTTGTACCGTTTACCAAACTAGCAAAACGAAGATATCATAGAAATTTTTGGTCTCTGATTATACAGAAATCTGCCTAGGAAGTCATTAAACAATGGCAAACGTCTTTACTAAAAGAAGTAAGATACCTCGTTCTACTACATTGGGTGATTTTGGATATCGAAGTCAAGCATTAAGACAACTCAACATATCGCTAAATAAAGATAAAGGACCAGAGATAACGAGAATACTATCACCAACAAGGCGACAGAATCCCCAACCAATCGGTCTGGTTTATCAGAGTCCTTATAACAGATATAATAACGTGAGTCTATTGTATATAACAATGAGGTGTCAAGCTTTGCTGAACAACAGTAGCCTAAAGTATTCTTTTAAGCTGCGCGACTATAACCACAAGTTTAAACTTTTATCTATGAATTGGAAAACTTTCCTCAAACCATTGTTTTTGCTGTCTTTTGCCTATCTCAGTTTCATACCAATAAAATTGAGAAAAAATAAAAAGAAAAGATGTACTAGAATATCTCTATATTGAAACAAGCCTATATTTTGTGACACGATCTATCTAATTTAGTTGGTCAATTCCTACAACTGTCTGATTTGCCACGTGTGATAAAAAAAAACGCCTCGAAAAAAATAATATTTCATATGCTTAAATTCGCTTATCTGAAGCACTCGAGCAATAAAATGCGATGCTGATAAGAGTGTTGTCACCATAACTTCAGCTCTACCCAAAACTTTCTTTTCACTTTGGTATACAATATGGGGGATACCTAGCTATACTATCCCGATGCAACAGCGCATTGTCAGCTAGGAACAAATTTAATTCTTGCTCCTAACTACAATATTATTTTATAAGGTATTTGGAATATGGAATCCAAACCAAATGATGCCTGTGATGAGATGCGAACAAACTCTTCCACATTTAAGTGAGTATTTCTTGCCCTGGTTTTTCGCGGTTATGGAGATCTCTCTCTATTCCATCTAACATAAAAACTGTACAAAAAATTTTGTCTAATGCTCCACCAAATAAAAACAATTCATTTCAATTTTGTCCAAATACGAGATTATAATCACCATTCGACCAAGACACAAAATTCCTGTCCTTCTTCTAGTTTCTAGTCTGATTTCAACAAAATAAAGGCATTCTTGTTTCAATGCTGCACATGAAGACAGTCACCTTACAAGCTTCTTGCTTGTTCCGGAAAGGCGGTCTGGTTACGTTTTAGCAGTGCAGCAGAGAATTAAAATATTTTGACTACATCTGTCTATTTCCGTTTAACACAAACGGGACGTATGATTCAGTTGCCATCGCTGCACCAAGTTCAGGATATTTTGATAAACAAAAGATAGTACGAATATTCTTTTGAGAAATAGATAAAATACATTCAAATTTAGTTGATAACATATTACTAATAATTACTAAAATTACTATTGCCAAAAATTGGATGTGCGACATGCTCAGTATCGGATCACCCTCTTTAAATAGACATACCTTATGGTCTAGAATTTCAGTATTACTGACTAACCGTGTCACACCGATTTGAGGAAAAAACTTTGATAACACATATTTGCAAAACACGGCCGTTTATAGACAAACTTCTCAAGTTACAATCATCGCTATATTCAATCCATTGCTACAAAGTACCCTTGAACCTTTTCAGATATGATTTATCGTAACCTAATGTATTGTAAATTAAGCAACGTAAGGTGGTTTGTATGCTATAAGCAATGTACTGCACATGGAAATTTTTGGCTCGGAATGATTGCTATAGCTAAGATATATATTTCATATTTAAGGACGAACCAACTTCACGTGCCAACATGATATATCATTACTCAAGAGATATATGGCTCCCGCTGATCCCGGAGGTTGGTTTACATTTTCCTTTAAAAAAAATATGAACAATGTTCTAAGTTGATAGAATAAAACCCCAGAAATACAACTAAAACAAAGCTTGAATTCAGTTTAAATTAGTTTTTAATCAAGTAAAATTCCATACAATAGATGCTTTCACAACCTTTGACATAGCAATATTATTTAAAATTTGAATGCGCTTTTTCACGAATTTGCGTTTACGAATTGGTCGCATGCACAAATCTGCCATATTAAATCAAAATTTTCAACTACTTGCCTCCGAACATTTTCTCGATTCAGACTCTCCCAGAGACAAAATACCTTCTAGGTTATTTGATTTGTACATAAATTTATGACATACTCCTATAACTGAGAAATGACAAATAACAGTCAAAAAAACGAAAACAAGTCAAAGCTTATTTACGGTTATTATTCCTTTTCATTCGCAGCTCCTGTACAACGAAAAGAACCTGAGATAAAATTTAAACAATGGACAATTCAACGTAAATCTTATAAATGGCCACCAGAGGTACCAGAAAAATTCCAAGGAATGGTGAAGCACACGAGGTTTGGCCACACTCCATACGGAGAAGGACCAGCGGTAGGCATTGGTAAGACTAGATAATAAAAATGAAGATAATATTCACTTCATATACTGAGAATCCCCATAGTTTAAACAAACTAACAAATATGACACAAATAGCGATATTGGCAGAAATAGTTGAAGTGAACTTACATTTATAAATTTATCGAAAAATTTGGTATTCCAATTATTTTCCAATCAGAAATGCAAACATTTTTTAGTCCCGAACGTCATCTCCCGTATTCCAAGCACCGACACCAAGTGCTTACCCAGAAGGGGTGACAAAAGTGGAGTTCCGAGTGAAGCCCTCAAACCGACAGCAAGACCCCCATCCTCGAGACAAGCACAAACGAAATCAAACGCAATCAACAACAAGAATCTTCCACATCCGGCCCCACCCATATACGGAAGGAAAGAATCCACCAGCTACAGGTCCCGGATCTTTTCCTGTGAGCCTTCCGTTGCATAAAAAAGGACAGAGAAGGCCACCAAAAACGCACAGACAATGCTGTGAACGTCCTGTTGTGATAGTTTGAAGAATTACTATATTACATCTATTTCATATATTTTTGTATGCTTTAGTTTAATATATGAATGAATATTTAAGAAGTCAATCTTGATTACTTACTGTTTCATATAAGTTTCGCGTCCGAAATTTCGCGTTTGTGTGCCAAAACTTAGCTTGTCGCACAATCGGCGTTATATACATATCGTTAGTAAGAAGTAACCATTTGAAACCTAGCATCTCTGATCGTTCAGAAATGTCGTAGTAGACTAGTTAGAAAAAGCTTTGTAGAAACAAACTGTATGTGTGAAGTTCCTGCTTATGTAGCTTTCCATGAACGAACTTTTACAATATGAAGTGTAGCTGGAACTATTGCTTATGTAGTTCTCCGAGAAAAGACTTCCACAAAAAGAAGTGTCACGGGAACAGAGAAAATTGAAGTTAGAAAGTAGATCAATAAACTAGAGTGTCGTCTTTGACTACATTATGACTACGATGAGGACCTATCTCTAAAAGTGCCACGATTTCCATTGTGAAATTTCTTCTTCAAGATTTAAGCTTATACTACCCATTTATATGTTCTCGTCGCTTGGTACTTACATGCATTTCGTTCATCGCATTTGTGCCAACTACATTATTTGACTTTTATTTTACAATCTTTATCGTTCATATGGAAACATAGTCAAAAAATGAAAATCTGGGTTCCCCAGGCTATTTTCCTGTATTTAATTAAAGCTGCTACATCTATCTGTATATACCGAGTCCTCGCTAATTTTCTTGGCAACTTAAATTAATGAGGATAACAATAATTTTTCCAATGCCGGTACCATATCAAGATTTGTATAGTTTTTCTTGCCAAATGATAGAAGTACGGCAATTAGTTTTTCGTAATTCGGATTCAAAAAAGTTCACAAAGTCATGTCACAAGAATTCCAAGACGCGACACGATGTAATGGTATAATCGGAAATACCAAATTGAAGTCTTCAGGCTATAATACAACTTCAAATTAACACTAACATATGAGGTCGGTCGTAAAGAGGTACTGGGTGTACAATTAGTTTTTGTTTTTCAATTGCCAATTCACGACAAATTCAAAATAGATTGTACCTACAGGCGGAATGTTGGATGTTGTAGGTGGAATAAATATTACCGTATTTTACGTCGCAAAAGACTTAAATTGTCTAAAGCGCCATATATTTCCATACCACATCGTATTTTACGGACTATGGGGAGCACTTTAATTAAATCCCTTTTTCTAACAAATCGATTGTGCTCATTATAAGTATGGATCTAATATCTAATTTATTGATCAGGTAGAGCTTTATTGCCTACACTCCAGTATCAGTAGTCCAGTACCGGTTGCGTCTTATTGCGATTTACTAGAGTTATCAAGAGTGTTAACACATTTGTTCTTTCACATTTTGCTGAGTCCAAAACTTTTCGGTGGAACTTGTTATTTCTCGAGTATATAGCTTTAACACCATACAAACGTGGCGGTTTCCATTACAATAATTTATGAGATCATTATAAACAAAATCTTATACAGTACTGTTAGACATTTGGAAATTCAAAATTTTATTAAATTTGCTATAGTCATGTTAAAAAGACTCATTCTTTTTTGTTTTTTTGAGTACCAATATTCTCTTTTGGTTTCAAATTAGACTGTCATAAGCATCATGTCATGGCCATTTTTACTCAAACCAAAAATCCGAATTGAAGAATATTTAAAAAAGTCGTAGGCAATTTTTCCAATCCCAAATCTATATGTTTGTCAAACTGTAATCGGTTTTTGATTGGCAGGTAGACGATCGACTGAATCGGATGAAGCTTCTATTCTACCAAACAAATCTGATTGTCCATTATTTCATTTTCGAAAACAAGAATTTTCGAACTATTTTCAATATAAAATTCCGACAGCGGATTAACTATGAATTCTGATTCGAAGTAACTCGAAAGACACCAGATTTGTCTGTCAAATCTTATTTTAGACTCCGGTGCAATTAATTAATTATATTTTCCGTCAAAATCACGACACTACTAATTTCTACTAAAATATGTACTATCATTCTAAAATGTTCGAAAAACGGTGATATATTTGTAAAATGAAAAGCTGATAATTTAATTTTTCCAATATTTAAAACAACTGTTTATTATAACCTTTGATTGAATTGGAAATATTTACAAAAATTATACTATATATTAAAAATGCAGATAGAAAGCAGGTAAATATGAGATAATAAATTTAGACTTAGAAGAGTACATATTTGTAAAAAAAAATTATACTCAATATTTGAAAAATATTTGGCTTTCGAATAATTGATACTAAGCAAATGCTTTTTTTTACTTTTTTTTGATAAATATGTAGTCAATCACAAAGTACTGCTACTTATTCAAAAGCAGTCAATCATGGATTTTGATGAATCTACGTAAGAATGTGATATAGTCTGCGCCGTGTTTGACTCGGGACTGATATTTATCATCTTGGATAATAACCACGTGTGCAAAAAAAATGATAAATTTGCTAAATGTTTTTTGGAAAAAATAATGTCTTGGAATCTTGAAATAGCCCCCAAAAAATAGTTTACAGCATTGAAAATAATAAGTTTCATCGCAGTGACTTTTTCAATTTATAGCTGAAATTGGTTTTGACTGGTACTCTAGTTGCATACTGTAGTAAAGTCATCTATATTTCATAATAACAAACACGTCGTACTGTTCAATCAAATAGTGTTAGATTTCACTCGTATATGGTAAATGAAAAGTGATAGCACATAAATATTCCATTTTCAGGACATATGATATTCTCCTTCGCAGTTATGAAAGAACACAGACTTGCAAAAGAGTCTTGAATACGTGATCCATGTAAGCGCAATAAACCACAAATAATTTCATTTCTGCGAAATTAATTCCAAAAATTCCCAATACGCAAAAACATATAGAACGTTCCTGACCATGGCCTTTTGTTGTGCTTGCTGAGAATATGCAAATAAAATATCTCGAATACAAATCAATTCCGTCAGTCTTAAAAATTTCACTCGATTATGAGAATTTCAAAGTATAAAGTTTTGTGGAAAAATAAAACTAAATTCATTAATTTATCAAGTTTTCGGTACTTAGGCGTTTTATTATATATACGCCGAGTGCACAGATTTTCCAGACTTCTATAGCATGGCAAAAATGTCGGGTAGTCTCCCGACTTAATAGTAAATTAGTCGAGAAACTCAATAAATTTATATTTAGAAGTATTTATTTCTTCAAAATGGTTATGCTAATTGCAAATTTTTTGAATTTGTTATATATATGTAGAAAACTGTATAAAGTACAAAAAAAGTCAATTTTGTTTTGAAAAAAATTAGTTTCTGGAATAAAGGTCATACAACCAATTCTTCCACTATTTACCTAAAGGATTGTTTAGGTAAAAATGCGGTTATTTTTTTTTATTTGGATACGATAAACATACTAATATATCATAATCAACATTTAATCTATTTCTTTTTTTTCAGTGAAATATATTTGTATCACTAATTATATGCCAGCAATACACGTAGTGGACATTGATAGATATCTTATTTCCAGACAATTTATTTTTATCCAATTTACCGCCAGAAACTGCTAAGCTTGTAGATAGAAATATTTTGCCTGGGTTAATTTTGTCCTAATTTTGCATTTAATATAGATTTCATATCAAGATATGAGACCTATTATTCTTGTAATCTCTTCAATCACTTCGGCTTCATCAGGACTGTAATGACAGGCTAGCACTCGACTTTCCGTTTCTGGGATTTTAGTCAACATTTTCCATTTTTGAGATGACGCATCAAAAATTTCGATGGAGTCTGATTGATCACCGTCATTATTCACGTTCCTATTTCCACCGACTGCGTACAACTTATCAGTTATTGCAAATGCGCTAAAATGAGAACGCGGCAGTAACATATTCCGAATAACTTCCCAAGTATCGTTTATAGGAGAATAACATTCAGCGGAGTTTAAAATTTTACCAAAAACATTTCCTCCCATTACATAAATTCGCTCCTGTAGAGCTGCTGCAGAAGCGTCATATCGTTCAATATGTAAAGGAGCTATTGATTTCCATTTGTGTTCTTTTGATTCATATCTTTTAGCGCTTTTGCCACCAATAGCATAAATGTATCTTTGATTTGCAGAAACACAAAATCCCATAACAATTGAGCACCCAGGTAAATCTTCCACCCAGCAGTCCAAAACTGTGTCGTAGTAAGACATGCATTTTCCTTCGACAACATAAATAAAACTTCTGAAAGTAGTTATTTGCGCCCAGGGGCTCGGTCGTCTTCGTTTTAAACTAGTGCTCTGGATCCAATGATCTTTTTTATAACAAGAAAAATGTCCGTCATTCAAAATAAAAAGTTTCCTGTCTACGGAAATTATCCGTTTAAAATCCCCTTCTGGTAGTGAGTTCATTGTTTCCCAAGTTCTGCACGACAGTTCGAACGTTTTAATTTCGGTGGTGTCCTGTTGCAAGAGGGCGATACAGGACATGGGTTCTCCACTAATTGAACGCTCACATATTGCCCGTAAAATATGCTGCAGACAATCCCGAGATTGGCGTACAAAGTTATTAGCTAAAGCCGTCTGCTTCAGAAAACTGTATGTAAAATTAAGCAGCTTGACTGAACAAAATAAATCAGAGAAATATGAATTTCTTTCGTCAGTGAATTTGACCCACTTTGTCAATGCGTCCCAAATTACCTCTTGGGGAGCATTTTTACTGTGTAAATTGTTAAACATATTTTGAACGGTCCTTTTGGGCATTAAAAGGAAGTCGTGCTTTTTGGATATTTCATGAATATTCGTAGCCATGAAATCAGTTATAACTTCATCTGCTAAAAGGGATGTCAAAGAATTTAGTCGTGGTGATGAATTCAGACTTTGAAGTAAAAAACAATTGCTAATGCTAATATTTTCTTCCAAAGCTTGTGTGTTAAAAAATAAGTTGTGAAGTAACAGCTCCACACCATGTTCACAATTTTGCACAAATAAATCATTCAATACCGTACTGAGCAGAAATTCAAACGGAAAAACATCTGGATTCATAAACTTCATAACATTCTCCATGTCCGCTCTTTCTTTGACTTTATTTCCGTTGTGATGCAACCAAGTAGAGATAGCGTTCCACGAAACCCAGTAGCCACTCGTAGTTGTCTCAGCGTAACGCATCAGACTAGTCGTATTTATGTATGGGAAGAGTTCGGTTGTAATAACGAATTCTAAATTTTGTCGAATATATTCTTCTATGACAATTGAAACGTCTTCCCTACCGTACATTTGAGATAAACTCATTGACGACAAACAGTTATCGGCGGAAAGGTGTTCTTGTAAATATTTGAAACATTCCTCGGATAATCCGTCTAACTGAATCAATTTTGAAACATGCAAAACATCTTCCACCTCTTCCATCGAAATATCTACTTCACCGACATACATGTACTCAATACATTTCCTCATTGCATCCGATTCAATGTCCATCATAGTGACGGATCCCTCTCGAACTTCTTTCATATTACTTGAAAACATGGCATTGAAATAACTTGAGCAAGCAGCCAGTACAACGCGGTGAGTTTTAAACGAATATTTATCGACGTTTATTATGAAATCACATAGAAATTCTCGATTTTTCATCTGTTCCATTGATAGCATGACATTCACAGCATGGTCAGCTTTCCTTTTAGCATCAGTGGACGTCATCGAATTTTTTATTGTCTTACTGATTGATATAAAAATAAAATTCCCCAAAACGTGAAGTCTAGAAAAATATGGAATTAAATCAAACTATTAGGTCAATATTATTTGGGGAAGTAGCTAGAATATATGGAATGACAATTTTTGTCCCGAATAAACCGAAAATTGCATGTATACAGCTGCTAATTTTATATTATATATTTTTTCCAAACTGAGATATTTAAATAAAGCAAAACAATATATGTTATCCTTATTTCCTAAACACTTCACAGAGCTCTCTGAGTGGCTCGGATTGCTTTAACCCGAAATCGGCCAAAATTCGACACCGTATAAGACAAACACGTCTCGTCTGAACGTTACTTCGCTTAGGTTTAATACGTTTTAGAGTGTACTGTTGACTCACAACTTACCATTTAACTTAAAAGCATGTTAGTTTGCTTAATTCAAATTGAAGCTATATCCTGATTAGGTTCAAAATCTGACAGTTTTGACTCAGAATAACTTACACAACGTTTCTCATATCTGCCCAATGTCGATCAAACAACTTCCTGGTATTTGGCTATGATATTTTGCTAAGTGTTTTTGAAATTACTCATTATTATTACTTACAAATTTACAACAATCTTTCAATAACATTAATTTAAATTTAACTAATTGTTTAAATACCGTCGTAATTTCAAATTTTAAACTTTCAAAACTACAGTTTTTTCTTGAACATCGCGATATTTCACTCAGCATGTAATAATTTTATTTCTAATCATATACTTCGTTACCGTTAAGCCTGATTGTAAAACTTTCTAGTTTTTGCATTATAGCACTTTTTAGGGACATCTTCGCGACCAATATGTACTTACTCATTGACAACAAATCGACTACACTCCAGTAGAATATGCTTCGCATATGAATTAGTTATGACTGTTTCAAGAACTAAACTTCAACCGTCATCATCGAGATGCGTGACAATTAACTTTCAGCCGACTATATCATGAAAGCAGTCTCTATAATAACCGAAATTCTGACATTATTGATCACCACCATGCACAGTAAGCAAGGGAATGTGAGCCGCATTAGAACAGCATAGTGGAAAACGGTAGATGCTATGACGCACTCACGTTGCGCCTATTTTTGTACATACATTTGCCCAGCGTCATGAGTCAGGAAAAGCAGTGAGAAACATTGATGGCATAGTTAGATATGTTTTATATAAATTAACCTTTCAGAGACGTCATTCTTCAGCAATGCCTTTCAGTTGATATTATAAATGGCCAGCATTATCGTGAGATATAATATAACTCATATACATATTTCTGACCCGACGAAAGAGGATAACCTGTCTGCCGGTTTTTATGTCAAATCAACGAACTGTAGACAGTACGTAAGCGTTATTTAAAATTTGAGTAAACGTTTATTATTCTGTATTGATAAATAATAAAGCACCTCTTAAAATCAAGGATGCTATTATATCATCAAATTCTCGTTATATACTTAGCCTTTTCTTTTATACCGATCAACATTCGCTCTATATATTTCGAAGTAGAAAATTTCGACAACAGCTCATTTTAGTAGAGCCGGCATTGGAAGATTTCAAACCAATTCAATTTATATAATACGCATTCTCAGCTTGCTTTTTTGTCATATATAACTGGCTGCAATCTTTCATTCACTTAGTGTCTATGTACATTCACGTTACTACATTTTCCTAAATTTAATGTTACTATTTTAAAAAGATAAATAGCAATAAATAGATATAACTGACGCAGAGCTGTTTTTACGATCGCTGTGAGATAACTTTTCTTTAGTTAACGCAACCTATATATAATGGCGATCTGATGAATATTCAATAAGTGTGTTACAGCTTTCTGCAAGTCAACGCAGTCGTCTCCCCTCGACTTATAAAAAAGTTTATCAATACACAGAATAACAATAAATGTAACTAAATTACGTGATCTTCATTCTTGAAAACATGGATAAAGAATATTGAACTTTTAGGAATGCAAAATTTTTATTTGGAATGTGCATGCGTATAAATTTAAAAAGAAGGAGTTTTTATAAGTTTGCTCAAAGCAATGTCTCCTATTGCAAGCAAGCACTGAGGCGCAATAAAATCTTTTTGGTGTGACGGAATTGAGAATTGCTATTTATCATTTGTATCGCAGGGTCATGACGTAGGCGTATTGGGAGTTAGAAACACTAGACTAGAGTATTCATGGCCGACTCCGAGCACCTCCACCTGGTTGACCACCGATTCAACTTGCGTCACAAACTACCTTATTTATTGTCTGGCTTCGAAGAACGCAGAATCTTCTGAGGTTTTGCTACAAAATGGACAAGCATACTTATATGCATTCGAGAAACTGAACCTGCGATGCATAGCTTAGCATATCTTCATACCACACATTCTAGATTTCGACTTCATCAGCTAACTTAACACACGCACAAAGCAAAGTGCGAAAAAAATAGCAACTGCAGCAAAAAAAATATGTAAGAATCATTCTCATTAAAAAAAATGCGTGCCTTCAAAAATTCAATTGAAGTTCAATTTGATTTTTGTTTCGGGAGATTTTGCACTACACCAAGTTAGCATATGAGTTATATATATTAGCAATCAGACATTTGTGAAGATTCGATCAACACTGATTGTACAGTCAGTTTTGTAGTTTCCACATCAATTAATTGACTTCAAAATACTCAAACATTCGTGTGGGGTAATAATTTATTAGTTCACAAGCATAAAAAATTGAGTAAATACAGCTTGCAAATGTTTATAACATATCAATACAGCATAACACTATTGTAACTATTCGGGTTTAGAAGTAAACATTGAAAATTCTGTACACTCAATTTATATTAATGAGGTGCAAGCAAATTCAAGCATTGAATTTTGGGTATTTTTCCATTTATTGGTCGATAATTGTTCATTCCGTTTAACATAGAAAAAGAAATAAAGCATTTTGAATATTGTTACATTATGTTCAAATAGAATATACCATTGTTGCTTGCGATCCTTTTAATATGCCTCCTCGACTTGATCGCACTCTGATAGCTTTACGTCTTCCACTAAATTGGAACTATTTCTACGCAGTCTGGGATAGGTAAACTTTCTGTGTCTTTTTGGATTCCTGAACAAAACGAGGTATGGGGAGTCAGTACCAGTACTACTACCAGGCAGCGCAATGTTATGGCATCGGTCAGCTGAATAAGTAGTGACGGAGAGATAATTTATTATCACATTTTTCGTGTTCGCAATTCCCATTTCTACTTTGGAATATTCAAAAGTTATTCCGGATTTTTAAAACGGAGGGGGAGGAAGGAGGGTTCAAGAATCGGAATAATAAATTTCTGTGCAAGGGCTTCTAAAACAGGCGCCGCGATTACGCCACTCGTTAAAATAACCGACTTCTTTATCAGATAACGATCTTCCTGTTCCGTAATATATTCAAACCCGATGCGAGCATTTAAAATGTCTTGCTATATTAATTTAATTTTGTTAATCGTAACTCGCCTTTGAGTCGACTTGCGTTGAAATGAAAGCAGCACTGCTCCAAAATACTATGATAATCTGCGGACATAAAATACGCGATAAACTGCCTGATTATAAATAAATTAGATTCGGATTTTGCAACTTGTGATTTGTCAACTTTGAGCTATTCTCTTAGCTTATTTTCAAGATATCGGTGTAAGGAAAATCCCAAGGTCTGCTTGCTTTAAAATCCCGAAAATTACATACCGCATTGCGCAAAGTATTCAATCCATGACCGACATACGCATATTTTAAATGTCTTGCTTTATTAATTTAATTGTGTTCAATGTGACCTGCTGTTGCGTCGACTAAAAATATAAAATCATTTCTACTTCAAATGCCGCTGTCATTAAAATCTGTGGTAATGTGTACGATTATACCTTGTTTCAATTCGTATTTCCCGATAAGCGATAAAACTTTCAAAGGAAGCTCAACATAATGTGTACCGTTTATGCACACCAAATTTTGCGATATACAAAGTCTAAAAAAGCATTTTTAATCTGTCGCGAGCCTCCAAAAACAAAACTTGTGGTGTTTTCCTTCGTTTTATTTTTAGTATTTTATAATGCCGCTTTTCAATAAGAAAATTTGGCTTGTGGATTCACTCCTTTATTATCTTTAGTATCTAGTCGCCGATGATTATAACATAATAACTGATTTTTCACAACAAACTCACAATTCCGTCCAAGAATTAAAAAGTAATTAACTTCGACCTCGTGGAACAAGACATGCATAAGTTGGTGGAAATAGGTGTAATTTAGGGAGAATAAATACCGACGAAAAAGTGTTTGCGGTCTAAATAGCACGTCGCGCTAACAAAAACAATCGGCGATTTTAACAAAATGCACGCGTTTTTATCGACTTTTTTAATCGCTTCTAAAAATTTCGAAGGGGGGTCCGACCCTCAACCTCTGGCAACGCTCTTGGGACTCACCTGCGGCGATAAATCAGAGCCATATTGTCTTTAAAAAAGTCTTCAGCGTCTTCAGGGGTTGCTACTAGAGCAACATTCTTGGTATCTGGGAAGATCAAGCCCAGAAATCCTGCCACGATGCTGAGTACGCCAAAAATGGACTAAAATATAGATTGTTTTATTGTTAAGTGAATGTATCAAAATAACAATGATGAGCACATAAATCATATTCCAAAAATAACCAACAAAAATGTATCTAAACGTGGATTCATCGTCCTGGAATGCATTTTAGTAATCCATATCATGGTATTGTAATGCCATTGGCAGTTCGCTTACACTCAGCTTTAGTTGATTCAGTCTATATTGTTGGCCGCTCTTGGTTGATTGCTTCATCCAATTTAGGAATTTACGCCAAACTTTTGTATAAATCTATATCAAAACCACTACTACCACTACCATGCTTCAACTTATATAAGTTAATGCAAGAAAAAAAGTTGAAAATTTCCAAATTCAATAAAATAAAAATTAGAAAACTACCTGCATTAGCCATGGTATCACTTCCTGGGATTGTACGATGAAAGGTGAAAGCATACCTCCAATTCTTGAAGTTCCCGTGCAAATACTCATTCCAGTCCCGCTGGCAATTGCAAAAATAAAAAATAAAACTAGTTAACTTGTTTGCTTGCCCGTTAAATACTGCAATTATGAGCTATCAAAAGTATATAGTATGATCAATTTTTAACGATAGTTTTCATGCAGATGCAAATTTTTAGTATCGAGTTAGATGTAAATAAATGGAGAATTAAAATTCACTAGTTGAATGTGAAAATAAGACAGAATTGTCTTGCATAATTGTGTAGTATGTGAACAAAAAATTCAAATATGAAGATTTGCAGTACCCCTATCAAGGAAAGACTGCAACAAATGAAGTTTCGAGAGATTAATTTATGAAAACTTCAATTTTAATACTGAGACGTCCTTCAAATATTCTCTTCTGAGAGCTGTGAGCGCTAGTTCAAATTATTTGAGTACGTTGGGTCATGATAACTCAAATAGTAACATAATAAATAATATTTCTACAAACTGTATTCCGATTCAGACAGAAACAACTGGTCAGTAACGTAACTTCAAAACAATGTTTACCGCAGCAATGTAGGGAATAATTCTGGTGTCACAACATAAATGATTTTGTAAACACTAGCTGCTCCAAGCCTGCCAACGCACGCGAACACAACGCTTGCAGTGGCGTATCCTAAATTGGAATAAAATTTGGCCGATACGATACCAGATGGTTATTTTAAACAAACGAAGCAGGCATGCAATGTTAGCACAACCATTTCCTCCAATACTTTAACAATTGAAAACTCGCATCAACTTTTGTCAAAGATAAATTAACAATAAAACTTTTATGTGCACTCATTCATCAACAAACGGATAATATGGCGTTGTTTTTTCATACAACAAACAAGTATGATACATGTATGACACTTACCGAAATCTAAAACTAACATGCTCAATATGCAACTTATACCAGCGATCGCGTACGATCCACTTAGTAAATAAACTTTCGAACAATATCTTTCTCCAATCAGTGCAGCAATTGTTGCAATAAAATCAAGTGTTGAATTTACAAGTCCATTCACGTAAGGATTACCTGTCAAAAGTAAAACGCACTTTTGGAGAGCAATTCTCAGTTTGTATGGTGAACATGTAATACAGTGATATGTAACGCCATATAACGTTTTTCCCTTTCTGTGGTTTTTAATGGCGGGTAACAAGAGACGCGTGTAGCATGGGGCAATGTGGCGAAAACGTGGTGGCTGAAGAAATCTATGTTATTGAATTTCGGTGCCTGAATAAAATGACACAAATGAAACAATTCTGAAGTCTAATATTGAAATACAAGTAGGAAATAAAAAAAAGAAAGTAGGAAGTTAACATTTGAATGGCGCGGGAACAAAGTAGGGTTTAAGAAAAGACTACACCGTTGAATCGAAATCTAAATTTTGTAAATTAGGAGTACAGAACATTTGTGGTTATGTGACCGGTTCCTTGCCGACACATAGCCTTGTCAGATTAGTTGCTAATGTTGACTTGAAAACCACCACCATTTAGCAATATAAGATAAAATTTGATAGAAAATGATGTTGATATTATAATGTTCGCGGTAATTTTTGAATTTTGCCAATCACATGCACTACGTATTGAATGTCTAATTGAACTTTTGTTTACAGTTTTTAACATATACATGCGTCAAATACTGCTGTATCATGAGCAACTTGGTCATGCAATTATATCGCGTATCATGGAACGTTGGAAGTACGCTTCCGGCATATATTCGCACTCAATGTTCAGCTGTATCCTAACAATAGTGCCTCTTTCGGCATGTATTGAAATCCATGAAACTCGAACAAAATTTGATTCAATTTTTGATGCTATCTATTTAAATATACATGTTAATATGTCATTCTTCTTTATGCGTTATGATAATTTCACTTTAAAAATAACCTGCAAGGTATCCAGTATTAAGTATGAGTCCATAATAAACAAGCGAAATAACCATCCACGAAAACATAACATTCATCGATATTATTCGAACATGAGGAAATCTGTACAAATCAATAAACGAGTACGTTTTGCTTTGTACTTCATCTTCTGACCTTTGCGACTGAAAAACATTAAAAACCGTAGGTGAATAGGATCCCAAAATTAGGTATGAGAAAAAACACGGCAAGTATCAAAATACATTTGACATTTGGTAGGAAGATAGTAAAAATAAAACATATATATTATTCTGATAACAGTACATGACTATTTTCTAACCAGCAGTCAAAATGACATGTAATTTACGAACGATTAATTTCTACCTCAAAAGATTTCAGCACAGATTGCCATTTTTCTTCATTGAAGTTTTTCCCACTAGATTTAAAATACTTCATCACAACTTTTCGTGCTTTCTCTGTTCTGCCAATCGATAACAGCCACCTTTGAAGAAACTTTTGCTTATACGTTTAACTATAGTGGTACACTTCATCACTTCTATTACATTGACTCATATACCATTATTGAGACATAATGTGAAAATTGGTTCAAGGAGAAACGACTTTCAAAGTGTGTTTTACAGCAAGAGTATATATAGGAAGGCAGATTCATCAACAATTTGAAACAATAATAATAAGGTACCTTGGTGATTCAGAAATGAAAAAATGCACTGGTAAATAAAGCAAGTTTATCACGCCACTATATATTGCAATATATCTCCAATTTCGATAAATAACAGCTACGAGTGAAATCAGAATGTCTCCAATTATTGCCAGTAATGAAACGGTGAAAATTAATTTTCCTCTTCCTTTTTTACATGAAATTTCACTCACTGAAAATAAACAAAAAATAATAATCGAATGAATTGTATTTTGTGCATTTCAAAATAAAGATGAAAATAGACAAACAAGCAGAGGGTTCTGAAGCTGTCGTGTAACACCAAGGTATATATATATAATCATTGAATCTTTAAGGATGATTTAAGATAGATGTAAGAAATAATAACATATTTATAATAAAAAAATATTAAGTCATTTTTTACATGTTACCAATAACACGATGATTATGTTTGAACACTTTGCTGGCTATGGAGAATTTAATGCGATTTTGAAGACGCATTATAAAATCATATTATTGAGTGGAAAATTTTTTCTTCAAGTCACTAGAATTATGTATGATGGTATGCATGAATATACATAAATATTTTGTTTGGTGGTGAATCTAAATGTGTGCACAAAGGTTCCCCGAGACATAAATAGAAATCAAATTTCAGTAAGTTGCTAATGTTCCTGAAACTAGCGTATTAAAAAATCTTTGGTATATAAATATATATTTTTACCATAGGTCGGATTTATTGAAAAAATTCAGATTTTTAAAAATGGTATAAAAAGGAACTCGTCATAAACTTTTATAACACTTTTTGGTAAGCGTTACAATCAAAATAAAATTTTGGTAACATGGTCAATAAAAATTGAACTAATCAGTTCCAACCAAGAAAAATCTACTCACTATAAGTGAAGGTAACAATATATTGTCCAGAGATTCCAATTGAAAAGAGAATGAAGAACACAATGTAAACATGATAACTTTGACTGAATGCAAACGCGAACCCCGAAGAAGATGATAAAATACATATAAGTAGCATTGTCATTTTGCGTCCGATGCTGTGAAGAAATTTGGAATCATCTTGAAATTGGTAAAATATAAGTAAATTCTTATAATAATCTTTACAGCGTCACTAAGGTGCTATGTTCACGAATACCATACTTTGTAAACTTAGATAATAAAACCTTGAAATTGTTTTCTAAACAACGTATATAAATAGCTTCCGCATGTGGGATATGCCTGTGAAATGTGAAATTTTCGTGTGTTTGATTGACCGTTAAAAGAGAGATTCGCAATTGATATTCATAATAAACTTTCTGTTTCAGTCTGAAATTTAATGATCATCGAATTTCATATATGGCTTATGTTCATTCTCGAATATGCCTACCTTTAAAGAGTTAGAAACGCAAAAATAAAGAGTTACACCGACAACACTTAATAAATAGCCAAGGGCGTTCATAATATTCTATGCACTTCAAAACACTTTGTAGGTACATGAAATAATGCAGCATCAAAAGCAGATGAAATTAGTTATTCATACGAAATCATAGAGTCTGAAACATCACGTCATTTTCTTGACCTGAACAACGACTGTATTACAGTACAATTAGTTGAACTTGTGATGTTATTATCATCTGCATTCGAATGCAATATTTAGGTAAATAATTGTTGAGGTTAAATCGAAATCATGATTTCGGGGATTAGCGTACGTACGCACGTATATACAGTGCAATCAAGAACTAAGGACAAATTCTGTCATGAAAACCTGTTCATACCGATCAGTAACAATGCCCGAAATGATTGCTCCAATGAGGAATCCGAAAAACATTGAAGAATTTGCTATAGTCTTCATTACAGCTCTGTTGCATACCAGGTCCCACTGAATATATAAAAAATATTGAAAATGAAACATATTTCTAAATTGTCAAATGTCAATGCTATTGCTACATAAGATAGTTTCTATAATGGGTTAAAAATACCAAGTTCAGCATGTTGTATAAAACGACCCAAATACCTCATTTTATGAGCAGCTTTCTATGGGCCAACGTTAAAGCGTGACACGATTTTAAAATTTTTTTTTTTCATATTAAGACTAAAATGCAAAACAAATTTCGATTTGATTATTCCTCCGCGAGTATCCTGATATGTGAAGCCCAATTCATCTCTCGTAAAACTGTATTTAAACGTGTACCTTCTGGATTCAAATTAGATTCGTCGTTAGTCTTCTTACTTGAGTTGTGAGTTACTTTAATACACTCGTATGTTGGATAAGCAGTTTTCGGTCGTGCATTTAGGCCTATTTCATACCCGTTTGTAAGCGTTTCTAAACAATAGCACAAATACCAGGCTTGTCCATGGGACATATTTTTCTGTCCCATTCCCATTCAATCCCATTGCAAATATGCCTGTCCCATCCCAGCCCAAGGGATTCCCATCGGAATAAAATTCAATAAAAATTGTTAAATTTAAGTTTAGCGTCTACTAAATAAGACTACATGTACGAAGAGGCATGCAAAAATACAAAATTTACGGACTTTGTTAACTTTATATTTATAACTATTATATGTGTCCATCAGCCCCTTCACGTAGTATATTGTTAATGCTGAATATGTTTTGCTCTTTATAACTACGTTGTTCTCCTTATTTTTACCAAATTAAATATTGAAATTCTACTTTATGTCTGATAAGATATAAAAAATTTCTATAGGATTGATCCAGTGTATTTCGTTACAGAACACAGTGCTGATTTAGTTTTTGACTGATTATAGCTTTCCTACGCACAGTGACAAGCAAGATTATTTTTCATTTGATCCAAATTGTAATAAGGTTGATCAAACTGAATCGAAGGATTATGATGAAGCATTTTTCATGAAATGAAAGTGGTTTCAAAGTGCCATTAAAAGATCATTTTTAAATGTGACCTCAGCACCTGGCAACATTTGGCTATAGAAATAAAGCGGTAGCTTTTGGACGCTCACTTCAATGAATGGTTTTCAATTAAATGCTGTTCAAAGTGTGCGCATGATTAAGAAGATTTTGTGAGCAAGCAGCACAACTCATGTTTACAAAAGACATTCAAAACACAATTTACCTCAGTTGTGATACTGGACTTGTATACGTCGCCATCGTAGACGTATTTATCACATTTCACCAGCGGTGCATCCGTTTGATTTTTCAAACACGAAGTATTCCAATTCCCATTACATAAGGAATAGTTGTAAAGCCGTTCATGACATGAGTTGTAATTCTGTAACAATTGCATGTAGAATGAGGTTACCGATGAAGTTATAGGGTAATAAAGTCTAATCTACATTTAATATAGTAGGCAGTAAGTACCAAATATCATCGTGTCAACTGATACGAAATGAATTCATATAGTCGAACGTACTCTGCTGTGGACAATATCAGTTATATTCATAAGAAAACTGATGGCAATGTTTCTATTATAAAATGCGTCAAATTGTCATTCACACACAGAATAAAACTTTTTCAGGTGAAATATTTTCTTTTTGTATGATTGTATGGTGATTTACAATTATAAAGTTCCGATGATAATGCGCCTGACTTCACTTGAGAATGTTTCTAAGGTGATCGGGTGCTAGAACAACACACAATGGAACTTATAGGTACGCCCAAAGGGGCACAATACACCAAATAAAAACTACCAGAGTGTGAAATGTCGTTTCGCTCACGCATTCGTGTATTGTGAGTGCAATCTATCTACCTTTGGCGCAACCTTGGTATGATTAACTATTTGTCCGATTATCCCTGCAACATCACAATAAACATATAGCTAGTAATTTGAAAGAATCAAAACACCATGGCGTGTAGCACTGAATGTCTTCGCGCATTTCTAAGACATATCAGGTGCTCAAGTTCAACCTTGGCCCGAACATCTATTGGCGTTCTATCAATGCCTAGAAATGTGTTATTGATTAAGTGAGATATCGTTCTACCGGACATGGCCATAGACATTAAAGTAGATAGATACTAGATACGCATCACACAGTTTGTTTGGGGAAACGCGCGTTGTTGGTATGACGCGTTCATGAAATACTGTAGAATAAACTTAGTTTCTACGTTACGTCAATGTTTATATTTCCGACAATATGCTGCAAGTGAATCAAAACTTTTATATCACGGGGAAAAATGATATTGCTGTACAACTATTAATATATATATATTACACAATAACTGATATGTGATCCATGTATTAAGTTTATATGTAAAATACTGATTTTTTTATTTGATAATCGATTGGAGACATCTTTATTTGCTGTTAGATGACACCCCAAATCGTTATATAACTTTATGTTATACAGAAGATGCCAATCCAGTTATACTTCAACATACTTCATTGGTTTTGCCTTTTACGCCCATGCCAGTTTGGAATGGATTGTCCCTACTTTTATATATGCATTCTGGAAAGAACGCTTTTCAAAATTCTAGTTGTTTATTTCATTAACTTTGAACGTGAAATGTCACGTCAGGTTCCTTTTATAACGTTCGTTCTTGACAGGTGCATAGTGACTATGTTCTGATTAAACGGATAATCGGATGTATCTGCACACTAGCGACCATATTATACAACTTCCGCAGCAATTAGAACTGATGTCTGCATATGATAATATCATCTATACTGACTGTTTACTCACTTGGCTGGAAGTTGAAGGCCGGATAGATCGTAGAAACTCGTCAGATACATTATTTTGACCGATGAAGTCCTCATCAAACGGCGATGCACACCTTCGAAGATTAAAATAATTACCGGTATAGAAAATCCTTCACATACACAACATGCTCATTAGACTCTAATTAGAGTACCAATCGTTAGAACTAATATTTTTCCAAGCTAGAGTAAAACGCATGCTACATCTGAGGCAATTGATATTGCAAAATGAAGTATACCTAAATTTTGGCGTTGCGCTTAGGTAAAATGGAAGAGTGGTTGTTGAAAATGCACAAAATACTTGCACGGTGGTCGCAAATACAGACAATAACTGATAACGGCTCATTCCTCCTAATTCATCGAGCAAAAAATCATCAAATTCGATGCCATCTTTGTCTTTTTTGCTTATGTTGAGTTTGACTGAGATTATTTCTTCCTCTGCGTGCATGTTTATTTCAATTTTAATCAATAACAGAGTGACTAGAGATAAATTATCAGAATAAATAGACTTTGACTTGTATAACTAGTTCGCACATCACATTGCAAGCAAAATTCTGAGTCAAGTCAATCGCTTTTACATCTCTCAGCACAACATCTGACGAGAGATCAAAATACATTCCAAGCTAGTCGACTAACGGTTATATCTTTAGCCTAATGTTGTATTGGTATATTTCCTCACTGTTTGTTGATCTGATCTGCACTTCAAAGCGGATTTGCTTATGCTTGAATCTAGGAATATTGCGCGTAAACAATTGACATTGGTATATTATTGCCCACAGTCGAGACTTTTCACCACAGAGAAGTATTGGTACTAAATTAGGTCAGACCGATATTTTTTCAAGTTACAATTTCGGATCTAACCTATACCATTGATATATATGCCTTGCGCCTATGAATTCCACCGTCTGAAGCTACACACCAGACAAATGCCGAAATAGTGTGCGAGTTGCATCACAGAGCGTGATAAGATTTTCCGAATGTTTTTCAGCCTATTTTTTACCTTCATCGCGGCGGGACTGCCAGACTCTTTAATTAACTGCGCGGGCTCAAAATAAAATTGCATTCCATGGAGTGATTTTGTTGCTCACTTCCGAAGGATCAGGTAGCCGGGATTGAGTTTTAAGTTAATTGTCCTTTCGGGTATTATAGACTTACATCCAGGGTGGTCCAAGGTAGTCGACATATCGGGTCACAATATTAATTTTGTATCGTTCGCGGGTCACATTAATGCCAAGAATAGCAGAACAGCACAATATAAAACGAAAAATTTATGTCGAGCGTTGATTTGACAGACATCAAAAGTCTTTTATTACAATTTCAGTCTCTTTATACCAGAAAAATGATTTAGTAAATGTACTTCGATGTACCCGAATATCGATAACATTCTCAAAGCAAAGTCCCCTAACTAACCCTAAGAAATTTTGATGTGTGCGCACTTTTTTGGAAATGAATAATATTTATGCAAAAACCAATGAAGAAATTTTGGCGTTCTAACCGGGTAAAAGTGGGCCAACAACAAACTTTCTCAACCTGCCAACCGAGCACATTGTTACACTACATCGAAATAAGTCTGTGCGCAGTAAATCTATGCGTGTGCGCAGCCTCTGAGAGCTGTGTGCGCGCGCGCACGCGCACACCTTAGAGGGAACACTGTTCATGATTATATTCTTTTGCCGCCGATGCGACTTGTAAACATACAAAGCATTAAGGCTTACTCTTTCCGCAAGCACGTACTCTTCCGGTTCGAGTTAAAAAAAAAACTTTAAATTGATCAGCTTTCTTTCCAAACTCATTTTATAAAGTGACTTAGAAATCACTGCAGATTGATCGTTTAATTACATTTCGGCAAATGAGGGTAATATCGTTATACCATTCTTTCGTATTTACTAATTTTGTATTCATGCATGCATGTATTCATTTTTGGGTTACTGTTTAAGCAGGTTAAAAGAGAACAATGCGACAGGGAGTATAGTACTAGACCCAATTTAATTGTCTATGAAGTCTATTGATATATTGCTAGCGGATATTCCCGAAGGAGAGGATCGAATCAATAGTGATTTAAGGCCGTCGAAATTGAACAAAAAGTGATTTGAGCTGGTTAAGGTCTTTCAGGCACACTATTCAACCACCCTATCAACATCATTATTGTCTACTGCCTGTCCCAGGGCAATAACAATGACGTTAGGAATGTTACAATACGTCAGAAAATTTTTATGGTTATTTTTATGACGCAACAATGTCAGGGAATATTTGTGCAATGATTGTTTCATTGCTATTATCAATAACGTTCACTAAAAGTCGGGTAGCATATTTAACCTGTAAAAATAGAACCTAAAAACGGTTACGTTAATACGTTGGCATTTAATTTCGGTCAATATATCACCTACGGTGATAGCTGCTCTGTTCCCACCTAATAACTGACTAAGGATCTTACCGAGGTATTGTTTAGAGTTAAATATTAGTTGTTGGAACGCTTTCAATTTGGCATGCCAAATAATTAATATCTGTCAATTCGTTAATTACCCCGGAAACCCTATCAGTGCTTTTTTGAATAAAACCAACTAGAGGAGAAGATTCTGAAAAATTCTTTTAACAGTATAATCGTAATTAAAGGCAAGATATTTAAGATTAAAACGGGATAAACCATTAAGTACAATGCAATGTTGCGTTTCGAGAATTAAAACAATTTTGTACAACAAAAGAGCAATGCTCAAATATATGGACACGCAGACAATTCCCCAAAAATCATATGCGGTGAATTACCAGTACCTGTATAAACAAAGCACCACATCACAGCAATTAAACAGACAAAAACTAGAGATGTACCGATGTATCGGTATCGGCAATATCGGCTATTTTTTCGGTATCGGTCATGTATCGGTATCGGTTAAATCAATACCGATATATTTGCCTTTTTGATATGATCTAGAATGTTTTAAAAGATAACTTAACATCTAACTTTTAAATTTTATTTTTTGCCCGGAGAGATCGTGAACTATGAGCCATGCATGTCTTCACCCCCGCGAGTGGTAACGGGAATGGGATTCACCTGTTTTTAAATATTTACTAGCGGAACTAGCTCATTTAATTCGGCTATTTTCGCTGCCAAATTTGTATATTGACATTTTGATACATATTACATATTGAATATGAAGAAATATATCAACACGGCACAGAAAAGAGAGCAACTAGGCGCCCAGTTTTAAATCATACCGTGGAGTCGGAGTCCTTTTTCACAGCACATGCACTTTTTGGCACGGTTATTGATTTTGACTGTTTATCGTCAAGAGCGAGTGTCAATTAGTTCATCGACATCGTTAAGCTAAATTCCGACGCAATTATCTCTGTACACAGGTAATAAATACTGTGATTATAATAATTTTAATTTTGTTTAAATACACAATTTCTTTATAGATTTATTGATGTATGATATCGACGCTGATTGATATCCTTTCATTTTGGATGTAATTTATTGCAGCGACGATCACGATTAAACACAAAATAAATATTTTTGCATATATTCGATATTCTTTTAAACACGAAAAACGATATTCCAAGGTCGCGATATTAATATTAAATTGGAATTGGACATCCCGGAATATGAGTTTTCTAACTGGACACCGAGATTACTAGCATCAGCATACAATGCATCCGAATCAATTAATGCATCTGGATACCAAACATCAATTTCATATGTTATATATCTCTTTTTCAATCTGAAATAATGTGTACTATGAATAACGCTCAAAGACCATTGTTTTAGTTTTAACCCGTCTGCCCTACACAGCACACTTAATTACGGTAATAATTACATAGTATCGGTATCGGAATATCGGCCTTTTTGCAATAACGGTGTATCGGGGTTTTCAGTTGGTATCGGTATCGGCGACAAAGGTGGTATCGGTACATCTCTAACAAAAACATGGTGGTCGCAAATTGGTTGACGAAGATATTATCGACGTATTGGAAATGCGCACCTTCCCTATTCCCCCTCCTTTGAATGTAAAAACGCGAAAACTTCAAAGATGGTTAAAAAAACACAACTCTACCCACCTGCCAAGTTTCATCCTTTTATCTCCTATATTTGTATAGATATTCAAGCTTTTGACAGCTACGAGTTAGTTCAGTGTCACCGCGCTGTGTTACGGTACCAGAACCTCTCTATCTTTGAAAAAATTGGGCTTCTAATTGCATTTCTGACCGTCATATATTTTAAGAACAAAATTCGTCAAATAATAAACAAAGCACCCCATCACAGCAATCAAACAGACAAAAACACGGTGGTCGCAAATTGGTTGACAAAGATATTATCGACGTATTGGAAATGCGCATCCCCCTATCCCCCCCTACCTGTAAAGCCAGACGCCTCATCCTTGCAAAACCAACTTATTCGTTTTATCACGGTATTAGAACAGCAGATACCACAGTCTACAAATATATTCACACCAAGCGAAGCATTTCGACCACAGTCTACAAATATATTCACACCAAGCGAAGCAGTACAGTCCCGGAAATATATTCACATCAAGCGAAGCAGTGAAGTACGGTTTACCGTACCTCTAGACCACAGTCTACAAATATATTCACACCAAGCGAAGTAGTACAGTACGGTCTACCGTACCTTTAGCTAGCATCACCGCCATTCACCGGTAACCTCGAAAAACTTGCGATTTTTGAGTAACGACTTTCAGAATCGTCACGCCGTCACGCCAACGTTCGATTGCACGTGATCAAAAAGAGGAGTGCCTGCACATGCGTCCTCAGAACGTTCAGTGACGTCATACCAAACAAAAACAAATCTCACAGAGCTAACAGAAATGTTTGAAATAAATAAAAGTAATAGCCTTCTGGAGAAAAATTTCATCTTTAACCAATAAAAATTTCAAAGCAATTGGTCCAGTGATCAAAGAGAAAAGCGGTTTTTTAATATTTCCACTAAGTGTCCAAAAAATGTCAAAGAACAACAAGAGAGCTATGCTCAAATATATGGACACGTAGCGCCACCCAGTGGCAATAATTTTGATGACGTCATAGCGAAAAAAAAAGTAATAGCATTCTGGAGAAAAATTTTATCTTTAACTACTGAAAATATCAAAGCAATTGGTCCAGTATTCGAAGAGAAAAGCGACTTTTTAAAAACGTGTCAAAGAACAAGAACAACAACAACAACATAATATTGAAACGATCGTTATGTCCACTTCGTGTCCAACAAGAACAACATAGCAACAAAACGATCGTTATGTCCACTAAACGTGTCCAATTAGTATCATACTTAAAACATCTTTAAACTGACTTTCCACATGAACCCCGATCATGGATTGATTGCCCAAGTCTTGAAAAATCTAAGCGATAAATCTGATTAGAAGAATTACAAGAGAGCTACGCCCAAATATATGGACACGTCTGTTCGCAGTACAGTACGGTTTACCGTACCGTGAGATCACATTCTACAAATCTAATCACACCAAGCGAAGCAGTACAGTTGGACACAAAACGGCGTCCGATGCCCGCAGAACGTTCATGACGTCATAGCAAACAAAAACAAGTCTCACAGAGAGGAGAGAAATATTTGAAATAAATGAAATTAATAGCCTTATGGAGAAAAATTTCATCTTTAACCACTAAAAATTTCAAAGCAATTGGTTCAGGGATCAAAGAGAAAAGCGGTTTTTTGATATTTCCACTAGGTGTTCAAAAAGTGTCAAAGAACAACAAGAACAACATAACAACAAAACGATCGTTATGTCTGCTAAACGTGTCCAATAATGTAAAATAAGTTCGGTAACAGTTGTTTGGTATTGAGAACAATCAATTAAGCAGCGGTTCCCAACCTTTCTACCCTGGCGGACCGGTAAAATTGGATTAAATTTACTCGCGGAAATTGAAATGGCCGGAACATAAAAGAATAACATATATTTGCGTAATATAATGCAATGTCGGGCAGTCAATATGCTTCTAGACAAAAAAGCACACTTAAAAACATTTCACACGGAGAAAAACTATCAAATAATGTGCCGACCAAAAATTAAAAATGGGTGAAACATAAAATAATATCATATATTTGCGTAATGACATGCAGTGCTGGGCACCCATTATGCGTAAAAAAGGCACGCATAGAATATCTCACATTAAAAACATGCACAATTAACTCATGTGAGAATTTTGCTGCTGTTTCGTTTCCAATATAAAAATTGCAAACGAGGCCTCAAAGAAGTTTTTGCAACACGTAGCTCTGCAGCCGCGTGCAGCCGATTTCTTTGCTTAGTTTCAATTGAATCTCGTGATGAAAATGTTTTTTCGCATTACGCAGTAATTGGCTAGAAGACGGACAACAGTTTGATTGCTCGATTACCTGGCGATGGGTATTCGTTATCAAGAGATATCTAAAATTGTGATAAGTAATTCTTTTTTAATCTGAACTGTAAAGTAGAATCACCATTTTAATCAAGCCTTTTCTTTTTCATTGGGTTTATTATATTAATCCCTCTGCTGTTGATCGACGCCTCAAACGAAATGAATTTGCATTACAATGACAGGGTCGTCGACAACTTGGCAACAAGCTCAAAATCCTACTGTGTCTGGAAAAGATCTCTGCGGCCCATGTTTTTTTTTGCGCGTCACGTGACCACCTGTGGGGTCGCAACAAGGTCATATCTTACTGGAATATTATACTGTTCTTGACGGTTTTCTGGTTTAAACAAGGAGATATGCATCACGTTTTTTATATATGGTCATATTAATCAGGAAAAGTACGCGGAAAAGAAAAAGCACGCGTGCCGATATTTAGGCTTCTTAATTTTGCGAGATTTGATGGAGCGCATTCGCGATGAATCGGAGCCGGAAAAGCGAAAAGTGTTAATGGTCGGCGCCAACATGTCGCGAAAGACGTCGCAATAGGACGGCGGAATAGAATTGCGTAATGATCCAACGCAACTTTGTCTACGGTAAAGCGATTGCGACGGCATAAAAACAACAAAACAACAAAATTTCTAGCGGACCGGCAAAAAAGCTTCGCGGACCGGCACCGGTCCGCGGACCGGAGGTTGGAAACCACTGAATTAAAGGGTGGTGTTTCCAAATTAAAGTTTGACTTCCTAACGTGCATGTCCCAGTTATATGTTGCAGGGGAGAATTGATGAGAAAGTACCTATCATTACCCCATGAAAAGGATCATACTGAATTTGAATACGAGGCAAATGAGCATGTCCGTCACTTGTTCGTGTATAGAGGATATAAATAACTTTTGCCTTATTTTGAGTGAACCAAGTATTTTGGGAAGTGGGTTCCAAATCACCAATATTCACTGTAACCGGCCATTGCTTAATGGTTTTGGGTGTCTCCTTAGTACAATTATTGGGCTTCTGAATAAAGTAAATTCAGCTTTGGGTCTATTGGGGTGGCATAGGTTAACTGTAACTGTTGGAGTTGGGAAGGCAGATTTAAATAGCAGACTAGACGAATAAACAAAAAGATACCTACAGATTGCGAGACACTTAATAGTAAACATAGTCGTTTTTCTGAAGCGGTCTAGTTGTCCTTCCCTGTCGAGTCCTTGAATGTAATGATCACAAACCTTGTTGTTTGTCCTCGTTCTGCGTAAGAAGTAAATGGTCGTCCATATCGGTGGATATTGGTACGTTATATCTGTGTATTAGTACGTCAGATTCAGTAGTTGGGGTATTCGAATAAGAAATGTCCTGGAAATCAGAAGTAAAAATCTCTTCATGAGCCAGCTTAATTCTATCAATAGAAACCGTGGTAGGTTTGTCTTTGAAATCAATCTTGAAAAACTTATCGTATTTTTGTATAACACGAAAAAGTCTTTGATAAGGCGGTACTAGTGGTCTTCTAACTGCATCAACACGTAGAAATATGTGACTGTAAGTGTTGAAAGTGTTCAATTCTGGTGATAAGAATGTCTTTTTTTTTGAGGTGTTCTCGGTTGAATTGGGTCAATTTGGTGTAGTTTTGTAGTTACATATCAACTAATTGGCTACACCAGCAAATGTGAAGTGTGCCACAGATAACGATGATGATTTTATGTAGTCGAGAAACTGTCTGGGGCAATTTTTAGTACAAAATATAGTGTGCTCAGCGCAATTCAACACTCGCGCCACCTATAATTGGGTCAATAATTCGGCAAAATTTATTCTCGGAAAGCAAAAGTCAATTTTGGCACAATAAAATTGACCAAACTGTTGAAAATGTATATTTGCGCAAACGTAAATGGTAATTACTGCAAAACTGCTCAAAATCTTCCCAGTCGAGCACAACCTGTTGTTGTTGAGCAGACGCACGCATTTTTATATAGTTTTAAAATAATGAAAACAATCGTTATGATTTGAATGGTTCGAATGACGTGAATTTTCAATAACCAAGTGTAGATATTGTTTAGTTTTAAGTTGAAGTTGTAGTGCGTTCGTTACTTCTCAACTCCTAAAACACGCCCGTACTGTTTGTTAACCCTCTCATTTATATATCAAGCAGTATATTACGCCCTAAGTACGACGTCCAACTATTCCAAAAGTGCGAACAACAAAATCCTGACCCCTCCCCAGTCGGTCGTTCTGGTGCCATTTTACCTGGGTTATTTTTTTGTCAACCATTAGGCCCTAAAGCTTCACTCATGGCTTTTTATTAGCGTGTGATAGAGCCCTATTCAGCAATATATGCAAATCGCACTCATCTAAAAAAAAAATTTTTACGCCAAAATTCCAAAATTTCCATTGAATTTGCGCGATTTTGTGTCTAGTATAGGGTTAATATTTATTCTCAAATAATTAATTTTTATTTCAACGTTTTCTTGTGTTATTTTCCAACAGAACAACACTAAAATCACTATTATAGCAAGAATAGTTAGTCCAAAATTCACGATTGTATTTACAGAATTTTTGGGTTCAAGGCTTCAACTGACAATTTTGATGACGTCACCCCTCTAATTATTAGTGCACACGCCCCCCTCAATGCAAAAAATGTTACTTTTTCCGACGGAAATGCGCTTAGAAAGACGTAAACATTCTAATGCGAGCCGCTACGCGTGAAAATTACCATTAATTTTACGTTTTTTTCACGTTTAAAAAATCTCGATACCTCCGCCAAGTATGCTGCAGTCGAAATCATATTTATCAAAACATCACAGTGCCATGGATGATATATATGACTGAAAATACATGGTAAACCAATAATAAATCCACGCTATTTATACGATTCGCACTTTGCGTCACGGCTGGAGTCTCTTTCTTCGTGAAATATACGACTCTACTATAGAACATTAACTGTAAAACACCATTAATTTTAGAGTTGGCCTAGGCCAAATAATACTGAGTATATGCCATCCGGCTGAGTTGGGATTTATTCAGATACCACGTTTGTAAGCATCATGCACAATTGTAGGGAAGAAAATTATATCCCAATGTCGCCCACCAGCGGTTGAAAATGGATCACAACCAAATACAAAACGCTGCAGAAATGCCGCAAATTTATGACTAGAGAACGGAGAAAATAACATGTTTTGCCATGCTTGTTTCTTCTGATGTTTTAATCTCTCTCGCACCCGCTAACGTAACCATATATTCATACGTGAATCAGCCCAAATGACTTACATTTACCACAGCGTTACAAGTAATATATATTGGGTCAAATTGAAGGTTCGGCAAGCAAACACACAAACCGCATGCTGCGATGCATGTCATCACGGTTGCTGCAACGTCTCTATATATATCCTACCTGGAATTATCTCAATGTGTGACAGCCGCCTTTGTATTGAAACGAAAGATCTCTTATATCGATTATTCAGAATATTATTTTTATTTTCTGTTTCAGTTTGTATTGAATTTATATAGTAGGCTATGATGACAAATTCCTATATTTCTAAATCTGAATTATTCAAAATGTAGCGAAGTATGTCTATCCGATTGAGCATTTATTTTTTTTATCCATATTACTTTTTATCCAAAAGTAAACTATGCTCTCGCAGAAATTCTTTCATATATATTTCATATGAATTGCTTCGTATTTTGAAGTTGCAGATTATGGATAACTGCTTTGAATCTTTTATTTCCGTATGTGTATTCAATGCACAAATAGCTTCATATTTATATAAGTGTTTGCTCAGTGAGCTACAATTAATGCGCTTCGAAACAACTAAAACATATTCAAAAACTCTATGAAAACTGAGAATTTCAAGCAAAATTGGATAATTTGGGGGTTTCGAATTACTGTACCTCGTATGATTAGACGTTGGGACAACAAAGCCATGTGCGTCGAGAAATTTTTTACTTTGGGGTCTGACTTGTACATCTTTATTCATAGGTTGTGACGAAAAATGTTTCTCCACGGTGGCGATCTTCTTTGTTTTTCATTCAAATCTCTAGGATGGACTTCAACCGAATGTGCCGAAAATCCTGAATGTGCCATCAAAAGTTAAATGAATACCCAACTTGTTTTTTGTACAGTTCAGTTTTTTATTTACTCTTAAAAATAGTCATGCACACTATAGTTCTAAAATCTTTTTATTAACATAAAAATAGGCTCTCGTAATCGATTTGTATGTTCTTTCAACCATGATACTGTCGTAGAGCAACAAATAAAATATAAGAACTAAGCCTAATAAATTAATTTTATCTTTTTTAAATTCCCGAGTATAGTGTATTATTTGTTCTTTAAGTTTATTTTGACATCATCATTTTAACGAATTCTTCATAGTTAACTTGAGAATCTCCGTCCATGTCCGCTTCTCGAATCATCTCTGTGATTTCTTCTTCCGTCAACTTTTCCCCAAGGTTATTCATAACGTGACGAAGTTCAGCCCCTGAAATATAACCGTTTCCGTCCTTGTCAAAAACTCTGAACGCTTCTTTTATCTCTTCTTCAGCGTCGGTATCCTTCATTTTTCTTGCCATCATTGTCAGAAATTCAGAAAAGTCCACACTCCCACTTCCATCTGCATCCACTTCGTTGATCATGTCCTGTAAAAATAACGTATAAAATATAAACGACGTTTGTTGAGTCAATGAGGTCGCAGAGAAGTTCATTCTTCGCAGCATATCATATTCTCACCTGTAAGTCCGATTCTGAAGGATTTTGTCCGAGCGACTTCATTACCGTTCCCAATTCTTTTGTTGTGATTTTGCCGTCACCATCTTTGTCAAAAAGTGAGAACGCTTCTTTGAATTCAGCAATTTGTTCTTCACTGAGATTTGCCATTTTATGCAATTTTTAATTTATATTAAGGCTATAATCTAATGAATCTAAATATATAATTTAAACATGTTGTTAATTTTGTTAAACGACCCGAGTCTCTGTTCGATAACGGCGATGTCTTTTTTCCTATGTCCTCAAAAACTATATTTACATCGCAGATTGTATTTGACTAAAAGGATGAATGTAAGACTTAGATGAGATAACCTAATAATATATATATCTTCGTGAACATCCATAAGCACATTGAACACATAGCCATTAAGGGGTTGAAAGTTTCAAATAAACTGATTACTTGAACCTGAAAGGCTCCATTTAAACCCAAGTCAAACCGAACCTGTATATACCATGTCATGGCGACCAGCTGCTCTTACTGAGTGAGCAAGCATTAAAACGATGTACTTTACAGTCGCCGATATTCTTATGGTCACTTCGTTGAAAGCATCTGACAATTTCCGAAATAATATTTATATGATATCAGCTAATATTCATATAATATCACCCTGAAGCGGATATACCTGTCAAAACGGAGACATATGTTAACACTAGCGATTGATGACTAATATCTGAATAACTAACATCCTAAATTTGATTGAAACCAGTTCAGAAACAAAACGCTATTGACGATAGTTAGTTAGACAAAATTTTATTTTTCCTATAACAAAACAATTAAACACGAAGAATTTATAAAAGTTATAGGTGGAAATGAATAAACCTGAGAACCCTATTTTTACCTCATTCAATCAATATCTATCAGCTTGTCAGTGTAAGTGGGAACTTTCAAACAGCAGAGCACAAAACCTCTCTAAGCGACCAATATACTTCTACATAACATCACTGCAATCACATACCAAGCATTAAATACCAGCTACCTCGTTATGTGTCATAACTGATGGTTTACATCAATCAGTCAATCATTTTATACAAAAATATACAGGTATTAATTCAATAACAAATCGATATTTATGGTATGTGCATCTGCTATATCGACGTTCGATAAATCATCAGAGACATGATATTTGATGCAGAGCCTCTTTGTCTACGCTTTTAAAAATATTGTAAAGTAGTCCAGTATTAATCATCATTTAAAGCATTCTTTTGCAAAAATATAGGCGCCAAGCCTGAAAGATTGCCGTCTGATCAAAATCGTTAAAATTACTCAATATCATTAATTGAAGATAGTTAAAAAGAGTCATTTATAGGTTGCAATATTTTTCTTTGTATTACATAACACATATATTTATCGATTTGTTGAATACTGATCATTTAATGCTCAAGCGTTAGAACGCAAAATATCTCAAATGACACTCGGATACATCTTATGAGAGGGCAGGCAGATGAGTCGGATTAATCGTCAATAATATCGTGCAAATCACTTATCAATAAATTGTATATAAGTTCAGATTAAAAGATGTTAGCAGGTCAAATCTCTGCCGCAATTACTTTCAGATGAGTGATCTAGAAGAAAAATATTTTTGAATCGAACTTCGTGTAGTCTTTTGTTAGATCCCATTCGAGTGCAGACTATCATTATATCATCATGAACGACATGTAGGCTATATGCATTGCTTCATCACGTTCTGAAAATTCGGCTAAAATCTTATTCAACAATTATACATTAGGACATAGATTCTCAAAGTGCTCCGTACGAAGCCCCAGGGCTCCGTGAGAGTAACCCAGGGGCTCCGCGAGCTATTGGATTACTTTTCAAAATACCGACTAGTTTTGTAACTGTTCGAAGAAGCAATAACAGCTTTGATAAAATCTGACAACAATATAGCCTCGAAATATGGCAAAGAGGTGGAATTGAAAAATGACATTATTTATAAGCAGGAGTGCAGTCAGGATTCATATGAGGGAGGTGGTTCAAAATTGGAATCGGAAATTTCCGCGCGACATTCTTCGCGATTAAAAAAACGGATAACGAGGTTTCTGTTGCGTAAAATATTATATCAATGACGGATGCGAGCATTTAACGTGTCTCGTCGTCATAATGTAATTGTGCTCATCGTTACTCACGTTTGATTCGAGATTACTAAAATGAAAGAATACTGATCTAAAATAGCATAAAATATGTGATAAACTGTCAACTATAAATAAATTGGAATCGTATTTTTGCGATCTTGGGATTTGTCAAACTTGATATCTTCTTTCGCACTTGAGATTATTTTTAAGCAAGATATCGCCGTTTGAAAAATCACAATGTCTGGGCAAAATACGAACAATTGAAATTTATTTTATTGCATTCGGCTCCGTCGGTAGTTTCAGAATGAAAAAAAAGGTACATCGCGGAGCGCGCACAATTGATTGCGTGCGGCTCCGTCGTTAGTTTTATAATGGGGAAAAAAGTACATCGCGCGCACAATTGACTGTGTTTCGATTTCGCAGTTACTACGATGAAAACCTAACATACCACCAAATTTTGCGATTCATAATGTCTATAAAAACGTTTTCAATCTGAGGTGAGTCTGCTAAAACCAAACGTGTGATCTTTCATTTGGAGTTTCAGTTTTAATATTTTAGAATGCCGCTTTTCAATCAAGAAATTTGTGTTGCGGATTTACCTCTTTAGTAATTATTATTTTTAGCTTTTCGTCACCGATGACTATAATATGGTAACATGTTTTTCACATTGAACTCATAATTCCCCACGAGAACAAAAAAGCAAATAACGTCGTCATTGTGTAACAATACATGTATATGCCGAGGGAAATTTTTGATTTTAGGGAGAATAAACACCGGCGTGTAGATGTTAAAAGGTTCAAAAACACGCCATGCTGACAAAAAAAAACGGCGATTGTAACAAAATGCAATCGCGCACGTTATTAGCGGCCTTTTAAGCCTTCCAAAAATGTCAAAAGGGAAAAGATTCGACCCCTAATTTATTAATATGTTTGTCAAGTGTCAAATTCACAGCTTTGGTATATATAATTTATGTTTGAAATTTAGATTTATGTATGACTTGTATTAACCCTATTAAAAAAAGGTTCAGCATTCAAATTAAGTAAAGTACCTTCAACTTGCTCAGGAATATTAATCTGAAAGTAACAATTTTAACATTTATTTTGGGCTCCGTGAATAATAGTCAACCTTTTCAAGGGCTCCGCAACACCAAAAGTTCGAGAACCCCTGCATTAGGACATTGTTTTTAAATTCAATTAATTTTCAAGTTGTCATTTTTTCGGTAAATGCTTACAATGCCTTTCGGTAATAATAATAACCGGTAATATTTGAAATAATCGTTTCGTAATAACTACAGATCAGCATTCCCGCTAAAAGGTTTTGTTCAGACAAATGGGCTCGATAACTTTACACATGCAGAGTGTATAGTGCATTAAGATGGTTATTCATGGCAACGGTAGACACACTGAACCAGTACTGGTTATCGAGAGGCGAAACATAGGAACAAGTCTATCATCAAAACACACCAAGGGTAAAAATCCAGGCGGTACATATATACTGCAACAAGGTTGACACCGAAATACGTTTGAAAGATACGGTTTCCAGAATCGTTTTTGCACCATAGGACAGTGGTGGGCAAACTTTATGAAGAAAAGTATACTATACACATTTTCGGTTATTGTGTATGTCGCATTAATTCCATCAATAATCAATTGCCGCCGTAAACGTTAAATTATGACGCTCTCGCGACTTCTATTCCGGTGATAAAAGCATGTCACAATGATGACGGGTGTGAGATCGTTTCTTATTCATTATAAAACACAATACATTTCTCCGATTTATTCGTCACCAATGTGATGGATGATGTTTTTATTGTAATTCATTTCGGATAATGCTGCTCACAACAATATGTGTTTGCGAACGAACACATTACACGCTAGATTGTCATTCAAGTGAGGATAGGTGGATTTATTTAGCTGGATGTTCAAATCCACATTTTGAATTCATTATCTTTGAATTTATCCAACATATTCTTCGCTTTATCTATGGTACGTTTCGTAATGACGCTTTACATTAAACTCAATATTGAATGTGATGCTGGCTTATCGAGCAAACAGGTTTTGAATAATGCTCAACAAAGCAATATTTTCGGAACGTTCTACCCTCCGTTTCCAGGACATTGTTATGAAAATGATAATTACAACTAATTGTAAGCACAGTTCCGCAATTGAACGACATAGACTAATTGCTTTTGTGTACGATAAAAAAACAAATCCCGTACCGCAGCCAATCTATGTGCAAACAATATTAAATTTAGGATCATTTTTGATGCAGTAAGGATAATAAACAGCGATTGAAATGACTTAAATCTGTGTGCAAACAATAATAATTTAATATCAGTTATTGGTGCAATCGGGATAATAAACAAAGCAAAGCGATAACTATCGCATGAGCAATATTGTTCAAGAGACACGATATTTCCAGTATCGCCCACTGCACTAGAACAGTAATTTTTGACCCGGGTTCGATCGAACCCCTATGGTTAGATGGAGCTATTCCAGGTCTTCAGAATGAATTGTGTATCATGAAACCTTCTCATTACTTAGCCTACTAATTAGGCAAAAATAACTACAGTTCATCGTAGATATACAAACTTACACGTTTAAACAACTCATGATACAGTGTGCGGCTTCGCGCAATTTGTATGGGGTCTGTGTAGGACTGTTGAACCTTAAATTGTATATACTTCATCAAAGCTCATATCGACACAGATATTTTACGCCTGGGTAAACTTTTTATTTATAGCGCCTCATGGGCTTACTGCTAAGGGTCACGAAATATCATAGACATAGATTATTACGACTGGGGGTTTTGAGCTAAATATCTGCGTGGTCGACACCTGTACACCTATAAATCGTTCTGGCCCTTAGTTTTTTCTTCTTGTTGTGAAAAAACGCTTTTCTCATTAACTATTGGACTAATTATAATTTTTGTGGTTAAAGATTGTTTTTGTTGCTAGAAGGCTATTACTTCAATTTATTTTAAAACTTTCCGTGGGCTCTGTTCCATTTGGGTTGGGTAGGGTAGACTACGATATCGGTACTGTACAATATTTGATAATACAGTTGTGATTTGGATCATTTCGTATTTCATTCACGTT